GGCCATGGATATCCAGGCGGTGCGCAAACGTGGAGAAGGTGCGTGGTGCGTGGTTGATTTTGGATGGGGCGGTTCTGGCGTCAAGATGGCATAGGTGGACAAGGCAGAGAGGCAGGCAGGCAGGCAGGCAGGCAGGCAGGCAGACAGGCAGGCAGGCAGGCAGGCATATTTTGGTCCATATCTTTTTTTTGAGCGTGTAAAAAATACAAAGAGGTTAGAACATGCACTCTCTCTCTCTTTTGCGTGCATGTACATTGCAGTAAAACAAACAACCAGAAACCAAATCTATGGTGAAAAGAGGTAATAAGTTATACAAAAAAAAAGGGTTAGCTCATCACCCTGTCTCTCTCGGTGCTTCCTTCCCGTTCTTTCCGTGGGGGGAGCTGTTTATTTGCGCTTCACCTTGGCACAACACTCTGATCATGTCCACACCGTTTCTCTCTTACCCCCCTTTTTTTTCTTTGATTATACGAGATTACTTACCCACGTCTTACTCGAGACATCGACCCCCGCAAAAAAGAAGAAAAAGGGAGAATTCAAAGCTCGGGACTACAAGATTAGACTAGTTGTTATGCCCACCATGGCAGACATTGTCATGAAAGGTAAAGATGTACGCAGGTCTTTTTTTTTTTTTTTTGCAAACTTCCTTGACCGTGGTCTTTCCTTCTTTCTACGCATCATGGGGGATTATACTAGTTTAATTTGTGTACTTGTACTTAGTTGGACTAGAGGCGAATGACTCGAGGGGTTGACGCTCGGAGCGCAAGGAGTGGAGATGGATACGGGAGGGTGGGTATGTTGATCGACATTTCGTTTTCTCAACAGGAATTCTGTGGGATGGGGGAGATTGATAGTTTGGATTAGGTGAGCAGGGCGGTGTAGGGGAGGGGTGGGTTTGTGGATAAATTGGGTGATTCGGGGAAATGCAGTACGTATGTGTGTGTGTGTGTGTGTGTGTGTGTGTGTATGTGAAAATGTGTAAAGTATGTGTATGGAGGTTGATGGGTGGATGTATGGATGCATCGGGATTGGCAAGGGTCTCCACTAGTCATGACCAAGATGTGATCGCAGCCCTACAAATACTGTGTAAGTCGACCGAGTGAGAATGTGCAGGGACAAAAACAAAAAAAAAGCCCCGATGCGTTTTGCCGCGAACGCCCAAACGGCTTTTGCGCGGCTAGTCAGCGAGGTCAGGAACAAAAGCCAGGAACAGGAAGGCGGGTTGCAGCCAAGTCAAGAGGAGTGGTGGAAAAGTGGTGGTTGTGGAAGCCAAGGAAGAGGAAGAAGAGAACATGTGGCGGGTAGGTGAAACATTGACACAGCATCCTGTGACGCCTTACGCGGACAAGACGATGCGATGACGCGGACGGAGAGGCAGATGACCGAGGCATGCGAGGCATGGGGAACGTGGCACTGGGCGGGGAATGGATCGGAATCTCAGGTAGATGGAAAACGGCAGGGTGATTGAAGAGCAGGACGGGCATGTGCGCGAGGTAGAGTGAGCAGCGTCGCGGCAAGAAAGTGTGTTTGGTGGAATGGCCATGGAACACAGGCGGAAGGAGGGGCTGTGGTTGGTGCAATGGTGCGAGGGGGCTGAGGGCAAAGTACCGCGTTGCACACGGTTGCCAAGGCCGGGGTTTGTGTCGACAAGATGGCGGTGCATTTTGCCGTGTTGCATGGCCGGCAGCCTGATGGCCATGGTGCGTGTGGGATGGCGAATGGTTGACGGCAGGTAATGAGCGAGGCGGTGGGTGATTGGCGTGCTGACGGGAGCTGCGCGTTTGCGACAGCTGAGATGATAGCAGCGGGCCAGTCGGCTGGTCGACACGACGGGCGTGGTGGTGACAGCAGATGCATGTGTACTTGGTAGATAGCAGGCACAGTAGTGTGGCCATTCGCATCTACTTACCTACCGACTGCATCGCCCTGGGCGCGTTGGTGTCGTCGCCCTTAGCGGCGGGAGGGCAAGCGCTAAACGCCATCGGGCAAGCGCACGGCGTTTCAGCCAAGCGAGCAGCCGAACGCGCGTCACCACGGCGAATCCGGCCCCTGGACAGCCGTGCCCAAGAGCACCACGGCCACGCCATGTGCTGCCAAAGATACACGTACGTACTATCTGGCTTTCCATCCCATCTACCCTTGTAACACCACCACCGCAACTGCATGACCCTCGCCCGCTCTAGGCGTGCGAGGGGCCTGTCGGGCCAGAAGCTGCTTCGGTGGCGGTGGTGGTGGCGCCCTTGCTGCCAGCGCCAGGCACTGCCACTGCCACTGCCACTGCCACTGCCACTGCCACTGCAGTGACTCTTCGTACACAATACAAGCAGCATGCGTACAGCACTCGACTGCTCGTCTTGCTGATAAGCAGACACGGGCCGGAAAAATACAAAGTGTCATGGCCCCGACCGCCTCTCTGCACCGTCCACAAGTACGGAGTCATGCAACTGCAAGCGCAAACAAGCCTTGCCCAAGTCGTCGACGGCCAGCCCGCCGCGCCTGGCCCGAGCGCGGGATGCTCGCTCTGAAACGCGTCGCATCCTGCCGTACCCTCTGTTCTGTCGCCGGGCCCTGTTGATTCAAAAAGCTCGCCATAGCGCGCTGCTGCTGCTAGCTCTGGCCTTCTGGTCTCTCTCATGTATGTAAGCGGTGCTGGTTCCTCGCGCCACCCACCCGTACTTCCTCCTGTCTCCATTGCTTCTCCCACCTTGCCGTTACCCTTTTTTTCGTCGGATTGAACTTCGGTCCCGTTCCACCCGTCTTTCCCAACGGCCGCGACTATACCCATACCCTTACCCTTCGCTCCTCTTTGCTTTCCCCCCCTACGTCCCCGAGCCACCCTGCATTTCGCCAACTCGGTTCAACACCTTAAATAGCCCACTGGCACACGAACCCTTCACACATCTGCAACCCATTCTCCCCGCGCCACCACCGTCCTCTGCCAACATCTCGCCACCATGCTCACCTTCAAGAAAGCCCTCGTGCTTTCGCTCGCCTGCCTGACCCTATTCTTCATCTTCAAGTCACAACACCACGGCAGCACAGCACCAAAGTACCGCAATGCACATGACATGCCCCGTCCCACCGCCTGGGTCAACCCCGCCGACCGCGAGCGAGAAAAGCAGAAAGCGTCCAAGCAAAAGGAGGCGGCACAAAAACTCGCCGATAAGGCCGCAAAGGCAGACCAGTCAGACAAGGCCTTCGATGTCCCCGACACGCCCTCGAAGAAGCCAAAGACGCAGGTCAGCCTCGACGAGCTGCGCAAGAAGCCTCTCGCAGAACAACTCGAGTACCAATTCCCCTATGACGTCGACACAAAGACTCCCGCCTACATCTGGCAGACGTGGAAGCACACGCCCCAGTCTGGCGAATTCGAGGAAATCTTCCGCGAGCCAGAGGCCAGCTGGAGCGTCCACCACCCGTCCTTTGTTCACGAGGTCATCACCGACGATGTCGCCCTCCACTTGATCAGACACCTGTACGCCTCGGTCCCCGAAGTCATCGAGGCCTACACTGCCATGCCCGTGCCCGTCCTCAAGGCTGACTTTTTCCGCTACCTCATCCTCCTTGCGCGCGGCGGCATCTACTCAGACATTGACACTACCGCTTTGAAGCCTGCCTTTGAGTGGATTCCCTCTGATGTCGCCGCAAACTCATACGGCATGGTCATTGCCATCGAGGCAGACCCAGACCGCCCAGACTGGGCCGACTGGTACTCTCGCCGCATCCAATTCTGCCAGTGGACCATTCAGTCCAAGCCCGGCCACCCTGTCCTTGTCGATGTCGTGGCCAGAATTACCGACGAGACCCTGAAACGCAAGCGTGCCGGCAAACTCACCGACGACCACAAGGATATCGTCGAGTTTACCGGCCCTGCTGTGTGGACAGACACCATCTTTTCCTACTTCAACAACCCCGACTTCTTTGACATGAGCACAAGCAAGGGCAATATTACCTGGGAAAACTTTACTGGGATGAAGGCCCCCAAGAAGGTTGGCGATGTAATTGTCCTTCCCATTACCAGCTTCAGCCCCGGAATCAAGACCATGGGCGCCGGCGAAGAAGACGACCCCATGGCCTTTGTCAAGCACAGCTTTGAAGGTAAGCGAAAAGAATCCCAGTAGCTTTGCTGCACCTTATGACTTCATGTTTCTATTTTAACTGTAGCGCCGCATGGCGTATTTTCTTTTTTTGCATCTCGTAAAGTTTAGCGCTATATTTCTCCCACAAGAGCAGCTCCCAAGGGCAGTCAACAACAATCTTGTCACAGTCCCGCCATAGGGTTGGTGCGTTACTCGCTAGAGTGCTGACGAGAAAAAAAAAACGTGGCCACTAAACCCATGGCGGGATCGTTCGCACGTTCTAATGTCTATTTATTACTACCCGGAGCTTATTCACGCGTTCTATACCCAATCTGACGGGTTTAATACGATGTCCACACGAGCGAAACGGGGTCGCTCGGCGATGCACGGCACAACTTTCTTATCTTCCCCATGCACCGAGCTTATTTTTTTCCGCGTTTCCGTCAAAGACCGAGATTGTACTAACACGATCATACAGGAACTTGGAAACCCCAACATCTCCGTCACATTGGCGAGATCTTCAACTGAGATCTCCCTTGATGCCCACGTTTTTTTCTTTTTCTTTTCTCGAAAACGACCGCCCTCGCCGCCCTCACGAACCGGAACTTCTTCAACCTTTTTTCCACAAAAACGAACTTTTTTGCCCCTTGTATACGCTTCCCACGGTTGCATGGCTATGCTGCCAAAAATCCATACGCGGCGGGGTGGGGGGGACCACCGATTGCGCTAAATTCATTCAAGCGTTCCGCTCTACCGGGAATCCACCAAAAAAGGTTCCTTAGTTGCATTACCCAGCGGAAATGTCACCCAAAAACAGCCATATGCCGGGACTTTTCGCGATCCCCCAGGTCAGCATTCACGGTTTGCCCGGTCCGACTTTCCCCTCATCTTCCCCTTCAATTCTTCTTGTGCTCTCTTCTTTTTATTTTCTTTTTTCTCCTCCCCTCCCCCACAGATTCTCAATCCTCTCCCGATACTGCACTCTCTCTTTGCTGTTGTTTCTTGTGGTTGGTTTGGGCTCCCTTCTTTTTTTGCTATGTACATACATGACCTTTTTTTTCTTGGGAGCAAACAAACATACGGAAACGACGAAGGATACTGGGTCACGGCGGGAAGGGAGAGAGATTGCAAGTGGGGGGTTGTGGGGATTTGACATGTGAGAAGGCTGCTGCTGCTTTGGTTTATCAGCTTTTGTCTTTTTTTTTCCGGAAACTGGCTTTTAGAATCGGCTTCAAGCGCTGAAGCTCGAAATCGGGACACACATAGTGTGTGTGTGAGTGTTTTTTTTCTCTTTGCTATTATAGAGAATGGGAAAGTGGGTCTCCCTGTCTGTCTCTGTGTGGGGATGGGCCGGTGTCTTGGACCTCCATCCATTGTACAGTAGAAAGTATGATTTCTTTTTTGTTTCCTGTTTCTCGCCATCCTTTCATCATCGCTTTGGATTGCCACATTGATGTGTCTCTGGATAAGATGCGAATAGAACTTTTTTTTTTTAAAAAAAAAGGAGGATGTGTTGATATTGACATGGGGTATTCAAATCGTATACTTGGTGATTGTAATACAAAGAAAACACGAGGAAAAACGTCATTGGGTATCAAATTCCACACAGACACACAAACATCTAACATTCTCAATGCCTCCCCGCCCCAAACGCCTTCCCCACCGCATCAACCATACTCAACAAACTGCCCCCCATTGTCGGCCGTCTCTCCGCCCTCTTCTCCCTCGCATATCGTCGCTTATACTCTCTTTCCGTCTCTGAATCCAACTCCCCACTTTCATCTCTATTCCCATGCCCATGCCCATGCCCATACCTGCTGCCGTGCCCATCCTCATCATGCTGGCTATACGTCGACATTGAGCGCGTGTATGGAGTGTACTTGGTCGCTGGTGGAGCAGGAGGAGGAGGGTAGGAAGAGGCGTAGGGATGGTATTGCTGTGGGGTGGGCTGGTGGATTGGGATGCCCATTGGTTGCTGGCCCGAGTGCGAGGCTGGAGGGGGTCCAGGGGGTGGCGGGTAGCTGTGCGACAGCGAGGATGTCGAGGATGTGCGGCGCGTATGGCGAGTTTGTTGGTGTTGCGATGGTTGGTGGGGGAATGAAGGTTGCGTGTAGGGAGGTGAGGACGAGTACATTTGCTGAGATTGTTGCTGGGGCATTTGCGAAAAGTAGTTTTGCGATGTGGGCACGTTGGGAGTCGTGGGGTAGGGCGGTGCTTGGGGGTGTTGCTGGTAGTGGGTATGGAGGTAATTGGATTTGTTGGAGTCGTACGACGACATTTTGAAATTGAGTTGGATACTTTGCGAGATACGTATGTGCGTGCGTGCGGGGGACGGAGTGGCGTTTTATGAACTCGAGAATCTGCGGGCCCAGCGTATTCTCGAGATGCTGGGCTCTTGTGCTGTGTTCTTTGCCCTTGGCCCTGTTTCCAAGCCTTGTCTGATCGACACGGGCTGGATGTATGGCGTATGCGGCTGGTGGTTCGTATGCCTCGCGTGTGAGTGGGATGACGGCACTTGATAACAGATTAGTAGTAGTCGTTATGGGACGTCGCGCCCGTCGCTGTATCACGCCTCAATATATATTAAATGCATCCCATCCCCCCAAGCCTTGCGCTCTTGGCTGGCATCACAAAGTTTGAAACGGTCCCATCTGACACTGGGTCGACATGCACCGCGTATACATAATTGTGACGGGAGCCACTTCCCACCAAATAGCATCTTCTCTTGCGATTCAGTTTGGCCGCCAAGTCACGCCGTATGGCTGTAGCGTACCGATGGCGGCTGCGTGAGGGGCAACAGGAAGTGGTCGGCTTATGATGTCACTGCTCTAGCCAAAGGTTGTGCATGTGTTGCGCGGAGACGGGCCAAACCGTTGAGGTTCCTGACGTTAGCGAAGCTTCGATGGTGTGCAGGGAACACATGTTGTTGGTGGAGATGAACTGGAGGGCTGCCGATCGCTTGCAGGCGTTGCAGTAGTGTTGTGGCAGGAGCTTGGCAACGTTCTGTGCCATTGATTGGGCGATGCCGCTATCCTTTTTACTCGTGAAGTGTGTGGTATGTATGTAGTACAAATAGAAACCTTTGCACACAAATGCATAGTCGGTGGAGAATAATCGCATCTTGTTTTGGGTGAGCTTGCTGTTGAATCCTTTCTACGGACAGCAACTTCGGCAGATAATCCCATGGCATCTGTATATTACGAATTGCGACATCATTCTTACAACACCACACTGTCCGATTGTCGGAGCATCCAACAGAGTCATCCATGGTGATGCAAAAGTTACACGTACTGCTCTCCTCGCTCAAACAAGCCAGCAATGTGTTCACAAGATCACACCCGCCCACGTCACGTGCTGACTACAAGTCGGTGCGGCTGTGCTGCATCGCCACTACGCAGCCACCTCCTAGCGCCAGATGGTGGTGGAGTCGGGCAGCCGAGGACTGCTGCCTTACAAACCAACGTGGCACGCCTTCCTATTCGCAGCCATTCACAGCCATTCACAGCCATTCACAGCCATTCACAGCCATTCACAGCCAAAATGCTGACGATAGCGCCAAGGGCAAATTCGTCATGGCCAACTATTTCGCTTGACTTACCCCTCCACTGTTCAAGGCTGAGCCATACTCAGCCCCGGCCACCTTTCGTCCGTCTACGATTACTGTGTGCATCCTCCAGGAAACAGACTCGGAAATTGCTCTCACCTCCTGTTTCCATAGCAGCCACCGTAGAGTCTGCGCGCGTCGATCTTATCTTTTCCTATAGTGCTTGCGCCGCACTGTTCAGAAGTTAGGCAGGCATGTCATACTACAACCAACCACCGGGCGGGTACCAACAACCCTATCCAGGTCGTAAGTCATTCGTTGCTCACTGTACAGCCCGATTGCGTTTGCATCCTTCATGTGCCGCGGCTTGGCGCCAAACTTGGATTTATACTAATATCTCCCAGAAGGTCCTCCCCAAGGATACGGACAACAACAGTATCAACCACCTCCACCCCAAGGCTACTCTCAACCACCCATGCAGCATCAGCAGTACGGCGGTTACCCGCCCCAGCAAGGTTATGGCGCGCCTCCTCCAAACCAGTACGGCCCGCCTCAAGGTCAATATGGCGCCCCGCCCCCACAGGGTTATGCTCCTCCCCCTGGACAGTATCATCAACCACCCTCGGGTCAATATGGCGCGCCTCCAGGTCCCCCTCCAGGTCAATACGGTGCACCACCACCGCAAGGACAATACGGGGCCCCGCCACCGGGCCAGTATGGAGCCCCGCCACCGGGCCAATATGCTCCTCCACCCCAAACAAGCGGCTATGGCGGCCCGCCAACCCAACCCTCTCTCGGTTACGGCCAGCAGACAGCTAACATCGACATGATGAAGGACGTCGAGGCTATCCGCAAAGCCATGAAGGGCTTCGGCACCGATGAAAAGGCGCTTATCAGTATCTTGGCCAAGAAGGATCCGATCCAGGTTGGCACGATTCGTGCACAATACGAACAACGCTTAATGCGGAATCTAATCCAGGATCTCGAAAAGGAGACCAGCGGTTACTTTGCAAGGGGACTAGTCGAGATTGCCCGAGGACCCCTGGTATCTGACTGCTACAACCTTATGGAAGCAATGAAGGGTCTGGGCACAAAGGAAGTTATCCTGGACGACATTCTCGTTGGCCGCAGCAACGCCGATATCAACATGATCAAGCAAAAGTACCAGGAACTCTTCCAACGGCCTCTCCAAAAGGATCTCCAGGGTGATCTCAGCGCCGGTACCGAGCAGATGTATGACATGATCATCGCAGCACGTCGTGCAGAAGATTCACATCCTGTGCTTCCTCAAGAGATTGACCAAGCCGTGACGCAGCTACAGGCCAGCCTAGGCGGCTTCGCCAGCAAGAACACTGCTCAGGTCTGCCAGATCATTACCAGCAAGAATGATGCCCAGCTCAGAGCGATTGCACAATCCTACCAACAGCGATTCCAAAAGCCTTTGGACAGCGTACTGAAATCATCGTTTTCGGGTCACATGCAGGATGTGCTCCGTCTTATGGTGCGCCGTGCTGTCAACCGGCCCGAAGCGGAAGCTATCCGTCTTGAAGAGTCCATGGCTGGCTTGGGCACAAGAGACGAGCTCCTCGTCCAGCGTGTTGTGCGATGCCACTGGGACAGAAATTTCATGAATGCCGTCAGCGCTGCGTACAAGCAGCTTTACAAGAAGGATCTTGTCAAGAGGATAGAAGGAGAGACGCGCGGTGATTACGAGAGGCTCATGGTTGCTTGCGTGAAGCCGTAAGCGGATTGGAGTTTTTGTTTTGAACTGGGAGGCTTTTTTTTTGATACGATGTCATGTTTTCCTCCTCTCTGCTCCTTTGTTATTGTTCGACATCGTGAGGGATACCCTGTATTGGTCCAGGAGTAGGTTGTCATTTTTTGGCTTTTCTTTTGCTTCAAGAAAGGGAGGGATACGGGAAACCTGATAGATGATTGTTTTTCCAATAGTTATTCTCTGGGTCCAATTCATACCTTCATTGTGCCTTTATTTACTTCAAGAATACTAACAATGCTTGATATCTGATATGTTCTGCTAAACCTGTTACATTCTATACATCAACATCGTCTAGTGAAAGTATCAAAGATTGACATCATCATATCGTATACTTTTCCACAATCTGTTATACACACGCCCGCGACTTCGCCCCCCATCTCCTCATTCCTCCAATTTCCCCTCATCTCTGATATGCCGGTGGCGGAACCTGCTCCCAAACAACCCCATTCGCACCGCCCTGGCTCATCATCATCATCTCCCTTGCAACATCCATCTCGCCCTCTCTCAACGGCGGCGGCGGTTCCTCCGGCGGCCCCAAATGCCCGCCCGGTCTCGTCATCGGCTCAATAACCACATCCTTCATCTCGACCTCATGCTCCGACTCCTTACCCGCACATTCCAGAAGCAGATTATACTTGACATCGTAACGCAGCGCCACGGCATACGTCTTGAACGTCGGGGGCACGATGATGCTTACCAGCAACCCGTCAAGGGTGGTGTCGTGCGTGATTTCGATACCGGGCTTGACATAGCGGTGGTTGAAGAGATCGAATTTCTCTATGGTTTCACTGCGGATGTCGCCGGTGGCGGTCGAGGCGAGCGGGACGCGCGAGGTGATGTGGGCGCTGACCTGGGCGCGGATGCCGCGGAGGTGGACAGCGGCGGGCGGTTGTTGTTGGTCGATGCTACTGTTTGTAAGCGTGGCTTGGAGCGAGATCTTGAGTGTGCTGGGGGCGCCCACGCGGTACTGTGCTGGGGCCCGTAGGATGAGGAGAGAGGTTACGGAGGTGTCGTTGAGCTTTTCGGTGCTGCTATTGCGGAGCCCAGATGCTAGGCGCTTGAGGGATGCGCGGCGCTCTTTGGACGGGTCTGGGGTTGAGGGCCGGGATTTGCGTTCAAAGCGTATGGGTGGTGCGGGCAGCAGAGGGAGTGGACTGGGTATGTTGAGTTCGGGGACGGAAGGGCTGAAGCGGAGCTGGTGAACTACCACGGGGTTTAGAGTGAAGGATGTTTGTTCTGCAACGTATTCGGCTCTCAGGAAGTACTCGTTGCAGATGCTGTTTTCGTTGCACCAGAGTGACGGTGGGAGCTGGTGGCCGGTCTCGTGTTCAAAAAGTGCGTCTGGTTTGAATGGAGCTTCATTTTGCAGCTTGGGGGTTCCTTCGACTTTTTCTGGGAACCGGAATTCGAACGGGTATTCTATTCGTGAGGGCGGGCATGTTGCAGTTGGTGTCTGGATCCTTGACAATGTCTTTTCATGGCAAAAAAGCTCAACTTCGGCACAGTGGGGATTCGCAGGGTTGCGGTCGTTGGAAATGCGACATGTTGTCTTGCCGATGAACTTAATCGTGACGCGCTTGATTTGCAATCGTGCCTTGACGTGGACTACGCCTTTGATCAGGTCATTATTGGTGTGAACAGTACGCCGACTAGACTTTGAAAATGCAATGGAAATTGGTCCTTCTGGTGTATTTTGGCGATCTGGATGGTGATGGTCGCTGTATAGTTGTGGTTGAAGCACGTAGCTGTAAAGCTGACGCGCCGACTGGGCTTGACCCGGTAGTGTGGTTGCCATCCAGGCTATTTGACCAGCTGAATGATGGCAGCAACCGACAGAAGACAGCAGTAATTAGGACCGCACACCTGGCCTGATAGCTTGCCGTAGTAAGCCGCGTCTTACAAATGCTGATCTTACAAAGCCGCTTGCTTTGAACTAAAGTATGTCAAAAGGCGCACGAGAAATGGCGGTAATATACCCCGCTTCCGTACTCACAAGCTTTTATTTCGGCCGACGAACGCCAATTGCGTATCTGCTCAGCTCCCGTCGACCGATTTTGAGGCCATTCAGAAATCGAGGGCGGCAGTGAGTAGCCGATACTAGACAATTTCTTCTCTGCATGGAAGACTGCATGCAGGGAAAGTTAGTCGTTGCAAGATACTTGGCATTCGCTGAGCGGATTCGACTTACTTTGGGGCGATACTAATAGTCGGAATGTCGAAAACGCCGTGCGCCATCTGGATATCGATGTCGTGACGTTGATGCAAAAAGATGGAATATCATTGGTGCTGCGCAGCCAACTCCAGTCTGTCTTGGAACCTCAGCCAAGCTCCGGCAATCTGCACTGTGCCCTCCGCCCTCCTTTCTGCCGCGCCCTATGCACTACAAGCTCATTGGATACGTAATCAAGCCACCACACCATTATCTCCCATCTCCAAGCGTCAAGCCGAACTACTCCAGCGATCACGATTTCAGTTAGTCACGAGTTTTGATGGGCCCATCGCAAGTGGCTGTGCAGTTGCAACCAGAGGGTGTTCTAGGCACCCACCGCTGGCCTTACACCAACACCATAGTCCATCTACATTCCGAGCAGGTGATTCGCAGGCATCCCCAACCTCATCTGTACCAGAAACCCCTGTCCCGCAGAGCTCAGAGACATTTGCCGGCCTTGCAGCGCGGTTGCGGCGTACCAGGGCTTTAATTTGACTTCATGCCATCGTTCAGATCTTCATTCGAAGGAAAGACCGGTCCAAAAAGTTGAATCACCCCGTGGATTCTAGGGCAGTGTCACTTGCCGTGAGTAGTTGGCGGCTGTGCACATTCTTTTGCGAGTGCTGCCTATTAAGTGAGGCTTCCGCCGGTGAAAAACAGGAAGTAGTTGTTTTTTTGGCCCTTTTGTCATCCTTCTCCACAAAACTAAGTTTGCAGTAATCCTTGGGAGGAGTTTAATCAAGATTCCAGATCAATGATAGCTATGTCATGTGTAGGCAGCACTACTCTTCAACCCATGATCACAACAAAGTACTGGGAAGAAACACATGAAAGCAATGACCTAGCAACAATGAACAATCATTGAATAAAAGAGTAAAATAAGAAAATAGTGCGTACACTATCTTACAACAAGACGTCTTTCCAACCAACCCAAAAAGAAATCCAAAGAAAGAAAAAGACTACTACCCAGAAAACAACTTCTCAACGCCGATCCTTGCCCGTTCAAAACACATCCCATGCATCCATTCCATCACTAGCATCGCTGAACTAAAGACCGTTAGAAAGATGCTTCATGAAAGGACTGCAAGAAGACTTACAACAAAACCACTCCTCATGAAGGCTTTCCCAAAGATCCCCTCAGCTCAACTTATCGAGCATTGGCATCATACAGCGTGCAATTGTCATCGCGCCAGTGGTTGCAGCAAGTAGCACATCCCTGATCAGTCTTGTAGCTGTTGTCTCCGCCACACCTACAGCAAATCCATCGCAAAATCTTGGGACGTTCAGGACGCTCAGGGCGCTGCGTGTAGTATGAACTGCTTGCGTTCGAAAAGGAGGATCCCTTTGGAAGAGGTGCGGCGTGTTGTTGGTTGGAGGATTGTGCGTAGTTGTTGTGATTATTGTTGTTGTTGTAAGAGTACTTGCAGCAACTGCACCTCCTATGACCGCATCCATAAATGGGGCATGAAGACATCATAGACGTGTTTGCGCCATCGCCGCACTGGCAGCAGTACCAAGAATTAGACATTGTGGTAGCAAGCTAGGTGGGTAGCGTGTTGAGAAGAGATGGAGGGTCCAAGTAAAGATGGTGAAGAAGAAGTATTCAACTGTTGCGATGCAGTCGAGAGGGTATGAGACGGACTCCAAAGTAGAGAAGGAGCTCGATATCTATACCGTGTCTCAGTAATAAGTAATAGGGAACAAAAGAAGGAAGACGGCGTCATACCTCGTCCCGGCGTCCTCTTTGGTCCTCTATCATGGCTAAGGCATCGTCACCGCCCTCTCTGAGCCCTCTTGCCTCACAAACAGGGCACGGAAAGAGGCCTCCTCATGACCGTCAAGCTCCATTTTGCCGCCTAGCACCGTCAGTCCTGGCGGGCACTCGTCCTTCGGCGACGGTCCCGCTGTGCCAATGATGCAAAGGGAGGACAGTGGCGGAGCCAGCAAAAGCACAACTCATCGTAAAAAAAAAGAGCAGAAAGTTTATGACAAGGGAGCAAAGGGCCGGGGGGGTTCGTCAGGCATTAGACAATGGTTCCTGAGGTTGGCTGTGCGGGCACGATAGGAGGCAGCGATAGATGGTATGGGCCAAGGACTGGACGCGTGATTTGAAAACTAGGCTTTAATGAGAAGGCATAAGGCAAATGGGTGGCCTCAGTCGGCCGTCGTTGGGTGTTCGTATAAGGCAAATACTTGGCATGTTAGTCCTCCAGGCGGACTCAACAAAGTCGGCCGCAGCAGCAGGCCCGTCTCAGCTTGCGGTGTGGCTCGTTCCAGTTGATTGGCGTCATGTTCCAGGTGAATCGTTCCAATAATGAGCCGTCGTCAGGACAACAAGCATTTCCCCTTTTCGCCACTGCAGAGAGCCGTTGGAGCAGCGTGTGTCGCCCTCGCTGTGGGTGTGCACTTGTTTCGTGTACCTGTGTACCTGCGTATTCATGTGCGAATGTCTTGGATGATGCTTGCACTGATCTCCATCTTAGGTTACAATTTCCAACGACGCCCACCATAGTGATTCTCGTTGTGAGTGAATTTCGCATTCATGAGTACTGTGTGAATGAGTAGCATGTACATCAATTTTGAGAGTGAGACAAATGTACGGTGGAGAACAATTATGTTGAAATGACAGTTAAATTGCTTGACAAGATCTAGATCAAAGCCTAATCCTCCATGCCCAAAACCGGCCATACTCCCCCATGTGACCTCCACAAAAAGCAAGCCAAATAACACGCTCAGACCCAAAAACGTCGCTGAAAGACTGATATTTCGCCGATGATGCAAGAAATGCTGGCTCAAATCCCCGTAGTCCGTTTACGAAGTCTTTTCCACCGTGCAAGCAAGGCACCTTTGGTGATTGCATGCTGTACACACGTTTTGCCACTCGCCTATCGGACCATCCCTACATGCCGAACAAAACCAGACTGTCGGAGCGCCGTAGATGGGTGCGGATGTGTAATCTGATAGGCCGCAAGACAGGACCGGTGAAGCGGGTGCGGATATGTTGTGGCTCAAGAGGTGATGGTTGACGAGATAGTCCGTGTGAAGCGTGAATTCACTCTCGTCTGAAATCGAAGGAACCGTTGTACCCTCGAGGAATGCCGTGCGATTGAGCTGCAAAGACATTGATTGACGTTGAGGAGTCGAAGTTGCGTCGGAGTCCTTGGTAAGATAGCGAAGAGTGGAGTTGGCGGCCATGATGAGAGATGCTGAGACAGTAAAATAGTGATGAAGAGTTTGGAGTGATTTAGCTAGCAATGTGTTCCGAGTGAGATATGTGTATATGAGACTTCATTCTGAGAAATGGTGGGAACTTAAATGTATCTCGCCCGGGCAAGTCCCACTCGAAAGAATGCCTTGTGTCCATCGTTTCTTCTTGCTGCGCCTTCCGGTATGAAGCCCCGAGAAGGCATCTGTTTCTATGCCGGGATGTTGATTTGGTTGTTTAAGTGATAAGGCATACAGGTTGATGCCCAACACGGATAGCTGGCCAGTGATACGCAGTGAATGGTGGAGGACAATGAGAGTCCTACGAGAAACTAGCCGGGATCCCAGACAACGAGATGCATCGCCACATTACTGTAAAGTCGGTGTGTTATGGAAAGAGTCTTAGGGCAAAGGGCAAATGCCTGATTCTCTGTGTTTGCCTTGCTCAAAACCACATGATAACCTTTACATCAGACCATTCCAAGCTTCTTCCCCACATGCAGATCGGCAGCTGCAACGACATGTTGTAGTAACGTGGGTTGTTACACACAATACCACCATATAGTTTAGTATGGCTGGGTGCTGAGATGAACCGAGTAAGCGAGGCGATCGTTGATTTGCCTGATTGCCTGATTGAGTGACTCATTGGGATAAGGAGTCCCGGAGCTTGACAAAGATACTAGTGCCCGAATAAGTAATTGTTCGATATGGGACTATATCAGAGGTCTTGCCTACTTACCATAGCGCAGAAAATATAATTGTTAGCCTGGTTTGGTGAATAAGCATTGGCGATTTGTAGACTTGAGTCCGATGTAGGCACTTGCCCCTGCGCTCTTTGACGCCAAACAGAGCATGGATGGTGTCCAGAGCCTTCACAGCCACTGCCAAGTGAAAGATTTCGAACCAGCAACCTTGTGTTACCGGAAAATAAAAAATCCAGGCTGCTAGTCTACTTCAAGCACTGCCGGTACGATAGGTCGGCTGGCTGTGCATGTCGCTTTACTTCTGCATCAGCTGTTGTTTCTGTCATCAATCTTCGACAGCTCTACCGGTATATTACGATGGTGTGGTCGTAGTGCTGTAGCCTGGAAATCTACGCCTGGGCAACTGTTCCTGAATTTGACGCCGGATATGCAATGGTGGGCCAGCGACGATCATTGGTACGGCCAGCTCTGTGGTAGTGCGAGCCCCGATGCCTTCGGAGACGATGAACGCTTACCTATACAAGTAAACGTTGGCTGTGTATCTTTGGAGACTTGATGCATAGACGTCGAAGCTCGGATGCCATACTGCGCGTAGTCAGTCACCTGGACGTGAACGGCCGGTGGACAGCAGCTTTGCAGACTGTGTTGGACCATTTACTCTATCAAGAAGCACTAGGCAGACTCACTGTATGCTCGGAAGGAATGAAGCTTGCGCTGGTTTGGCCGTGGGTCAGTTAGTGCTAAATTTCTTGAGTACCAAAAGAGTATATGCTTCGCTTCTACACCAGGTGCAGGACGTAACGTATATACTACAATGAGAATTTTCTGAATACACGAAATGATTCAACCGGCTCCTCTGGAACACTGTCTAGATGCAACCTTTCGGACCCCGCTATCCACACATGATTGATGTCGCCTTTCCAGAAACGGCAAAAATATCTGGTGAAGGGGGCCGGAATGGCGGCGGTACTACCACAAAGAATCACTGAAGAAAGAAAAGAATGAGGCGATTCAGCCTGGGTCTCAGCCTTGGGGGATCCGGTCAATGTAATAGGCTTAGCTTCAATGGATTCATGTGCGTGTGGTCCTTCGAGGCGGTTTTCGGGGCGGTCGTCAGTCGTATCAGAGGCGCCGGAGGTTGGGTATGCTCTCCCACGACATGAAATAGATACATGCTGAGAAAAATGAACGATGCGACTGCCAGGCTGGGCTGCAGACCTTTTCTCGAGGCTATATGCAGGGTTATGTAAGGCGTGGATTGGCGAGGGGTCTGGTCTGATCCTCTTCGCTTCTAACCCAGAGGGCAAAAAGAGGTTTTCTCTGGTATGCGCAAAAGAACCCCAGAAAGCATACTGATGTTTTGCGCAGAAGCACTACAAGAAAAAAGCAAAGGAAGTTGAGAATTGTTGACCAGGCCTTGAGCGGCCGAGGATCATGACGTCGGCAGCCGGGCTCGGCCGATTGGACGGACGGCGCGTCGCACACGCGTGTACCTATTGCTCGCGGTGGAATTGAAGGCTTCTGAGTTGGCGATGCAACACCCAACAGAATGTTTGAAAGAATACGAATGACATGGGCCAGCAAGTATTGCAAGTTGCAATGACGTGGTTTGTGGTGATGTTGCCAAGCCCGCAGTAAAGAGCGGACTAATTGCGCATTGTTCGCGACCTTGGCCCAGCGGGCTGTGTTGTGCAACACCAGGATTCCTCCTCGCAAGCCTTCTCGCGAGGGCTCCTGGAGTGAGCGCAGCTATTCCTCCTGTTCCGTACTTTGTCGCGATGGCACCACCACCACCTCCCCCTCCAGTAGTCACCGATCCGCCAAAGCCCGGCGCCATCACCAACCCCGCCGTGGAACAGAAGATTGGCCAGGCTACCTCCGTCATCATCCCTCTTCTCGAGTTCGGCGCGGTGGGCTACGAAACCTGGGTCTTTGTGTACCTGATCTGTATAAAATACCTTATCAACCCATCGGACCAAATACAGCGCGACTTCAACATCCAGCCTCGGCGGTCCACCGGCATCGCGCTCATCGTCGTATACGCCCTTCTCCTGCTCTTCCTCACCACAACATGGCTGCGCCTCCTACAAATGATATGGTCCATGCCTGATATGGTCCCGTTCGGAGACACTGCACAAGAGAAGGAACATGCCAGCACTAGGGACTTTGCGTTCGACCAGTATGACGCATTCATTTGCGACTACCAAGGGCTACCGCTCTGGTGCGACAAGTGCCACAACTGGAAACCCGACAGAACACATCACTGCAAGGAGTTGGGCCGATGTGTGAGGAAGATGGATCATTACTGCCCTTGGGCAGGCGGAATCATAGCAGAGTCAACTCACAAGTTCTTTATGCAATTTGTAGCGTACGGGGCACTCTACACGACTTTTACTTGGATCGCGGTGGCTGTTTTCCTGGCAGAGCGCAATTCAAAGGTATGTTCCTATGGACATTGTTGGCGCATTTCCACTGTTGATTGCGCCGCTTGAACAGCGTGTTAACATGTTCCAGATGGGCTCAAGGCCGGGTACCTGGATTGGCGCTCTCGTAGTAGGGATACTGTTCAGCATCTTCAGCTTTACCATGTCCTGTATGACAGGCTGGAATCTCATGATCAACTACACCTCGGTCGAAGGCATCCAGCGTGGGGGCATCCACAACATTGCCTTTCTCATTTCCCAACCATCTCGCCGTTCGAGTACCACTCTTCCACCAGGAACGCCACCTTCGACGTCTGGAAAGTCTCATAAGAAGAGGTCTGACAGGACTACGGAAGGAGCAAGTTCCGAAGAGGACTGGCCTGTTCTGGCTACCGTAACTCGTGCTTCCAAGCGCTCCTATGTGGTGATGCAGACAAAGCCATTCGAACACCCTTGGTACACGAGCCTGATGCAGGGCTGGAAAGACACCATGGGCCACGGCATACTCGACTGGTTACTTCCATTCAAGCAGAGCCCGTGTAAAAACCGGAGTCACAGAGGCGAGTTCGCGTGGGGAGAAGTGGTATACGACATGGCGCGGATGTACGAAGAAAAGCATCCCGAAGTGCGACTCGCGTTGCTTCACGGGTCAAGCAGGCGATGACATTAATACTTCCATTTAATACTTTTCTTGCATATACTCTGGCAAGCGGGGAATGCAGAGTTTGTTGTTTTTGTCTTCTTTTCTTTTTCCAAGTACATGATACCCACGTACGGACGTTTGTACTGTATGTAACCGCCCACCCCAGCATTAACGGGTAAAAACAAAATCAAAAGCGAACGAAACAAAAAGCAAGCAAAGAATGAAACTTCTTAATCGGAACTCCGGCACACTCTATCTCAACGTCACTCGGCTCGCCATCACTCCCAATATACTTTGTCCACCCTTTCAACCAGGGCAGCGACGCTTGCAGGCTAACACACTTACCGATTTACGTGTCCAGATGAATCTTTTCAATGCACACGTAGTTACCATGACGTTCAATCACTGTCGCACAACCAGATAATCGTAGCACAAAAAAACCACGCATCTCCCACGTGGCTCTCGCACCTTGCCATCTGGACCCTTCTCTTCATCGCATTCAACCAACCACATTTTTTCGAACCCGCCGCTCATGGTAGGCTGCCCCTCAACTCTGGTACACCCAAGGTCCCGATCAACCCCCCACCCACAAAAAAGGGCGGGTAATCGTATATCGCGGCCCAGACTTTCTTGGATGGAGAGTCCAGGTGCTGCTAGCACCGATGATGTAAGTGCATGCTGTAATGGACCTCTGGGGCGAAACGTGAATGAAATGACATGTGTGATCACACAAGCAGAAAGACAGTTCCGTATGAGGAGAGAGACATGACCGCCGCATTCTCGCAATGCGCAGTAGTATCAAATCCACTTGCTCAAACCCCAACTATACCATTGGTGATTCGCAAAAGCACCCCCCATGCCCCCCTAGCACAAGTGCAAACCCGCATAAAACCCCAAACTCCAACATGTTACCCCATCTCGCCTCCACGTGGGTTTATGCAAAACCTAACTTTCCCACGTTCCCACGGAACGCCATCTGACCCCTATCAAGGCTGCAGGCAACCCAACCCTTCGTTTTCGCATTCCCTTCCCCCCGGACCCACGGTTTTTTTATCCTACGGAACTTGCCAATCGCCACCGTGAAAGCGAAAATTTCCGCCAAATCGGAAATCCAGACTTACTATTGCATATTCCACTAAATCTCGGTCTTTTGTTTGAAAAAAAACGAACACTTGTGCGAGTGTAGTGTGTGTGTGAGCCGTATGTCGGATACGGTCTCTGCGTTACCCTGGCTTGGAAAAGAAAGAAAGAAACGAGGAGACAAACGTGTAGGCTGAAGATCGTTATTTCGAACTTGCATGTGTATGTGTATATGTGTGTGTGTGTATGTGATCAACCAACCACCCGCCAGATAAGACAGTTGGACAGAAAAGACAGTAAGCGAATACGGGCCAACCCCTGGACATCCCTGTTCATAGACGCGCACGACACGCACGGCATGTGCGGACGATGGGCAAACGGGTAGGGAAGGGGGGGCAATGCGCGAAATGCGAGTGATTAAACCATTTGAGGAGGGGAAAAAGATGTGCACAAACAAGTGCAAATTTGGTGTGACGATCGTCATCTAAATGTCTTGTATATTGTGTGGTTCCCATGCTCCCTTTTATTTTCTTACGATCTCCGATGATGTGCCGCACGGATATGATGTTTTTGACGGCACACACACACACGCACAGGTGGCGAGTCAGTGTGGGAGAAAATCTGGGGCCGGAGGCGATGAGGAAATACGGAAGGTGACATGTGGGCATGTGTTTGTGCGGACGACGGTTGAAACTTGGGCTGTGTCGCAGAAAAGGGAGGGCGGGGCCGGGGAGGGAGAGATATGGAATAAGGTGAGGCTTTACATGGATTAAGACTTGATTGAGATTATTCGCGAGCAAGTCCGGGGAACACGGACTTTGCTATGCTCTGTCGGTATGCATGTAATGTCAGGGTTGCTACAAGAGGCTAGCTTTTTACGTGTTGCTGTAGGTGTAAATGTGATGGATTTTTCGTATTTCCCTTCGCCTCGCCTTGTCTTGCCTCCACAGAATAACCGTTTCATATGAACCATGGGTTCTATATATGGCCTAGTCCCACTGTTAAGCTGATAAACGCTGTAGTGGAAGGTGAGGAGATTGACGAGGCAAAAGGTCTGGGGCCGAGCCGGGGTTCGGGGGTTGGCGAGCTTTCGTTCGGGTACAAGATGTGATAAGGAGATGCAAGTATCAGGTGATTTTGCGTCAATATTCCGATCAATAGAGCTTCGTTTCGCTTGTCAGATTGAAGCACTTTGACGACCAAAACAAGGTGGGTTTAAAAAAAAAGTGAAGTCGCACATTTACAAAGAAGGTGACATGCGCTAGAAACCGGCCTGAAACATCAGGACACCTTTTTTAAGCACACCATTTGCGCCTCTCTTCCCCGACCGTTGTCAAAATTGTCAGGCATGTCAAATGATTTGTAAAAGAAAGAATGGCGCGAGCGAGCAAATGTTTCCGGCGTCGCATTACGCTTCCCGTATGTGACTCGTTTCAAGGTGCGGTGGGGCGCGTGAGCACATCCGACCAGCTCCCTGGTAAGATGTGATATCCTTGCAAGGTCATAATAGCCATGATCAGTTATTTGTTTCTAGGAATGACAGGTTGGACGAGAGGCGAATGAGCGCCAACCTGGTCATATCAAGGTTATTAGAATAAGACTATGCAGGGATGGCTTAGTAGCCGAAAGGGAAAATCATCTTAGCATCGGCCCAGACCAGCGCGTCCTTGCTCCGATCCCCCAGGGTTGACGCAGGCATCGTGCACGCCAGTCCCTAAGTGGTGGCATCCTTGCTGACGATCCCCAGCCAGGGTTCTAATGCAAACCTCGCCCTTCGCTTCACCGGATGTGATTGATTTGTGAAATTTAAGCTCCAGCTGTGGGGCGCATTGCGAGTTTGGCTGGCTGGCTGGCCAGCTGGGCTGAGTTGCCTGCTTTGCTTCGGTTCAAGGAGCCGAAAGAATGAGAGAAAGACAAGGGAAAGCGGGCAACGCATGTTCCGTGCTCTTCCCGATTTGGACAGCGTCGAGACCTGGGATGAAGGCGGGCTTGTGTGGGCCCTGACTCTCTTTTCTGTAGTATTTCAATAATTCTAAACGTGTCATGGCTCAACTTGTTCAGACACTTTGCCGGAGTGGTTCCATCCCGCGCTCCTGGTAACCTCCAAAAATACCAACGGCTTCTATACTACGCTCAGAGGTTGAGCGTTGTGCGTCTACGTTTTGAGTTTAGTTGGTGAAACACCGGAAATTCTCATCGCGTTTCAAGCATAGCGTCGACAACGTGATGGCTATCACAAAGCCTGAAAAGATCTGGCGATGAAAATTTCCTCATCGGGCCAGCCTGGAGCCATATACTACCAAATCTGGCCATTTGGTCGGGGTCCTTTTTTATGTAGGCGCTAGACAATCAATAGTACAACGCCTGGGGTCCATCGCCATAGTTGCCAGTTTGGTTGTTTCATGTTGCCGGTGCCTGAGGAAAGGTTTTTGTCAATCAGTTTGAGCCTCACGCCTCACCAAAGCATTGCCAAGAGTCATCGTCGAGTATGCAAAATCTTGCCTATGATATTAGGATATGTGGGAAGGAGGATTTTGGAGCTATGGCAAAATCAAACAAATCCATTGATACCTCCAGTGTACGACTGCAGCGCAGCAGTTCCCGATACTCCGTTTCCCAACATGCAAATGTGTCCTCCTATTTGAGTCCCAGGGTATTCGACGTTAGGAAAAGTCCCGGGTGTCTCGTGCACCCAGTAAACGCTTGTAAAACCTTTAGTGCCTATGCTGAGCCTGAATGATGAAAACAGAAATCGCCTAAAGATGGATGGAAAGAAAGAGAAAAAAATACATGGATAAGAAGTAACGCCGAGGAAATTTTGGTTCAACCAGATCGCCAATGACGCAGAGAAGTGAAAATAGTGTGTTGGGACCGTACCCGTGACTGGATCTAAGTAAAGGGCTAGTAATGGACGACGTATGGCAAGAATAAGGCGCCACTCCCGAGCGACTTGCGGGCCGGGCAAGACTATGCATCAGGTCCGTTGGCTTCGCGTTCACGCTGCTCCTTTTGTGGGGCCCGACGGCGTGCGTTGATGAACCAGTTGGATACCTAAATCTTGTCAGTCACTTGTCCGGTACCACGAAGTAAGATTCTAAACAGTCCCACAAGACAGGTCTAAGGCCATTCAACGGCCCGAAAGGGCGCTGCCGTCTAAACCAGACGACACTGAAAGACAGAAATGGCACATGTAGTAAAAGTGTCACAGTTGACACTTTGGCTGAAGATGATGACTTACCTGATTGAGACTCAAGCCAGTGCGGTTGCAAAGTTCCATCTTCTGGTCTTCTGTTGGGTAGGGCGACTGACGGTTCGCCGCAAACCAGTCCTTGAGAAGGTTGGTTGCCTCCTTGGGTAGGTTTCCTCTTCGCTTTCTGTTGAACGCGCTGTGGTCAAGACCGACGTTGTGCTGGAAGCGAATGTCCCCGCCGTAGGGCGCATCGTAACCAGAGTAGGAGGCTCGAGGGTAGTAGGAATCCTGGGACCGTTCATAGCCGCTGTAGGCGGCTGCTTGGTGGTCATGATAGTAGCCCGGCTGAACCATGGGTGGTTGATAAGGGTTCTGGGCGATTGGCTGATGGATGGCTGGCTGCGCAAAAGGCATCTGGCCTTGAGGAACGGGAGAAGACTGGTGGCGGACATGGGGGTTCATTGGGGGCGCTTGCTGGTGAGGTGGCGGGTAAGAAGGAGTTGCACGGTGAGAATAGGCCGATGGTGCAGGTTGTGCAGAGTGCTGGTGAGCGATGTGGGGTGAGTAGCCGGAAAGGGCAGGATCGATGGCGCTGCTCATGCGGCGAGGCTCAGCAAAAGACGGTTCGATGCTGCCGCGAGCGTAAATGTCACCAAGCGTGTCGACTCGCCTACGTTTGCTGTCGGCCCACGCTACCTCGTCAAAGTGGGGCTGGGCATGAGGAGAGCTGTCGGCCGAGCCATGTCGGCGTTGGGGCGTCCTCGGTGGTGTGGTGGCTCGGGTAGTGTGAAGAAACTGCACATGTCAGCAGTGCCTAGAAGAAAAGGTCGGATCTAAGGGTTGGTTTTACCTCTGAAAAGGAAGGGAGCTTGCCAGGAAAGCTCTGCTCTCCAGGCTGAATTGGTGGAGAGCTGCGCATGTGATGGTTCTGGGTTTCTGTCAGATTACTGCTTATGTGTGAAGTTGGTTGCTGTGTTTCGTAGGGGCGTGCATCAGAGGCATCATTATTGTCGTCGTGGGAGTGAATTTGCTCCAAGGAGTGCGGGGAGATGATTGAGTCGAGGTTGGACTGCCTCTTTGGTGGAGATGGTGAAGTGTGCGGCTGACAATGGTGGTGGTCCATGACTTGACTCCGGCTAGAGAACGAGGGCGGGCAAAGGGCCGAGGATTTGTCTTGGTGGGCTTGTGCGTGTATAGTGGCGCGGAAGGAGCCGGGCAGTGGGGGTGATGGGGGCTTGAGGGCAGGTTCGAGGAAAAGGGGAGGAGACAACGGTGCAGGGGAAGCCATCGAGGCAGACGAAGAAGAAGTAGGCAAAGTAGCAGTAGTAGTAATAGAAGAAGAAGCGTGACTTACCGCAGCAACCATGTTTGCCAGCGGACTCTCTGCAGAATGTGACGAGTTCATTTTGCGCGAGTGCAGTGGTTCACAGTGGCGGTGCGGAATATCTTGGAGGGTAAGATATTCCATAGGGGCAAATGTGGGATAGTTAAATACTCTGGAGACGCAAATGCAGGCGTTAGCAAGAGAGAGCGGTGCATGTCAATGTGTCGATGGTGAGTGGACGGGGCCATTTGCTCATCCATAGTTGGTGACAGCTTGGTACCAGGCCCGACTGGCACCGTTGACTGGCACCGTTGAATGCAATCAGGCACGAGCGGGGTGGCAGACAGAGGGCAGAAAGGGAGGGCGACTTACCCAGGTATCTAGGTGGTGATGTAACGGGGGACTGGAAGAGGCAACGTAGGGGGGCAGTGCCAGGCGGGTGAACCAGGGAATGGCGATGGCAGATATATGCGGGGCGGGCAGCGGGCTATTATGGTACAGAGGGCGTGAATGGGGTGGTGAAGAATGTACAAAGGCAGAGCCACAACGGGGACCAGAGCGGAAAGGGAGCCGGCGCAAGCACACAGCGAATCGTACGGGACAAGGACGGGATGCTGGGGTGGTGATGACGGGTGGGCGGGTGTTTAAGAAGAAGTCGGATTGGCAAAGGAGGCGTTTATGGGCCAAGCAGGACTGCAACGGGCCGTACATTTCCCATGCACTCTGATCGTGCAGCATGGGCAAATGAGCCAGGGGGGCCAGCGTGTGACGGCCAATGAGCGGGGGGCCAGCGCGGCTAGCAAGACGTGTGTAGACTTGACAGGTGAGGGTTAAGGTTTGGTCTATATTCTCCGAGCGTGCACATTGCAGGCTCTGGCCGGACAGAGGCCGAGAGGAGGGTCAGGTAGGAAACAAGAGACCCTCCGCCTACGCCGCAGATTCGAGGCACGAGCCAGCGCGCTGAAGCTGCGCCGTCTGCTGCAAGCGCCATTGAGCGTCGCCCGGTGTCTCCACCTCTCGAATCGTCGCAGATCGGGCTGCATCTGACTCGGCGCAGAAACGGACCAGGGCGTCGTCTGCCTCTGGCCCATTCCGTCGCACCCTCGACCTGCCCACCCGTCCTCCAACTCGGCATGCCCACACACTGGATGCCGCAGCCATCTCACAAAGTTCCATGACGGCGAGGAAAAAAGCGGGCTATGGCCAAGCACCACACTGCTCCACGCCCGCCTCCAGCTCGCTGGTACAAGGCCCCCTCTGGTCGCGTCCTCTCTCCCCCTCTGCATCCCTTGACTATTGTCAGGCCATGGCTCCTCATTCCATAGAGTTTGTGCCTGTGTATCGACCTTGAATCCTGCGCCAGCATGACAACGACAAAAAACTGAAAAAAGCAAAAAACACACCCAGCACCAACACCAACAACACAGACTACTGCTACTACGACTACGACTACCACGTCGACTAGGAGCGGCTCAGGAGCAGCTTTTGCGGGGTGCTAGTAGCTGGACGGCGCTACTAGCTTGCATCCATGTCCTCGACTCCTACTACCGCGTCCCCCCGTCGTCGTCGTCGTAGTAGTAGTAGCAGTAGCAGTACTAAGTCGTACAGGTGGGCAATCCACCGTCTGCACCAGCACAAATGCAGATGTCCATGACGGCATGCTGGAAGAGAAGGCAGTTGGAGTGGTGAGGGGCAGCCAGGTACCCGACGACTGGAAGGCAGAGTGGTACATGTCACGCAGCACCAGGCACGATAGCCGGCAGACAGCTGCCGCCGCACTCAACCAGGCTGGTGGCTGAAGGGCTTCGACAGTTGTGCGACGGAGGCGTACCAGCATCCGGGGGGCAGGACTTGTGCAGGTGTGTCGAGGCAACACAGAAGAGGCGCTAGAGCTGCGACTGCGAGCGTTGGGAAGGCCGAAGAGGCGTTTTCGCCGTGCGACAGGAATAGGAATTCGAGCGACAGCCCACGCCCGCCGAGTTGCGACATGCGACAGTCGACATTGGCACGACAGTGCATTGTCGCCGGCTCTGGTTCGGCCGTGTCGAGCGGGAGATGATCCACCGCCGGGCCATGGTCATGGTCTTGTCTACGCCTGGCTACTCTGGGAACAGACTAGACGCTGCCTGTGTGGACCCTGAATCAGCTTCACCTGGTCTGGTGGTATTGATGGGGATGACGATGATGATGTGGACGATGCCGGGAATGGTGGTAGTGGCGGTGGTAGTATTGCTGATGCTGCTGCTGCTGCTGCTGCTACCACCACCACTACCGCTACCGTGCCCACTACAGGGCTCCGGTGTCTGTCCTTGCATGGCTGCCACACATGTACTTACGTGCATAGTACACATCACCCACAGCCTGGCCAATTTTGACAGGGAAGCCAACAACAACACCAATAATACTAACCACGACGCCCCTTGGGCCCCCGGCCAAGCCGGTCGCTGGCTCCCACCCACGGCCATGACCGCGGCCAACACCATGCTTACATCCACCCGTCCATCCCTCGCAAGTCGACGGGCCCCTTCTGCAAGTGACAGATGTCAGTCGCATGCAGAGCGACTGCTAAGGGCAGGTTGGGCATAGTGCGAGGACGTCTCTGCGCCTCAATGATAGACGGCAGGGATGGCGCCGCCATGCCTCTCTCGGCGTCGCGTCTCCCCGTCCGGTGCTGATCCGACGTCCCGCTAGCCGGCCGATCAAACACAAATGCATCTTACTATCTGCCTGGAAATGACCGACATACTCCCTCGTCCGCCTCGCTGTCATACATACAAACAAGATGAGACGCTCCCCCCGCCAACTCCACGCCAAACTCTACGCCGTCGCAGCCAAAACATCCAACCACCACCACCACTACTCCCGCCAAACTTTGCCCTGCGCCTGCGCCTGCGAACCTTCGCCCACTGCGCTTTGTGCCTTCTGACGAGATTCGCCCCTATCCTTGTCCTCGCATTCGGCACCCGTGCATGCCGCCAACACACAGCCTGTCTTGGCCTATGTAGCTACTTACCTCCTTGGTCCGACCGTTATCAGGCTCGTGTGCACGCGTAACCCGCTTCCACCCTCTTGGCTGTTGTTCAACATGTCCACCATGATCATCCCGCCCGCACGCCGAACCTCTGGCTCGGGATCGGTTCCTTCGTTAGCAAGAAAAAAATTATTTGACCAGAAGCAACAGCACCAAGCCTTGCCTGAACCGGCCGTTTCCAGCCCAATGCATTCCATGCGCCCTCTCACAAGCTTATCGCGTACCATCGACAGCAGCCACACGAGCGTACAGCAGCAACTGGCCCGCCTGACAGTCCATCAGTCCTGTTGCTGGGCAGCCACCATTCGTAGCCAGTCTTAACCTTCCCCTTGCGCTATGGCCTAGGGGCCTGTCACCCTATGCCAGCGTAGCCATCGCCTTGATACTGGAACGTTAGCCAACGGTTCCCCTTTGCTCGGTGTTAGAACTTCTCCACAGCCGAGTCTCGCTCTTTGCTGCAAACCATGTGCAGTGAGCTTGTCCTTGCAAGAAGCCGCCTCTTGCATCTAGATCTTCACCCTTTCACCGGTCTCTGTTACTCACCAGGTACACCCTATCGTGACTGGCCCTGGTTACACTAGACGGAAGCCGCGGACGCTTTTGTGATTCGAGACGGACCTTCAATCTGCCCTCCAAACTTTGGAGTCCAAGTAATCTAGACAAACGTTGCTTCCTAAGCACTGTTGCCATGTGCCTAGAAGCATGTAAATCGCTAGAAGCTGCTTCCAAGCCTTCGGCCCAATGCCAACCCTCACTACAAGCCGAAGCTTCACAATCTACACCAGATCAGACTGCTAATCGGTGCATCTCGATGATGCGACACCCCATCTTGTACCCCAGACCTTGGATCGTTCATCACACCGCCTCTTTGCGATAATGCACACCGGATCGCCTGGGAGATGAAGGGATTCGCTTTGATGTTTGTAGAACAAACCCATCGGAAGAATTGGTCAGATACAAGCAGCCTGACGATAACGACCAGAGGGGGCGTACCCGTGCCACTTGTACGAGGTTGACACATCGCCGTCGAAGCACATCTGTTACCACATTCTCGGAATCGCCACTGCTTTCTCAACCACTAATGCGTGAGGACTGGTTGTCGTGGACGGAATCCAGTCCTTGTAGAAGCATCGACTGACAAGGAAAAGAATGCAGATACAGTTGCACAACGCATGGTGCTGTACATGCATCTAAATTACCCCACTCATTCTTCCGCATGCCAACAACCTCTCCGATCAACCGACTTCCAGACATTCATGAACACCGCATCATCATTTACCCGGTATCTGGGACAACTGCAGCAATTACGCACCACATCATCTGCACATCACGACACCTTTGCAGTGACAATATGGCATATGTACAGCATGCTGGCAGGCACTGCGCTGAAACGTCGTCACTCGACGTTTGTACACCTGGAAACTTTGTTGAAGATACACCAACAGGCGTGGAAAAGCTTTTTACCTGCATCGTCGTCTTTGACGCTCTACCTGCAGCGTCACAGAGTTCGCTTTAAGTTCAATGAGGCGACACTCTGTTTTCCCGCATAATTTCTGATGTTACCATTGTCCCAGATGGCGATAATTCCCCGCTACGTTTGTCTAGACCCATTTATTGTTGTCGACCAAAAGCTTACCAGCATGTGAAACATCACCATTCATGTGTTGGTCGCACTGGATTGGTCGCTCTTTTATTCCGTTGATTCCTGGACGCCTTAAGTTCACTATCGAATCGCCACTCACGCGTTTCAAAGACGAGTGTCAAAGATACTAGTTCAGTCTATATGGCCATTCCTATAATGATTTGTAATGTCTGTGTCGTGACAATAAAGACACTTGTTTTGGACCAGGGGTGCTGTATAGACTCTATTTCTTCACTACGTTTAGGCATTGGAGAATGAATCCGACATAAATTCGGCGTCCAACTCGACTGATGCAATGCCGAATAGGGTCGATTCCATTTACATCTTTTTGTAGGAGCCATCTCCGTTGCAGGCGACTCGCTGCAGACTACAAGTGGCATGCCAATCCAGTCAGCCACAATTTGGCACCGTAACGAGGACCTTATGCACAATATTGCCTGTCGCAATACTCGGGCTATCTCGGAAATCACTTTCCTGGCCCAAAAATCTTTGTACATCAGCCCTGGTGGCTCTGCTTCCTGAGTTGTTTTGCCGATTCGACGGATGTTGGTTAAGATCTGACACCTGCACACCTGCCAATAATGGTAAGTGTATGTATTTGGCTCTCTTTATCATGCCAAGGTTGGTACCCAGATGAGTATTGATCTACCAGAGGACTTTATGCAAGTAATGTGTCCAGTATGGTTGATGCTCGACACGAACCACAAAAACCGTTGTGTGATGATTACCATTATCAGGAGTATCCGGATTTGCGTCAGTCAGGTATTCTGAAAATACTGGACGTTTGCGAGTCATATCGAATAGCCCATCAGTCTATTCGCCTGTACTTATGTGTACCGAACTTTTCATGGGCTATTGGGTGGCTGTATTCACCCAATCACAGCATTACTCCAAGAGCGTCCCAGCTAGCGCGCTTTTTCGGTAGCTGACACTGGCACTGGCTAGCCAACTTATGACGCTGTTCCTGCATATGGATAGACTAAATGTCCATCCAGCCAGGGATCGTCGGCACAGCCACTGTTAACCCTTCATCGTTCGGCTCTGCTTACCATGAGTGTACTAAAACAGATATTTGAGCCGTACTTCGAGTCGTTGAGATGACAAGGGGGCGGCCATGTCAGACGCGACGATCAATCTAACTGCAGATCTGGCCTGAGAGAGAGTTGCGACATGTCGATACTGCAGCCATCCCGCATCTTCACAACGCCATCCCAGAACCCTTTTCTTGGCGACAGGTCTCCTCCTTACATACGCCTGCTCGGAAGCGCAAGCGAAAGAGAACCCGGCACCACTAACACCAAAATCTCTTGGCGCGGGATTAGGGATAAACACGCCGATCTGGTTGTGGGTGACAGCCGCCCGAAGACGGCGTCGCTGATCTCGAAGAGTATATCTCCGACGATGAGTCCCGCCTTATATCACCCAGCACTATCTAGAGCTTGGCGAGGCTGGCCGGGATATCAAATACTACGAAAAAAAATGGTCCTGTGCAGTATTGATTGCACATGGTGTGACAGACAATGGTAAGAACCTTGAGACGCATACCGTCATTCGAAGCATTGCCGACTAGCTCGGGTCTAGGATACTTCCAAGTCTGAAGGCGACAGCGAACTACATGTGACGACAGACATTATGGAGAAGTTAAAAATTGCGGCGATCTGCGTGCGGACGATTGTGACGGCTCACCTGCATGTACCGCCTGTCTCGGTTATTATCGACAGACCATGTCCATACTCAGATGTCGTTCACGAACACAAAAGCTAAGGTATACGGGAATACAGGGAGCACGTATGGCACCAAGGACATCGGGACTGCTAGTCGTAGTAGACCTCGCATTCACGTTTCCGTTGTTGCATCGGGCCAAACACAATCAGCTAGTGACCGCTCGTCTTGCCCCAAACGATGCAGATCGCCCGCAAGGAACCCCTCGCCTGCATGTCGCACTCGTAGTGGCATTCTACATAGATAGGAGAAAAGCCATTGTCAATCGCCAACAAGGGATCGTTGCGGGCCGCTCGGTGTCTAGACCTTTCTCAAATCATGGTACGTCAGATGTGTCGAAACACTGCACTAGACGTCCCTAACGTCGAGCTTAAATTTAGCATGGTCTTTCCCTGGCTGGGGCAATGATCCCTACCTTGAAACATGTGCGGCATTGACCTGATGGCGCAAGTAGACACAGTAAGCGAAAGAATACATGGCATTTCTCACTCTTTGACAGCGATTACCATGATATTACAATGTTTCAAAGCAGACGGGATGCACCCGATGCAGCTGACCAGTCGACCCTAGCCAGTGACAGTGACCCCCTTTCTCATGACGTCAGCCCCGGTGCCCGAAAGCCAAGATGACTGCGTAGAGTAGTGGAAAGCGCATAGCATAGCCTCCCCCGGGCGACATCCGCTTCAACGTTCTCCGCTGTCATCTGCAACAATTAAATGTCACAAACGATTGGCGGGATCTTATCCCGATCGGCGACTAAGTAAACTTACGTACGTTCCCTCCTCCCAAACCCAACATGAGCTGCAAACCAAGCAACAAAGCTAAAGCAAGCTTCCCCCCCGAACTAGGGCGCAGCCGGCCGACGGACTCTCTGACTAGGCCCTTCTCCGCTGCGCGTCATTCGTGATTTCCCATGAGCCATTGAGCCTTTTAAAAGTACCCTAATCGCAGAAAGGCACATCCATCCCTCCCCCCCGCCCGCGCGCACGCACACGCACAAACGCGATCCATTTTCTGAATCATGTGACATTTCTCGGAGCTGAGCGAAGGTTAGTTACTCAACCATAAGGTTTACGGTCATGCACGCCAAAACCCTGCTTTTGTTCTTTTCTTTTTCCTCTTCTTTCCCTTGCACTTTGCAGGTCGTAGAAGGATTTGCGAAAGCTGGTGAACCACTACTTGCAGCTAAGACTCTTTGTTTTTCTTTTCTTTTCTTCTTCTTCTTCTTCTTCTTCTTCTTCTTCTTCTTCTTCTCTCGTTCCCAACTGCCAAACGTAGTGCGCTTCCAGTAAGGTGCTAACGGTGGCTTCTCCGCATGCCGCTAAAACGCCCATGAGGCCACCTCCGTACCCTGATTTTTTTTCTCTGGCTTCCCGGGTGACTTGTTCGTTTTTCTTGACCGGACGCGGGGCAATCACGAGCTTGCGTGTACAGTGGTGTGCGGGTAGAGTATGGGTGTGTGAGTGGGGGGAGCATGATGGTGGGCTCATGGCTCTTCGTTTCCCCTTACTACTACCAAACTGTCTAGAAGCCATCTTTCTTCAATGACACGTTGTTCTTCTGGATTACAAGAGCGGTGTAGAAGAGGGTGGTGAGGCCTTTTTCACAGCTCATTACCCTTATGTGTATAAGTCAGTGCTAGTAGAGTTTATCGGTTTTTTGGTAGTAAGCTATGGTCTGGAATGCAGATATATACCATGCTAGGCTCAATCTTGTGTAGTGGCAAGGCTAGAAAAAGAACACTGACCTTCCATGACGTTTCTTAGATGCAATTCCGAAACCCTAAAAATATCGTATTTGAGATACTGTCAAAATTAATAAAAAAAAAGTATAACTCGCTTTGTTCGGTTGTTTTAGACGACATATCCGCGTTAACCTTGGATATAACCTTACTACTAAAGGCGAACAAGCTCACGTCAGCACGTTTTATAGAGTTTGGGAGATTGCGGGTTGTATCTTAAAGTTGTATCCGATACCCTGCATTTTTTTTTTACAAACTGACTGGCTAGCTCATACTTTTCTCTCTCTGTCGGCCGGTTATGCTCGTTTGGTCTAGAATCCTCTATTCCCTGTATTTTAGCTAGTCACCAAGACAACAATCAAGATTAAGACAGGACCACAGGGATCAACATTACCCTGGTACTGCGTATAATATTTTGCTGTCCTTCATCTCTGCATGCATGTGAAGACAACAGACAAGCCAACCCCCCTTTCATGTTTCTTTGCCCCCTTACATCTCCATATGTACAAGGATATGAATCACAAGGACAAGGAACTAGTCACGTGAAACCTTATACATAGCCATGCCAGGTTGTTTTTTTTATCTCCCAAATGATTATGCTAGTTTCTCTCGTCAAACGATATCAAAACACCTTCTCCGACTGCTCTCCCCACTTTGCCATAAACTCAAACTTTCCACGTACCCAAACAACACAGTCACTCCCTCTCAAACTTTGCCACACCGCTATAGATATACCGGATCCCTGAACAAGAACATCGATACAACCCTCTCGACTCGTGATTCTATCCACTTCCCTGCATTACCTTAAATATACCCCTTTTCCATCTACGCTACTCTACAGCTTTTTTCTCTCTCTTGTGATGTATACTTCCCCCTCACGTTATGCTACAACTTACCGCGATGAGTCTAGTACGTCTCCTTCCCTGCTACTATTTTACTTAACTCTCCAGATTTCCGCGCCCGCTTGGCCCCACCGCTTTACTATAACATGTTTGCATAAGATGGAGAAATTAGAAGTAGATAGAACATGTAGAGCACCCTCTTGGACGCTATGAACAAGGCGAAAGCATTGAGACTATGCTCATTAGGGGGGGGGGGGGGTGTTACGAAAGTTGTTATATATCCTACGCGGCTATAGGGCTTCTTCTCTAAGTTAAAGGTAGTGTGATTAGGAATGGGAGAGACTACGTACATTATAGACTGATGGATTTGAAGGTTTAACTTCTTTACTCTAAATATATATAAATCTTTAAACTAGAGAAGAAAAGAATTACGAAGCTAATGCATTTTCATCATTATCATCACCATCACCTCCCCCTTCCCCCCNCCCCCCCCTCTGTATCTCCCGTCAAATCTTTTACAAAAAAAAACAATCCAATGATTAAACATTATTTTATTTTTTTTACTTCCCTTTATTTTAGCGTATAATCATACTATAAAATGCTATTTGAAAACATCCTAGATAGAAACGTAAAGAAAGATTGCTAAAGAAAAAAAAAGAAGGATGTAGTAGAGGGCTTTAGCAATAGTAAAGGAGTGAGGGGTATAAGGACTTGGTACTAAAACGTAGAATCCTGTAAACATGGTAGAAAGGAAGGATATAAACTAGTAGAAAGAAGAGAGGGGGTGTACCAGATAAAAGAAAAAGATACATAAATGCCTAGCTAGTAAATACTGCTTTAGTACTCTTGTCTGATAGAATAGCTTAAGAGAGGTCTTTAAAGCCAAGATGTTAAGATGCACGGTGTTGGTACGTTAGAGGTTTGGAGAAGTAGGATAAAGGGAGGGTAACAAGTGTAGCGTTCTTCTGTGTCATTGATTGATTAATATATCGTAGTTTATCTTATTTAGTCTTTCAAGGTAAAAAAGTTATAATAGAAAGTGATTTAGAACATACAATGGTAATATTGAATATATATCTCTATAGTAAGACTAGGGAAGAAAAAAAAATAAGAAAAGGATTTATACACGTGCACTTGGAATGGTTGAGGAACGTGTTATATGCTGGGACTTGGTTGGTATTCTCTGTACGCGTAAAATTTCAAAGTCAAATGAGCCATTGTAGAGATTCGTGTATAAATATTCTTTGAATTCATCATTGTCCTTTGAATCTTTTTATCTTTTAAAGCATACCGCCCCCCCCTTTTTTTTTTCCCTCAATCAACCACCAATACTCACACCCAACTTTACAAACCAGGAAATTTTAGACCACAACCCAACCATCTACAACGTACTCTGATGCGAAACCTCCCTCCTCACACCCTCTTCCTCCTTGCCACCCCCCTTGCCCACTAACCTAACCCCAATACTCGGCTTATGCACCAACGTCTGCAACACAACACAATACCTCTCGGTCAGCTTCCCCAGCCTCTCCACCTCGTCCTCACTAACCACCCTGCCATCCCCCCTCTCGCCAAACTCGACTGAGAAATCCAGTCGAATGCCCGTAAGCCCCACGGGCGCCGTCTTGTCCACGCCCAACGTACCGCGGAAGTCCAAGTCGCCCTCGGCAGTCACAGTGCCTGAGACAATGGGGATGCCGAGCGCCGTGGCAACGGCTTTGAGGGTGACGCCCGAGCAGGCGACGAGGGCGTCGAGGAGCATGTCGCCTGAGCAGAGTTCGCCAGAGATGGCAGGGTCGTCGCCGCCGGCTTTTTGGTGCAGACCGGCGACGCGATGGGCTTCTTTGATGGCGGGACTATCGGAGAGCTTGCATGTGATTGAGTGGCTGTCTAGGGAACCTGTGGATTTTAGGGTTACGACGGCCGACGAAGGGTCGTTGCGGTACCCTTCTTTGATGGGGGCTTGCTTTTCGCGCAGGGCTTGGGCGGCCGACATGGTTGTGGTGACAGTGCTGACAAGACGTGTTCAGTGTGTTTGTGTGTGTGGTGAGAGCTGCGGGGTTTGATGTGCAAAAGAGATCTTCTTGGAATGATTAAATAATAATTGGGTTTATGATGACCTGGTGTGTACTTGAGCCACTAGACAGTGGACGGAGCTTGCCCCGCAGAGGGCAGGTCATGGTTCCGTAGCCCCGCTTTGCCAGTTGAGCGGGTAATGAAATGGGAAGGTGGGTTGTGACATCTTCTTCGTCTGTGAAACAATTCCAGCGCAAAGAAGAAGTAGATTGATTGGGTTCCGGGTCTTACGACGCAACGATGTTATAGAACCATAGCACGCATAATGTATAGCAATCGAGATAATAGGAGTTGACGATAAGATAAGGATGCGGGAACGATAAAACCTGGATGACGACTTGGTTATTTCATGTCATCTCCACTCTGTTGTGGGGTACGCAACTAAAAGACTTGGACAACATTACGACTACTACAGTATTAATCCGTCTGCGAAACTGTCGTTCACGCTTGGACCTATGCTGAACACTCAATCTATTACAAGCCCTCCTCAAGTTCCTTGCATCTCGACAAACGCATGACAAACACGGATAAGCAACCACTAGAAAACAAAAAGCAGTCGGTCGCAAATAAAGAGCCCTTGATTGCTTCCTTGTTACACCAATCTGATTTTGACTCAAAAGAAAACATCCTTATGCATGACACTGGAAGCCCCCGCCGTTTCCTCCCCATCTCTTGCCGTCTTCAGAACATCCGGGCATGGATGCGTACAAAACAAAATGATCCAACATGGCTTGATGTGCGACTTCTGTCTCCAACTCAGTTTGTGGAGTACATTCACCAGCTCTCCTCTCTTCTCACGCAATGAAAACCAGCAGAATATAAGATACAAGGTCGGTAGATAAGATGCCTAATGCGCCAATAGAAAACAGCCCAGGCTAGCAGCCATTGGGTAATCACAGCTGCTCTACGCGTTTTCAAAAGTCCCAGCAAAACGAGCCAAGATAGTATAACAAGGGAAATGTAATGTGTACGAAAAAAAACGAGACGGAATAAAGTAAAGAAGTAAGGCAAAGGCACACAGTAGGCGTATGCAACGGGAAAAGGGGACACAGATTTGAAATTATTCTGACAAGGAAACTGGGGTATCGTGCAGAAGATTGGCCGCCAAACGCACAAGGGGTAGCGGTGGCCAGTCGACAAACGCCTGGTTGCTAGGGTGCCCTTGTCTTGCTCAGCTAACAAGCAAGCTCAGCACGTGAAATCAATAGGGATCGTTGATTAAGAGCCTGGTCGAGGCAGTCAAACGGCCGGCGAAAGGGATACAGAAGTGTGAGACAGAGTGCGCACATGAAAGGTAATGAGTGCAAGGAAAAAGGTCATGGCGGGTCGTAATGGCACAAGCCAAAAGAGCCAGTCTTTTATAACAAGATAAGGTAGTTGCTGGGCGCGATACCAGTCTCGCCATTTGGCTTCTTGGCCTGCCACCAGCGTCCGCTGACGTCGGATACTTCGAGAATGTCGTGCTTCTGGAAGCTGATTTCGTTGGCGTCGTCTGGATTGGCCTCGTAGCTGTAGATGGCCTTGGCACGGTAGGGGTACTCGATGGTGGCTTCTTGCTGAGCCTCGTCGTTTTGTGCTTGGGAGGGGATAGCGCCGAAGGGTGGGGCGGATGAGTTGCGGGCGTTTGCGCCAGTGGGGCCGCCGGGGTAGCCGGACACGGGAGAGGACGTCTCGAAGCCGTTGAGTTGGGCGGATGTGTACATTTGGGGGGCGGCGCTCTGGGTTTCAGGACGGTTCGTGTAGCCGTTGGAAATTGGTCGGGACGAGCGAGAGCCTGGGTGCTCCTTGTTCAGGGCATAGGAATCGACAAAGGTGCGGTGGCTGGCTTGTGGTTGCGATCCGTAGTAGAAGATCCAGACAATCTGGGCAATGTCAGCAGTGGTCAGTAATTGGTAGAGTGTGTAATGCCTTACCGCGATCATGGAGAGCAGAATATAGCCGGCGGCAGCAGCCTCGAAGGGGGTGACGGGTGAGTAAACGAGCGAATTGACCGACGAGGTAGTGAAGACAAGGCCAGCAGCGAGGAAACCGACAATCTGAGCGAATTAGCAAGGGCGGCCGTGGGGAGGTTGAGGGCGAGCGAACGTACGGCGATATGGTAAGTGCGCTCAGCATCCGAAGCGACTGTGACGGTGACGCCGACAATGCAGAAGAACATGAAGACGAGAGTCCACCATGCGAAGTTTGGGAAGCCGCCGTGAATGGCGGATATTATGGAGCTGACAAAGGAGATGATCCAGGCAAGCTGTGGCAGCGGTCAGTGAGGGAAGGCGCGAGGGAAGGCACGGTTGCGGATGGGCAGGAGCGACTCACGATGCCAATGGAGATTGTGGCGAGGGCAAAAGGGTCGCCAACAATGCGGCCGAAACTGAAGCCCGACGACCTCTGGCCGTAGCCTCCGTTTTCCATTTTTGCGAACGAGGTGGATGTGGCTGAGTGGGACGAGGGCATATACTGTTGGCGGTGGTTGGGATGGACTTGGGGGCGAGTAAATGAGGAGGGTGTGGTCCAGCGACGGCAGCGAGGCGCAGCGAGGGGGTAGGTATGTATGTAGTATGGATGGGCCGACGGATGGATGGATGGACGGATATAGTGATGTGTGTGTGTGTGTGTGTGGTGTGTGTGGTGTGTGTGGTGTGTGTGGTGTGTGTGTGGTCGGCGGCTGCAAAAAGAGGCGAGGGTACAGACAGCGCAGCACAGCTAGCAGGCAAGCAAGCAGGGCAATGGAGAGAGGGCGTCGAGGGCTTTTGGCAACGGCTGCTTAGGGCAGAGATGCGACGGTTTCAAGTCGGGCAGGCTGGGGCGCGCCATTGGCCGGCCAGGTCGCCCAGGGTCGGTCGGGGATTGCAGCGGGTCCCACTCGTATGCAGATTAAAATGGTACCGCTCCAACTCAGCCAGCGGGCCTGGACACGCTCGACTGCACACGCGCGTCGACTGCATCAGCCCGAGAGCGGCCGACAACGAGCACGCACAATCAATCGACAGCGACGGCAGCCCACAACTCAGCACACGCTGCACTCCCCCGCCGCGCCGCTCGTCGCCTGCGTTTTGCTTCTGCTGGCTGGGCGAAACCGACTGGCACAAAGGCCATTGCCGCCAGCTGGCCAGGGGGTTCCTGAGCGCACCGTCGAGCCCTGCAGTCACAGCATCCCTCCGAACTCATCGCGAACCACGCCGTCCAGGGCACAGAACAGCCACCCCCGCCTAGGCATAGCGGCTGCTGCTTTGATTATCCCCATCAATCGGGGCCCGTCTGCCGCGACTGGCCCGCCCTGGCTCGACGCAGAGCATCGTCGTCGACCCGGCGTCCCCTGCGAAGCCAATGTGGCCATGTCAGCAGCGCCCTCGTCGTCCTCTTCGTCCTATGTAATCAAGCATCAATTTGGTCAGGTACAAGCCACACTGCACAGACACACGTCTTGTTCCTGGTGCGTGCAGCTTCTAGCTACGCCCTCACCAGGCCGCCACGACGCTTGGGGCATCGCCAGATGATTCGAGACACGGCTGAAACGCCTTCCTACGGCAGCCTTCTCTCCGCAGCCCTACACAACATCACCTCGACATCATGGCCGCCTACCAGGCGCTTATCAAGCATCGTCATGTTTGACAATTTGCCTCGATGACATGGCATAATGTTTCTTCGCTGCCCCCGCCGTCCAATCACCCCACAGCATCGTTACCCCTGCATGCCAACGCCTCACAACTCCCGTCCTATTTCGTCGACCAAAACTCAAATCCGTGTGTACCTGACATCCGGCCCCGGCACCATCCGCCCTGTTGCATGTCAAAGTGCCTGCTTCCTCAACAATGCCCCTCTCTCATGACGACAACTCGCCCTGACAGTAGCCACCTCATGCCTTTTTGTTCTCATTCCTAATTACCCCCATCTGCCACAGGGTGCACACGAAAAAAAACCCCCTTCCTGCATGCATGCACATTACCCTATCTCCAAGGACTGCGCCACGTCAACTTAACATGCGTCTACACACTTTACAACTAATATCCACCTCGTCGTCCGTTCAAGGGTCCCATCGTGGCTCTCAACTTACCCGCGTCGGTAATTTCTTTTTTTCCCACTGCTCCATGTCGCCCAACGTAATCTTGCGACAGTGCTGACAGTTCTCACAACTCGTCGTCCTCGGCATCTTCTTCTGCCAATTCTTCCTTCTCATGCGTCCCCTCGTCACCATTATCCTTTTCATCCTCGGGTCGCCGTCTGTATTCCTCCCTGACCAATGCTCGCAGTGCCTGCGTGAGCCTCTCGTTGTAGTCCACCCAGCACCTGCCTGCTCCCAGCACCATGACCTGCCTGTACCTCTGGTTGATGAGCCCGTTCCTCCGCCTCAACTCTGACATCTTGAGTGCTTGTTCAAGTTGACGCTCCTCTGCCTCGGCAATCCGCGGGCGCAGCGCTGCAAGCTTGGTGAAACCATCTGTAGTGGGTATGTGCTGATCTTCGAGTGCTTTGAGCTGTGACGCAGTCGTCGCAAAGCTAGTCGCGCGTTCTACAACTAGTGCCGTCTTATGTGCAGTATCAAGGGGAGCGTTGTCTTCGTCTTCGTAGTCGTCGTCCGAGTCGTCGACCTGAGGCTTGAGCACGTCTTTGTGCTTGCTTACTTGTCTCGTCAGCTCTAACAAGCGGCTCACCTATTGACTTTGCATACGTAGACTATTGGCTTCGTCCAGCAGTGCAGTCTTGCCCGCTAGCTGCTGCAATGACTGCTCAATCTTCTGTATCCTATCCGCTATTGTCCTCGGCTTGTCCTTGGCCACTTCCTGTGGGCCTCCAAGAACATATTCCAGCCGATCCAGTCGTGATTCCAGTAGCGAAAACGTGAAAAGAACTGCCTCCTCGTATTCATCCATGGCCGTGGTAGATTGCTGGATACGTCTTGTCTGCACACGCAGATCGCGTTCCTGCGCAGCTAGTGAACGCGGGCGGAACGGAGCCTGGGTTTTAGCGGGCGGCTATCTGCTTATCTGCCTCCGAGACCTCTCCGAACGCGTTTGCCTTGCGCCTAACGTCAAACGTCAGCAGAGCACTTTCAACCTCACTTGTCATCACTAGGCACAGCCTCCCTTATCTTATCGCAACACTTTGGCGACCGTTTCTTCACACATCAACAGTATTGCTTTTTGGCCTCAACCGTATGCGCGCGCAATAACAACTACCGTACACTCTACACCCTCCAGGAGAGCATGGCTACCTACTCCGCGATCAGCCACGAGCCAGCAGACGAAGACCCCATGTCTTCAAGTATCGGATCGCTAAGAGGAAGAAGGTCAGACGCACCTCTTTGGAGCCTGTTCAACACAAGCTGACAGTAACAGGCGAGGTAGAGGCAAGCATGATGTTGGATTCAAGGGAGAGGCAACGTGGATCTCGAGTGTGATCAACTTGGCCAACACCAGTATGTTCGGATCCGTGCATATCCGCTGTCATAAGTACTAACGGTCCTAGTCCTTGGCGCTGGTCTTCTCGCCATGCCATCGGCCCTCTCGAAAATGGGCATCTTCCTCGGCATCTTCGTCATCGCGTGGGCTGGCACAACCGCAGGTTTTGGTTTATACCTCCAGACTCGATGCGCCCGATACATCGATCGCGGTCATGTGTCATTCGCGACCCTATCCCAGATGACCTACCCGAACCTCTCTATCCTATTCGATGCCGCGATCGCCATCAAGTGCTTCGGTGTGGCAGTCAGTTACCTCATCATCATTGGAGACTTGATGCCGGGAGTGGTCCGAGGCTTCGCACCAGGCGCTGCACACATGGCGTTCTTGGTCGATAGACAGTTTTGGATCACTGCGTTCATGTAAGCATCATGCAATCATACCACAGATCTGTGGGCTAACAGATCCAGGCTTGTCGTCATTCCCTTGTCCTTCCTTCGCCGTTTGGATTCGCTCAAGTACACGAGCATGATTGCCCTTTTCTCCATCGCATACCTTGTAATTCTGGTTGTAGCGCACTACATCAAAGGCGACACCATTGCAGACCGAGGAGAAGTCCGCGTATTTCAATGGGCTGGTACTGTGCCTGCCCTCGCTGCTTTCCCCGTCATCGTCTTTGCATACACATGCCACCAGAACATGTTTTCGATTCTCAACGAGATTGCCGACAACTCTCACTTTCGGACAACAACCGTCATCTTTGCCTCCATTGGCGGAGCATGCGGTTTATACATCTTGACTGGTATTACCGGCTACCTTTCCTATGGCGACAAGATCCACGGCAACATCGTATCCATGTACCCTACCGCGGCCGCTAGCACCATCGGCCGACTTGCCATTGTCATTTTAGTCATGTTCTCGTACCCCTTACAAATCCATCCTTGCCGCGCTAGCATCGACGCCTGCCTCAAGTGGCGCCCCAGCGGTGCGCGCAAACAGGTCGAAGGCAGTCCGTCACGTGCTAGCTTAATGAACAACGCGCCCAAGCCCGGCGCCCCCAAGAGCGTCGAAATGAGCGACCTCCGATTCGCAATCATCTCTACCGTTCTCATCGTCTTGTCTTTCATTACCGCCATGACCGTTACCAGCCTGGAAAAGGTACTGGCCTATGTCGGCTCCACGGGTTCAACTACCATTTCCTTTATTCTTCCAGGTCTGTTTTACTACAAGATTTCCGATCCCGAGTCTACTCACCACCAGCGCCTCATCAAGGACGAGGACGACGAGGACGAGTTTCACAGTGGTGAGGTCGAGGGTTATGTCACGCGTGAGGGGCATATGAATCGTGATCTTAGAAGGGGACTGCTGAGGAAGATGGCGCTTGCATTGAGCATTTACGGTGTCATTGTTATGGTGACTTGTTTGGTTACCAATACCTTTTTAGTCGCCGCTGCCCATTAAGAGCTGCCGTTGGGCATGTACATTGGCATTGTTTTGCATTTAGCGGGAGTTTTCCTTTTTTTTGGAGGTGGGGAGGAGTTATATTTGCGAGCATACTAGACTGTGTTTCTTTCTTTTTTCTTCTTCTTTTGAGTGGTAGGCCCCGCGCGCGGATTTATGTTGGTGAGCATGTTTTGCTATATTCTTACAAATGTACACTCTATTGGCTCTTCTCGCAATAGAACAATCTCTCTCTCTCTCTCCTCCATTTTATCGAAAATTTCCTCAAATAAACTCCGTCCATGATGCCCCCTTCCCACGTAGAATATCGTTCCCACCACCACCACCACCCCTTCTTACGCCTCTGTCTTCTTCTTCTTCTCCTCATCCGGCACCAAACTCTTAAATGCCGAATTCATCTTAACCACCTGCCCCTGCACCTGCAAGATTCGATACTTGGGCTCCAGAATGCCTACCATATTCAGTATCCTCCACGCCGTATCGCTTGGCTGCGCGCCCACACCGACCCAGTACCGCGCTCGTGCTATATCCAGCTTGATGTCTTTCCAGGGCCGGCCTTTTGTGTCGCCGGGGCGCGGCGGTTGGGGTGTCGGATCGTAAGTTCCCAGGACTTCGAGGGGGCGCCCGTTGCGTGATGTGCTGGGGTTTGGGCGTTAGTATCTTTGTATCCATCTATCCATGTTTCTTTGTTTCTTTTTTTTGTTTTCCGCATCTTTGGAGAGAGTTTTGGGGGGGGGAGTTGAGCGAGGAGATGTGTGCGTGTGACAGAGGCAATTGGACTTGTGTGCAAGGTGCGTGGGAGGATTGCGAATTGAGCGTACCGGGCGTGTGCGACGACGATGTTGTAGAAGGGTGAGTGCTTCTTGCCGAAGCGCGCGAGGCGTATTCTTATTACCATTTTTATGGCGGTATGTGCATGTGAGGATGCTATTACGACCGGACGGGTGTTTCGCGGGATGGATGTCGTGGTGGTGGTTTGGGGATCTTTTTGGAGCGCAGCCCGAAGATCTGCCGGTGATGCATCACCCCACTTTGTTTGTGACTTTTTGGGCTTTAGCGTTTTTCATGTCCGCTTGTGCAGGTTTGTGGAGATATCCTAGGGATTTGGTTGAGTGTGTTTTTGCGGCAATCAAATGTGTTGATTTTCATACCATATTAGTAGGTTCTATATAAGGGCAAATTTGTCATGTGTTCATTAAAATTCTCCAACTTGTCAATATTTGGCAACGTTGACCAAGCCTCAACTGAAATATTGCTAATATGCCACCTAAAATAAAGACTCATCAAATCCAACTAAGCGTTCAGCTTGATCTACTGGATTAGTCCCTCATCTCTAACATGAGATTCTGCATGGCGAGAACCATATCCGAGTGCTCACCACTTGGGTTACTCTGGTACTGCTCTCGACGGATGACTTTGCCATCAGATGAAACACTGTCAAACTCTTTTTCAGACATTTGACTGGCACTAAAAATGAAGAAAGAGCTATTGAGCGAAAGCCCAGGGCCACGCTCAACAATTTGAGGCCATATCAGAGTGAGGTCCCAGCGCGCTTGAATTGCGTACATGGCACCAAGACGCATGATTTGCATGGGTGACAAGTCATTGAGTACTGGACGTATGTAAGCGGGCTTCCGGAGCAAGCTTCAGCTGGGGTTGGATTGTACCTGAGCATTGAACCTTCATCATCTTATATTCCTCTGGCTCATATAGAATGACCATGAGTACATCAACCTCGATTTTAGTGACAGATGCCATAATTCTCCTGGGCTGTGCACGTTTTGTAGAGTAGAGCATATGCAATATCAACATGGAGCTTTCAAAGTGACGTTGGTCAGCCTCTTTGCGTTTCTCCTCGGGCGTCTCCCAGACTTCCATTTGTGGGGCCTGGTTCTTCCAGAGGAAGCTTGCAAGATCTATGAGACTGTTGCCCCTGTGGTCTAATAGTGAAAGATCCAGGCTGTCTCCCTCCTCGTCCAGGAGATAGCGTACAGCGTCCTCATTGCACGTTTGTACGGCAAGATGTAATGCTGTGCTGCCCTTGTATTCGCCCTCAGAAATAGCCAAATTCAAGTATTCTGGCTCATACTTGCGTCTGACAATGTCTTGAACCGTTGAAGTAGAGCGAGATGAGCCAGGTCGGTATTCCAACATAAACGCAGCTGCATGTAGTGCAGACATTTTCGACCCATTAAGTTCAAATACATCGTAGTATACAGCATCTGTACCAGCCATGTCTAGGAAAACATCAATATGGCGGGAAAAATTGCTGTATGACTTGGACGACAAAATTAGTCGGCCTAGAATCGTCGTCCTATCGGTCATTCTGGTCAAGTCGCATTTTCCTGTTTCATAGATCCAACGAGCCAGAATATACTTTCCCTCAACAAGTGCATTTTCGAAATGTTTGTGGAAGTTGGCTTCTGACCTACGGTAATGGTCAAGGTGGTTGAGATATTCAGTGTCGTCGGGCAGAACACGCAGCGCAGCAAAAAATCCATCCCACTGCTGCGAAGAGATCTTATCTGCTTGTGAATGGGAAACAAGCGACTGGAATGCCGCTTTGTCTTGAAGACAGCAGGAAATCCAAAGACCGTGTATCCATTGCGAACTATCTGGCTGTAGTTTCCCGTTCTGCCAGGTCATCAAGTAGTTCAGTATGTACGGTTGACTTCGTTCCAGAGCAGATACAATGACGGATTGTCCCTTGCCATTGATATCCAGCGGATTCGCTCCATGGCGGATAAGAATTTCGAAGGTTCTTTGGAAAGCTTGCTCATAATCACTTCCGTGGATAAGAATCCGATTGAAAGTGCTGGAATTCCCATCAGTGACAAGCCAGCCCAGAATTGCGAATGGCTCCTTCAAGCCTTGACTCCCAAACTTGCGGTAGACTGCATTCAGACTTTCAGAGTAGTCTTTTGGAGCCTCAAGTAAGATTTCGAGGAGTCGGTATTGACAGTTGATGCAAGCCTGCCATACGGGAAAAACATGGATGTTATTGGCCCAAGCATCGTCATACTCTATATCTCTTCCCTTCAAATCAAAAGGGTCTGCTCCGATGTCCATGAGTGCCTGAGTGGCTGTTTCATTACCTGTGGCGACAGCCCAGGTCAATGGAGTACCTTCAACTATCCCATATGTTGAGTCAATGCACCGCCTGTATCGCCACCCTTGGTACGAACGAGCTTCTCGGTCTGCCCCTGCCTTGATCAGTGCATCAGTGATTTTTGGGATATATTCTTCATCAAAGGAGCTTAGAAAGTGTAATGGGGTAACTCCTTCGTCGTTTGCCAAAGTGGGATCAGCACCTTTTTCAAGGAGAAGAAGAGCGATCTCAGCAAACCCGGATCGACATGACTTTAACAAAGCACTTTCGTTCCCCTCAAAGAGTTCGTTTATGTTCAGATGTTGAGCTTTTGAGGTGATAATGCGGTGGACAAGTTCGCAGCGGCCTCCAGTTGCAGCAAGTTGGAAAATGGGTCCAAGACTGCTGGGTGAATCTTCAATGACTCTGAAGAAAGAATCATCGTCTACCCAATCTGAGTCGTAGTAGTTGCGGGGCGCTGCAAGCCCAATGCCGACGTATTGAGAACGAAGATGTGAAACTGCCCGCTGGCATTCTCCCCTATCGAGGGATGACAACCGCCTTCTTGCTGTAGAGTTGCCCATACAGACTGCTGCATAAAGCCATTGCTTCTCTTCTTCTAGGGAAACCGATAGCTCTAGCTTGAATGCAGCACAAAGCCACCCGACTATCCCACCAGCTACAGTATGCCCTAGTCGAGCTGCAAGAAGCATTAGTTGAAGTATTGAGTTAAGCTCGTCGTGTTTTCCTTTCTCCATCTTCCTCAGTCTTAACTGAAGAACAGAGCACTGCCATGCAGCTTCTGCTCGACGTGGCTTGTCTTCTCGTTCATCGTGTGCGACAGCTGTCATTTCAACAACGATTTGGTTCAGCACTGGAGTTGGAAGGATTTTCAGAGTGCCAAGCGACATGTCTGCCTGATCCAACGTTATATTAGGAGCATTAAATCTTTCATTCATCTCATACCTCAAGAACTGCACCAGCATCACATATTGAGTACATCTCCTCTGGCTTTGGAAGATCGTGTCTCTTCCTGTCACTCTTAGCTCTTGAGATCACTAATAGGCTTTGACTCTCACCAGGCTTTTAGTATCTCAGAGATTCTGTGAGCGGACTCGGATTGGGTTATTTCATCGAGCTGTGGGGGTATTTGTTTCTGGGATATAGCATAAAAGCTTCTGTCGAGATACTCGGCCGTTTGTGCGAAACTCCAGGCGCGCGCCTTTTCATCTTCTGTCGGGCTTTCGATCGCTTGTTTTGCAAATGAGCAGCTTGTACCAATACCTGTCAAATTTCTCTTACCTGGGTTATTCAATATCTCGCGTTCCTGCGGGTTTAGGGCTGTTGCTTGAATTAAACGCATCATTGTTGCAGGGTCAGAATGATTCAGCGGGTTTAACATATCTCTGGTAAGAATCCAGCTAAGGCATATTCGTAGATTCCGGTGTAGGATGTTACTTCTTGGTCTAAGCGAAGGCTGAAAGAGATGAGGCGTGACGGTCTCCCCTACTGCACGCGCAATCTGGGAAATGGGCTTGAAATGGGAAGTTTCATCAGTAGCATCCTCAGCTTCTTCGTGCTCCCCAGGATCATCTGTCGTTCCATCTGGCTGTTGTGTAGCAGCCAGTCCATAGCGTTGACTCTCCTCGGCTTCGATGACAGTCCTTAGAAACCAGCTCAATGTATGATAGGTATACTGCGCTAATTTATCGTAGATTCCTTGAATGACATCTTCAGATGGCTCAAACAGTTCGTGCCAATCGGGTGGCCCATGCTGCCCAGAATGCTCAGACGGTGTCTTAGATCCATGATTCTCAAAAGTTGCCATAGTATATCCTCTGCTGAGGATATATGACACTAGAAGCGCAAGAGAGAATGTATCTGCGCTGATAAGGTTTTCACCGTCAAGAACCTTTTTGCACTCTGGGGCCTGCCAGATTCCACTGCTGAATGGAAGACGAATTGGCTCTTTGATATCTGTTTTCAGTAATGATGAGCCAAAATCGGAGATTTTGGCGACGAACTTGAGTTCTGGATGTTTGAATATCAGGACGTTGGCAGGCTTGATGTCGCCGTGGATGATGCCAACTTCGTGGAGTGCGGATACGCCGGCGCAGACATCGATGGCAAGTCCAAAGGCTTTGCGAGTACTCATCTTGTCGATTATGAAGCCTTCGGACTGCATCATCGCTTCGAGATTTGTATGGGCCAGCTCCATAACAAAAGCCGGCATGACCTGGCCTCTTATTGATCGCCAACAGACTCCCAGAATGGAAACGATGTTTTCATGTTCTTGGATATGTGGGTGTCGAAGTATCTGCAACTCCATCGCCATGGAACTCCAAAGCTTTTGATTTCGCTTATCGCGCAACTCGCCCATTATCTTTGGGCATTTGACAGCGACGACCTCTGGAAGGGCCTTTCCAGGCACCTCTGAAGATCTCAGAGGCAAGTATGTTCCTGTAAAAGACCGGAAAGGAAGACTGTATACTTCGAAATATGCACCTTGATTGATGGGGGGCGGCAGTTCGAAACTCTTGTCGTGAATGAGGACTCCAACGAGTAAAAGTCCTACCGTTAATGTCCGATGAGAGCGAGTGAATATAGAAAGCAGTGACAGGATGTCGTGGTCACGCTGATGGAAACCAACGTTTGTTGCTGCATTTTCAGTTGCCATTGTGAAAGGCTGGAGATGAACGAGATTTGGATTGTTGATGAGCTGGAAGATCCATTCATGACGCTCTTGCGTAAGGTGAGTGCCGGAGTCGCTGCCTTGGCTGAAGCTGAAACTTGTGGCGCGACAGCTATCTGAAGGCGACAAATGCATTCGGTTGATTGGGTGACTGCATAGCTATACGTACAGCCACAAGAGGGCTGTGCAGGCGCGTGATGTGTCACTCGGAGCGCAACACGAACATCGACGGCCCAGAATTCTTTCCTCATCCCCACTCATCACATATCAACCACTGCAGCTCGTCCCTCAAAGTGCACAACGACATGGCTCCTCCGGATGGATTGGCCATTGGCAGTGGTGTAATTGGTGGAGCAGGCTTTTTTGTTCAAGTCTTCCAGGGTTGCGTGAAGAGCTTTGAATTATGGAGAAAAGGAGAGGAACTCGCTGATGAAGCTGAAATATTCCAAGCAAGACTGGAAATGCAAGCGGCAAGATTGAAGACTTGGGGCGTGGAATGGGGGCTAGACCGCGGCGCCGATTCCATGCATCTCAAAGACAGGCGTTTCCAGGAGTACGGAAATATGGCGGTGAGACACGTCGTTCTCATCTATCATTTTCTAGATGAGCTCGGAAAGCTGGGACAGGATTTCCCTGCAATCTCTTCGGCCGGTAACACATCGATATCCGCCGCCTCGTCCATCACGAAACTGCTTGACATGGCCAATCCAAACTCGACAGAGCGAGCAGATCTCGAAGAAAAACTAAAGAGTATACAGCGTGCTGCTAAGCTGAAAGAAAAAATGAAATGGGCGCTTAATGACGGAGGGCCATTGAAGGCTCTTGACCAGTTAAAGAGCTTGGTTGATGAATTGCTCAACTTTTTCACGCCCCCGAGAGTTGATCCTGCAGCAAAGCTGGCGCTGAACAGTCTTTTGGCTACAATGAGTCTAGCAAAGCTGCAAACATTGAGCTCACAATCAGATGAGAACTCGGAACTGCGGGGGTTGGCCCTCCTCAAGTCTGCAATCATAGAAATGGATGCCCGAAAGACGGTTCTTGGCGGTGAGAATGTAAAGGAGAAAGAGCGGCTTCTAAAAGAGACTGGTGCAAGAGAGGACAAATCTGGTCGGAGCTATGGCGTCTTTACCAAGAATGGCACTACGCTACACGTGCTGGTAGAATGGAAGCTGGTAGATCCTGTAAAATGCCCGCGAAATGACTCGAGAGCAATGTATAAAACGATGCTGCAATACCGAATCGAGAACTTGGCAAGGCTTCTCAAGGCTGAGTATAAGCCTTCAGAGCTGCGTACACTGCCCTGTATTGGCGTAGTTACAAGGCATCTGGTTGATGAGAAGTTGGAACACGGCCTTGTGTTCAATGTCCCCGGAACAAACCATCAATGTTTAGCGCAAATCCTGGAAGGAAACGGACATGATCTTGACGCAGGAGATTGGTATCGCATCTCTGGGAGCATTTCCCGAGCTTTGTTGTACATGCACCTTGCTGGCTGGCTTCACAAGGGCATCCGGAGCGACAATATACTCTTCTTCGCTGAGAGCAACGGTGACTTTTCCTACGACAAACCTTTTGTTGTAGGATTCGAATATAGCAGGGAAGCATCTGCTTCCCACCAAACAGAAGGCGTCACGGATGATTTCGAATACAATCTTTATCGCCATCCAGACGTGCAAGGTTTGCCTGCCGCGGTACAAACGTCAGCTTCCAATACTAGCAAAATTCCATTTGATTATATTCATGATCAATACAGCTTAGGAATTCTTCTCTTGGAGCTTGGCCTGAGAGAAAGCATCAAGAGTGTACAGCAAAGAGCATCTCAAGTTGCTGGACACAAGGGTCATTCTGCCGTAGAATTTCAAAAGTACATTGTGGATTGTGAAGTGCCCAAACTAGCATCAAGGATGGGTAAGGGGTATCGGGATGCGACGAGGCTTTGTCTCACGAAAGGCCTCATCTCTCAAGATTCTCGAAGCATCCAGGAGCTGTTTTACCTGAACGTTGTAAGAGTGCTAGATTCTTATAAAGTACCCTGAATGCCTCTTACTATACCACGTATCTAGGCAGTGTAAATTAGTTAGCTCAACATTTGTTCATTTTTTTCTTTATCCAATCAAAAAAAGGAAAGATTCATGAATTTCACTGCTTTCATGATCTTGCGATGAGTTCACGTAACTACCTTGGATCGGGAGTTGCACGCAGAAAAGGAGGGTGCGGTGGGCTGCTCTGACCAGATGCGCAGTCAAGACCAGTGATGTAATTGCAAGCACCATGTCATGCCTACCTGATGCATTAATTGATCTCTTGAACATCGCACCCATCCCAATTGACTCAGATTTCTCTACCAATCTCAAAATGGCAATCAGAGTGAGACTTTAGCGCATTGATTCTCGATGTAGAGGCTGATATTCCAATAGACCCTGTCGGCCAAAAGCGCTGCAGCGCTCGACCAAGAACTCATGTCAACTGGTGCCTTCTCTATCGATCAATTGATGGAGCTTGCCGGACTCTCGGTATCACAAGCTGGTATGTCCAGCTCCAATATGCCCTTTCATGGCTTGGCTAATCAAAACAGTGTTCAAATTACAGCCTCTCAGCAAAGGCAAGCGCATCCTGGTCGCATGTGGTCCTGGTAACAATGGCGGCGATGGCCTTGTCGCAGCTCGTCATCTATTTCACTACGGTTACCAACCCACTATTTACTACCCAAAGCAAAGCAAAAACGAGCTCTATCAGGTGAGTGATGATGGTCGAAAGGATGTGCTGTCTCATACATGCTCACATGCGGCAGCGGCTCAAGAAGCAATTGGAAGACCTTAAGGTGCCATTCACCGAAGACTTCGCTAGCGCGCTGAAACAAACTGATCACATTGTCGATGCCATCTTTGGATTCAGCTTTTCTGGAGAAGTGCGTGAGCCCTTTCCAAAGGTCATCGAGGCGCTCGCGTCTACGTCTGTTCCTGTGCTATCGGTTGATGCGCCGTCATCCTGGGACATTGAAGAGGGCCCTCAAGACTCGGGACCAGGCAAGGGCTTCATGCCGCCAGCACTCATCAGCTTAACAGCGCCCAAGCCACTCATCAAGAAATTCTCTGGTCGTCATTTTCTTGGTGGCAGGTTTCTAAGCCCAGAGATGGCAGAGAAGTACAATCTCGATATACCAAAGTATGAGGGCTTGGACCAAGTGGTTGAGATGCCTGTGGACGGCGGCAAGCTGTAAGCAAGTGCCGTCATTAGTTACACAAGTTTGCTTGTTTTTCTATCTGATGGAGAAGACTTGAATCAGAATAACTCTTGAATGCGACGCACTTGAATGATTTCAAAGGACCTGCTTGTTGTGACTAGCGTGTCTTCCCCGCAGGGCCGCGGTACGGCTAACAGCGGTCTTGAGATGTCATCGGAACCCCAGCTTCGACACAGTTCGGTAAACAGCCATCGCGGCCTTGGATGGGCCGTCAGTCGGGCCAAGTTCCAGTATTTGTTTCTTCTGTCTCATTGTGCGGGGTGCCACCTTTTTTCTGCATGTCGTGCAAAACATTGCCCACTCATCCATAATCCCAGAGCACAGCATTCCATAGCCTAACATGGTCCCCAAAGCACCTTCTCGTGAGGCTTTGGCCCTTCTCAAGAACACAATTCGACCAGCCGCAGCCATCCGGTCGCAAGCACAGCGATGTCTCCTCTCATCCGCTTCTCGCCCTACAGCACTATCGCAATCACGAGCTGGGCACTTGCATCAAGGGACGCGCAGCGCTGCTACCTTTACACATTCACACCATGCCGAGGCCGTCTCCGTCATCCCTACAAACGTCGACACGAGCAATGCCGACTTCAAAGAGAACAAGCGCCAAATGGACGAAGCAACTGAGAGACTTGCCAATCTCCACACCAAGATCGCGCAGGGCGGCCCGCAAAAGGCGAGGGACAAGCACATACAGCGAGGCAAGATGTTGGTTAGGGACAGAATCTCTGCCCTGATTGACCCTGGCACACCTTTCCTCGAATTGAGCCAGATGGCAGGACACGACATGTACGGCGAAGATGACGTACCTGCAGGTGGCATTGTCACGGGCATTGGCAGCGTCAACGGCGTTCAATGCATGGTGGTTGCAAACGACGCCACAGTCAAAGGAGGCACATACTACCCGATTACTGTGAAGAAGCACCTGCGAGCGCAGACAATTGCGCAAGAGAACCGCTTACCATGCATCTACCTGGTGGATTCTGGAGGCGCCAATCTTCCCAACCAAGCCGATGTTTTCCCCGACGTGAATCACTTTGGTCGCATCTTCTACAATCAGGCACGCATGTCAAGTATGGGCATCCCGCAAATCAGTGTGGTTATGGGGCCATGCACTGCAGGCGGCGCCTATGTGCCTAGCATGAGTGATGAGAACATTATTGTAGAGAACCAAGGTCACATCTTCCTCGCGGGACCACCTCTCGTCAAAGCAGCTACGGGTGAAGTCGTCTCAGCTGAGGATCTCGGTGGAGGCAAGCTCCACAGTGAGGTTTCGGGTGTCACGGACTACCTAGCAGTTGACGACGCGCATGCGCTGGTGCTGGCACGAAGAAGCATTGGCAACCTCAACTGGCACCGTAACCAGACGGTTACTGCGCAGCCGAGCTTTCAGGAGCCTTTGTACGACCCCCAGGAGCTGTCTGGCATTGTAGGTACCAACCTGCGCCGACAGATCCCTATCCACGAAGTGATTGCACGCATTGTCGACGGATCGTCGTTTGACGAGTTCAAGCCACTGTACGGCTCAACGCTGGTAACTGGTTTCGCAAAGATCTACGGACACGCAGTGGGCATTGTTGCCAACAACGGTATCCTCTTCAGCGAAAGCTCACTCAAGGGAGCACATTTTGTTCAGCTATGCGGCAAGCGCCACATTCCACTCATCTTCCTGCAAAACATCTCTGGCTTCATGGTCGGACAGGATGCCGAAAAGGGCGGCATCGCAAAGAACGGAGCCAAGCTTGTGACAGCGGTAAGCTGTGTTGACGTGCCCAAGTTCACGGTGGTAGTGGGATCTAGTGCTGGAGCTGGAAACTACGGCATGTGGTAAGTGCCACCGGATTTTGGCTTTTGACTTTTGTTTACTGATGCGCTGCTTGTAGCGGTCGAGCATACTCTCCCCGGCTCATGTTCACCTGGCCGAATGCCAAGACATCGGTCATGGGCGCAGAGCAGCTTTCGTCGGTCATGGAGGCTGTTGGCAAGAAGGTGGATCCTGCGCTCAAGGCACGAATCGAACACGAAAGTGAAGCAACGTTTGGATCGGCCAGGCTATGGGACGATGGCATCATACCGCCGGAGCACACCCGGCGGGTACTCGGCATGGGATTGCAAATGGCATGTGGTGGGCAGAACCAGGGCGTCGACAAGGAGAGCACATGGGGCGTGTTCAGGATGTAGCCCAGAAAAGGGGGGATTGGTAGAAAAGCAGCATTCCTAAACGCGCGTTTTTTTCTCTGCTTCGTCGTCAGCTCCATCTTGTCTTCGCGTCGTTGCGGGTGATTTCCATGGTTGTGTTGCGAAAACTGTGGTGCTGCTGCTGCATGGCAGCTTCGATCACAATTTCCGCCCCCCACAAAAACGCTGACGTCCGCCGCTTCTGTGCGGCTTGGCATGCGCTTGTCAAGACTGACGACAGGCCCTTTCAAGACGGCGCAAGCATGCTTGGAAAACGCTTGTGTCTGTGGCGAAGCAGATGCGAGCCAGACATGTGCGGTAGCTACACATGCAATGCTCTGCTTGGTACATGTGCATGTACGTATAGTAGTATGCCGTCTCTCTTCCTCTGCAGCGCGACCAATATACAGGTAAACTGCACGTACTATACACAAAGCACGGCACGAATCCTTTGCCGGCCCAAGGAAGACAGGCGGCCCTGCGCCACAGTTCCCTGCCAACCGCCCCGCCCCGCCCAACGCGTTGGTCCCTCTTTTGTTTCAAGCCATCTTGACCGTGGCACCAGCATGATTGCTACCATGAAAATCTCTTTCGGATACCGGGATCAACAACCTCCCAGGCCGAATAGACTTTTGCAAGCGAACTCCCTGAGGTCCCAACCAGGTTCCCCTCATGTGGGCTCCGGAGCCGAGTTGCTGATGATGGTGGCGGCACGGCTAGGTTCGCGTATCCCACTTTGGGCCTTGTCTTGCCTGCGGTAGGTGGGAAGGGAGGCCGTAACGAGCAGGCGCATGCAATGTGATTTGCTGGCGCTCCAAATACGGGATTAGGTGTCCAGCCCTGTGGCACACAAGCCGTCATCGTAAATAGCTCCAGCTCTGCTCCATCGGGCACATGTCATGTTGGTATTCCTTGTCAGATGCTTGCTCGTCGATCTCACCCACTCTTTCTTCGTCACCTCGCCCTCCTTCACGCCTGGTATCCCCCATTCACCCTCTTCTCTTCTCTTTCATTCCTCTACCCTCGTATCATCCGACTAGTTGGCTCACCAGTTACTGTTCCACTCCTTTCTTTTCCAAAGTAACATAGTGTAACTCGTCTTTCCACAAGGCTACACCTGACGTCCTAGGACTCCACTCGTTAGCATTACTCTAGTTACATCTTCCATGCCGTCATGAGATTGTTCAGCCCTATGCGAGCGCTAGCCGCGCTCTCTCTGCTATCGTCAGACGTCGTGCGACCACTTACCCAGGCTCTAACACTAGATCCGAACTCCCCAGGTAAAGGCCCTATGCCCGCCCAACTCCATACACGTTTACATGAGTTAATGTCGTTTCTACAGATTCTATCAATGATGTTTCCAGCAAGGTCGCCAAGCAGCTTGTCGCTCAATATGCGACAATTGACGACAAGGGCATCCATGTGCTTGGAGGCTACCCAGGTATCTTGTACCCACCATACTACTGGTGGCAGGCAGGCGCCATGTTTGGCACGTTGCTAGACTACTGGCACTACACTGGGGATGACCAGTACAACGAAATGATTCGTGAAGGTTTGATACACCAGTTTGGAGAGCACCTTGATCTGGTATTACATCCTCTACCGAGTTTTAGCGGGATAGTTCACTCACCATGTTTAGATGCCTTCGAACCAGTCCAAGAACGAAGGAAATGACGATCAAGTGTTTTGGGCCTTTTCCATGATGGCCGCAGCAGAATATAAGCTCCAGGATCCCCCAGACGATCAGCCTGGCTGGCTCGCCATCACTCAATCCGTCTTCAACCAGTTCGTAGGTCGTTACCAGAAGGAGGTTGCCGACGGGAATTGCGGCGGTGGCATGCGCTGGCAGATTTACCCATGGCTCAACGGTTGGACGTACAAGAATACTGCGTCAAACGGTGGTCTTTTCCATCTCGGCGCACGACTAGCCATGTACACCGGTAATGATACATATGCCGTATGGGCGGAAAAAGTCTTCGACTGGATGTCAAACAGCCCAATCTTACCTGGCGACGGCCAAGTCTACGACGGCACAAGCATGAATACAAATCCTCCCTGCAAAGAAGCAGACCGGACCCCATGGACCTACAACTACGGCATCATGATAGCCGGCGCCGCATACGTACGTTTTTTTCTATTCCTCTCCCCCTTTCCCCGAGAGAAAGCCAAAACTAACTTCAACAAAACCGCAGATGTACAACTACACCAACGGCGCCGAAAAATGGAAAACCGCCCTCTCCCAATTCCTCAACAAATCCGAAATCTTCTTCCCCGAGGACAAAGGCGGCGTCATGATTGAAGTCTGCGAAGCAAAACAAGTCTGCGACGCGGACCAGGAATCCTTCAAAGCCTATCTCGCCCGCTGGCTCGGCATCACCCTCCAAGTGGCCCCCGAATTCGCCCCGACCATCATGCCACGCCTCCAGAAATCCGCAGTCGGCGCCGCGCAGACGTGCGAAGGGCCATCGCAGAACAACGGCGGTGATCACCAGTGCGGAATGAGGTGGTATAATCAGGGCTTTGATGGCATAGGCGGTGTGGGTCCGCAAATGACGGCCCTCAATGTTATTAGCGTGTTGAATGCGCAGCGTGTCGCCCCGCCATACAAACATTCGACCGGAGGGACGAGTAAAGGAGATCCCGGTTTGGGGTCTGGAAATGATGATGATAGGCTGCCCAAGTATCAGTCGGATATCACGACAGCGGATAAGGCGGGGGCGGCGATTTTGACCATCTTGGTGGCAGTCGGGTTTATTGGAGGCTCAGTTTGGATGATATACTGATGGTTTGAGAGCCGGGATTTGCACGTACCACTTCGTTGTTTTGATTTTTTTTTTTTTTTTTTTACTTATTTATACCCAGTTGGAAATTGGAATGGATGGGGCGGATCTGTTGTCAAGGCGCCCTGGAATTGTAATGAATAAAGACTAACTATTCTGAATCACAAAGTTAATCATAGAAACATTTGGGAAGAAACATACGTTATCTTCGTTTCAACTCTCAACAAAAAAACACAATCATTTCGAGAAACTTGCATCTTTGCTGTCAGAGGTATATCCTCGATATTTGTCATGTGACAACTTCACCTCCAAGTTTCAAATAGAAATCCAAATGGCATCTGGGCATAACCATTTATTGTATGAGATCTATAAAAGGGTATCAATGTCCCGTTGATGCTTCTAACGCCTTCCCTAAATCATCAAGTTCATTCTACTAATCATCACAACCGTGAAAAATCAAGTAAGCGCCATAACATCCCAATCATCGCCCGGCTCAATCTCCAGATTTCGCCTCTGGTTACCCGATGAGCGCTCCAAGACCTCCTGTAATAACATCTTCTCCTAGTCGATGTAGCGTCTCCAGCCATTTGCAACAAGACATTTCTTCCCTTTATCGTCAACCCCCATGACAAAGCGCTCCCACCGAGCGTCTTGCCCAGCGCCAAGAACTAGTATAGTCTGGTCATCTAGCCAACCAATCAATCCTTTTGTAGGCCTACCACCGGGCACACCGGGAATGCCCGCACTCAGGGTAGCAGATTTGCCGTGTGGGCCCCAAGAGGTAGGCTCATCTCCCATTTCGAACTTGGCCGTGGCCGTGGGATACGTGTCGGAGAACTGCCGGGGTAGAAGTGGGATCTTAGATAGGATCCCGTACTTGTGCTGTGCTGGATCGGCTTGCGCTGTGGCAGTTGCTGTCTTGAGATCATAGATGTGCAGTGTAGATTTGTCTGAGGTTACAGCGAGCGTCGAGCCGTCCGGAGAGAACGCAAGAGAAAATACGGCAGCGGGATCGACGCCTCGGCGAAGTTCTGCTATTTTGGTGCAGGATGGGAATGACCAGAGACGTATGATGGTACCCTGTTCACTGGCGGTTGCTATGAGATCGCAACTTCTGCTTATGCCGATTGCGCGTAGTGGGCTTTCGTGTGCGGGGATGATGCTGACGTTGCCCGTGTTCAGATCGTAAATCTTGACTTGTCCAGCGGCTCTACCGGGGAACGCAACAATATTCGAGCCTAGCTCCAACAGCCCAAATGGATTGTTGACCGTCTCATACTCGGCCGTCTTAACTGGAGGTACTTTCATCTTATATATGCATACCGAATTCAGCAGCGCAACGACCATGTGCGTCTGCGACAGGCGCACGCGCTGGATAGGCGTCTTGAACTCGACCGACGTGGTAAAACGCTCTGTTTTGTCGTTCCATATTTGAACCTCGTAGATTATGTCAGTTTTGTCGACCCAGATCCAGTCAGAGTCCTCGGGACGCACCTTGTTTTGGGGATACTTGGGCTGCTTCCCTCCTCCGACCAGGGCAATGTAGCTCTTGTTGCCGAGCATCTCTGCGCAGCCGATGCCGCCACCGACCTCTGCGGGAATGTCAGCACATAGGCATGTGTGCAAGCGCGTTGAAAGTACCTCTGGCTATCCTTTCCTCACATGTTGTTGACGAGAAGACTACAACCGTCAGTAGGTACTGGTGAACTTGGACAAGGGCGTCGTCATACCGCGGAATCCCGTCTCAAGAGCGACCGAGAAGTGAGAGCAGTCTGCATTGAACGAGGCCGAGAGAACGAATGGGCCTGTGTCCGAGTCGAGGATAGGTCTGGTATTCATGGTCCGTCGTCGGTATAGAGTAACTCGGCTATGCGTTGTTTCAAACACAAGGTGGGGTGGGCGGGCGGCGGCTTCCTGGATGCGGGAGTCGATGTTTTAATCAGCGCAGGGACTGCAAGTATGAGGGGCTCGGTGGCATGCTAGGCCATGGTGTTGCCAGCAGCGACTGAGGCGGCATATGAATGAACAGCGTAGAGTGGGTAGGCGACGACGACATCGAGGGTCCAGGGCTCCAAGGTCACAGCTCACCTTGTCATCTGCATCCACCTAATAAGCCTGGCTTTCCCCGTAATGCGGGAGCTAGCCGATTCTGGCAAGCGTGACTGGCGGGACGCAGGACATGTGTGCGGAATGCTCCTTGGGCCCAATACATCCTGCTGTACAGCGAGGAGAGCCCAATAATCCAAAAGACTGGATATGATGGAATTGTTCCATCATGCCAATGTAGCGTGCCATGACTTGCGGGTCCCCGTCAAAAGCAAGTATACCACATGTTCGTCAAAGGCCGGGATTCAGTACGCGTCAAGGCCGATAGGGCATCCTTATCGGCAGCCGGCAAGGTGCACAACCAAGGTGAGAGACGGGTGTCGAGACAAGTACGAAAATAGCAGTCCTATCTCTCACCCAAAATGGCCGTTCCACTGCATCTTTCAGCATACACGACAAGTGACAGCCTTCTCGTGTTGCACATCGTTCCCAAAGTAGTCGGGCCAGGTGGTTGCGCCAAGAAGGAGACACCGACCAGGGTGTTTCCCGCTAGCGAGCCCCTTTGCATCGCGCAGGGAGTAGCTGCCAATGTCCCCAAATTTCCACGACGACACCGCTCCGACACAACAGACAGTCTTCATCCTCTGTCTCTCCGTACTCTCTCGCACGCAATCTCACGCCCTCTTCCGGCAGCATCCATTGTGTGCACACGACTCCATTCAAGACAAACCACACCAACCCTTCACAGCCCATCATGTCTTCGGTACGACGCTCCTCCCCACGACAGCCCGTCTACGCCCATCGGGCACACGCCGCTACCCTGCCATCAATTCCAGTCACTAACAATACATCAGGCGCTTAACAAGACGCGCAGAAAGAAGAATGTCAAGAAGGGAATCCAGTTCTGCCTGATGGTTTGCGGTGCCTCAGGTACTGGCCGGACAACCTTCGTCAACACGCTTTGCGGCAAGCAGGTGCTTGGACACAAGGAGGTGGACGACCCTACCACTGCCCACGTTGAGGAGGGCGTCAAGATCAAGCCCATCACTGTCGGTAAGTTTGTTTATCAGCGGTGGACACGGCCATCACGCCACGAGGCAGCTACTGACAATGGTCAGAACTCGATGAGGAAGGTACCCGCATCTCGCTCACAATTGTCGACACGCCCGGATTTGGAGACCAGATTGACAACGAGGCCAGGTAAGAAGCTTGCAGCAGCCATAACAATACCAACTTACCTGTATGCAGTTTCTCAGAGATTGTCGGATACCTTGAGCGACAGTACGATGGCATTCTTGCGGAGGAGTCGCGTATCAAGCGTAACCCACGCTTCCGTGATGACCGTGTACACGTACTGCTATACTTCATCACGCCTACTGGCCATGGGTATGTGCTCCCTATATGAGTCAGGGTCCTACTAACATGAACCCCTAGTCTCCGTGAACTCGACATTGAGCTCATGAAGCGCCTTTCCCCCCGCTGCAACGTCATTCCCGTGATCGGTAAGGCCGACTCACTCACACCCGCTGAGCTCGCCGAGTCGAAAAAGCTCGTCATGGAGGACATTGAGCACTACCGTATCCCTGTATACAACTTCCCTTATGATGTTGAAGAAGACGATGAGGACACGGTTGAGGAGAACGCTGAGCTCCGTGGCTTGATGCCCTTTGCCATTGTTGGATCCGAGGACATTGTTGAGGTGAACGGCCGACGGGTGCGAGCGCGACAGTACCCCTGGGGTATCGTAGAGGTGGACAACCCCCGCCACTCGGACTTCCTTGCCGTGCGAAGCGCGCTTCTGCACAGCCATCTCGCTGATCTCAAGGAAATCACGCACGACTTCCTGTACGAGAACTACCGTACCGAGAAGCTTAGCAAGAGTGTTGAGGGTGGTGCTGCTTCGTAAGTTTTTGAGCCATGACGTGAAGTGAAGTGAAATGCTAACGGAAGATAGGAACGACTCGTCGATGAACCCCGAGGACCTTGCCAGCCAGTCAGTGCGTCTGAAGGAGGAGCAACTGCGCCGCGAAGAGGAGAAGCTGCGCGAGATTGAAGTCAAGGTACAACGCGAGATCAACGAGAAGCGACAGGAGCTCCTGGCACGCGAGAGCCAACTGAAGGAGATTGAGGCACGCATGCACCGGGAACAGAGTGGTATGGCGCATGACGACGCGGACGATGCTTAAGCGTGTCCAAGTGGCATGCGTTACGCCCGGCTCCGCCTTTGCATCGGCTCTGATGTTGGGCATCAGCGTTCAGCGCGCTTGGACGGGCAAAAAAGAAGAGCCAGAGCCGGACCGCAAGAGAGGGTTTGCCCGACCCAGCATCGGTGGCGTTTTTTTTTGCAAATGGAGGAGGAGATTTTCTTGGGATGCGCCGACAGTGAGAAAGGACGGGGTCGAAATGTCGGACTTCACTTCTTCTTTTAGTCTGGGGGCCTTTGATTATTTTAACGGACAGTGTTTTTGCCATTGGATGTGGTCTGCGGCTACACGGTCCCCAAACATGACACCGCTTCTCGTATGTTTACTTAGCCTTTTTCGATACTTATTCCCCCCGCCTTTTGGTTCCTTCATGTAGGAGGTAGTAATTCACATTCTAATATCACTCTGATCGCTGATGGTGCCTCGGGGGGGGTTTTTTTTGATTCTTTGCGTGGAAGAAGTCCGAGTGGCTAGGTTTGTGTGTATACGTGTACATATGCAAGCTCTTTTGCTTTTTGGGCAGTCATTCAGTCAGCAGGCAGGCAGATGAGAGAGTCGTGTGTTGTATGTAAGTAGTATGTGGGCAAGTCCATGTCTGGCGAATAAGAGGCATTTATAGCTCGGTGCATGAGCCTAATGCAGTTTGCATGTTCTGGACACTTGTGTTTTTCCCAATCACTACCTTGTGCACGCCAGGGAAAACGGTGTCATGTCTTCACGGCATAATACTCCTCACCGCCCTTGACCATCTTTGTCCACCTTTGTCCTAAACTAGCATGTACACTCGTCTCTGGATACGGCGAATACCGTAACTCCGTCGGCAAACTTCGGGACGTGTTTGTTAATTAGATGTGGACCTTTTTTGGCGTCACATTTGTCCGATCTTGAGCGGCATTGCGCGGATAAATTGTTCGGCATCTAAAGCTGCATAGCTGGGTCGGGGACTAAGCCGGGTTATTTGTGTGAGACCTCGGTCTTTGATTGTGAAAGAGGGCGCATTCATACATGCCAAGCACATTGCCGTCTGTACACCCATACATGGACTAACATGATTTTTTTTTTGCTTTTGCACAGCCTGGTGTAGGAAGAGGCGGCAGTCACAATAATGTGTGATGCGGGATTCGGAAACTATTTGCCATCAAGGTCTCCGAGGAGGATAGCAATGTACCTTGAATAGCGCTGGCTTGGCTTGGACCTTGGGCCCAAAATGTCTATAGTGATAGAGAGAGAATGTGGACTGCACCCCGCCTCTCCATGTGGCGACTGTCGAGGTGTCGACAGGGGCTTTCTCAGCCACCATGCGACCAAGAAGAGGGGGTATGGTAGGCTGAGCGCATAGTTGCAATAGTAGTCCGTCAAGACCATTGCTACCTGATCGAGAGGCTGCCAGTGCATCGCGATAACGAGCAAGACACGAAGCCAGTGTGCTGCAGTCAGCTACAGGGGACGCCGCCCAACTTCCTACTCAACACAGGCGAGTTTCCACATCGGTGAAGTACTGCACGTCATGATGCCGGTACGTAGCGACCCGTCTCACTGTATTTATCGGTGTATTCTCCAGATTCCAGTGTAACATTTGATTTTACCTCACCAAGTGGTTGGTATGAAAACCGACGGCCATGGCATGACGCCAGGCATCCAGGTTGCAGCGAAACATGGGTTTTGGGGCCCTGGCTGGTAAGGTTGGTATATTTACCGCCACTCTCATAACAAGGGCGAAAATCGCCAATCACTGAACTTCGGACCTCGTCTCGAATGGGTCGATCTGATTGGACATGTCAGTAGATGCAGGGCCCCCCAAGTGCCGATGTGTTTGATGTGGATGCCTCGACTTGGACTCGCGGGAATTGTGCCCAATGTTGGTCGATGACCAGGTTTACTTGGAGGCCGACCCGGACTTGATGATGGGGTATTGGAGATGGCAGAGGGGATAGATGGCGGCGCAGGGGTCCCCTGGTTGGTGCTATTCCAAGAGCGTGGTGGGATTAACCGAGTATCTGTGGTCTACAGGACGCATGTCTATGGGTGGCGATTAGGCGATTTGGGCCTCAAGACGCAGGTATCTCTGGGGCAAAATAAAGCAATAATGCCATATTGCAATGGCATACAAACGAAGCCGGGCCCAGCGATTTGTGAAGCTGCAGCATCGGTGAGCATTTCTGCATGCAAGTTGGTCCACTCACACCGCAGTGCAGCACACACCCAACGCCCGGTCCGCTATCAGCTACGTAGGTGCGTGTGTGTATGTATAGCATGTGTGGTTGCAAAGTCGGCATACCGACATGTGCCGGCAGAGGGGGGGCTTATTGCCGTTGAGATGGGCCCGTATATGCGTAGGCCAATGTGATGGGTGTATGGCAGTGGGCCTGTTTGGTCGCTTAGGGATTATACCCGAGCGGTTGTGCTCGGGACGGGGCCGACGTTGGTAGAGGGTGGCCAAGGGGGACGGTGAGGTGGGTGTTCCGTACTGGGATTGGCAGAGTGGGATGAAGGAGCAGATTCCGGGTTGGCAATAAAGTTGCAAATGGACTGACTGGGCGAGTCTTTGCAGATGGCAGCAGTGTCTTATGCAGAAGGCCCCATGGGAACGGATCCTTTGTTCCACAATGCCACTGTGCGGCCGACAGAGTGGGTGGACGTGGCAGCGTGCAGGCTGGGTGTATACACGTCAAGGCGTGGGCGGGCCAGGGTGCAGGAGACTCGGTCTGGACGGGCGTCGGGGGTGGGAGTGCATAAAAGATGGGTGGTAGGGCGGGCAGTACACAGAGGAGGAGGCTATGTACATGGTGTGTACATAGGCGATGAAGCGAGGAACCTAGGTTCGTAGATCGGCAGGGCGTCTAGTTCGCTCACGGTGTTGCATGACGCATGCCCTGGCCCCACCTTTTCCCAACGGGCCCACTTGGACGACGTGATCCGGGCGCGGAAGAAGGCGTGAATTATCAGGGTAGCCGCGCCGTGCGCGCCTGTGAGGATTAATATGGATGGCGACGGTACGGTACACACGGATGCGGCCACTTGGAGAGCCGTCTGCTTTTGTCGAGTGCAATCTGTGTCTGGGACCGAAGTGGTCGTGTGGTGGTCCAGCGGGGGGCTAGCGAGTCGTCGTCGGCGTCATGTGCATGGCATGGCATGGGCAGCATAAGGGAAGGAGACTTGTACTGGCTCGTTGGATGCTACATACACGGTGATGTGAAGAGTGTACATGCACGTCCATGTGTACAACGGGTGGGTATTGGTTTTTGTGCTGCGTCTGCATCTCGACAGAGACGCACATATGGGTTTGTGTGTGTAGTGGTGCGTCTGCATGTGCGTCTGCGCGTGCATCAGCCTTTGACATGGCCGTGGGTTATGCACACGTACGTAACCTCGGCCTCTGGCCTGCACGCCCGGTTGCTGCGGGCCTGGGGGCGAGGGGGAGCGTTGCCAGGAACCGAAGACTAGACAGGCATACGCTCGGATGGGGAAAGCAGAGCCTCCTGCTAGCGACATGTATCTAGGCGCTCTCGAGCTGGCGACTGGACGTCGCAGCCTGTGGCCAAATTGCCTTCACAGCCATGTTATGCAGCACGAGTCCCACCCGCGTGGTTCGGGACCGCCAGCTGAACCATCTGCCACCCGCCCAGCGCCCACACGGTCGACACTGGCCACGGCACGTCAGCTCCCCACCGTCTCAAACTTTTCACGGCCAGCTGCTCTGCGCAGTGCCCTCACCGGATTGCCCGGCCGCCAACTGAGAGCGATGGGCATGTGCAGCTCGGGTGGGGAACGCCACCTGTCGTCTGGGTCGAGTGCGGCCGCGTGAGAGCCGGGTCGATATGGTCGAGTGCAAACAGGCAGCTTTAACTTTGCATGCTGCGTGCCGTGTACGGACAATTGGCCTGGCCTGGCGCTGCTCTGGCTAGCCCGCCTGCCCGTCTCCATTGTCCTTCCCCAGGCCTGCTCTGCTCCGATGCAGGGTCCCTTGGTCCCATCCGCCGACCGAGGGCTGCTCGACGCTCCGTGGTTAGAGCATGCCCCAGGCCATGGCCATGCATCCACACATACGTATGCGTACATACTGCGCGCCCGTGGCCAGCGCCGCATCGAGATGAACGGCCCCGTTTGCCAGGCCCGATAAAAAAACACTCAAGTCACAGATAAGTCTAGACTCGCCAATCGGGTTGCAGATCGGTGGGGGAGGAGGTTAAGCCCACGCCCCCTGCACGCCTGCCCACTAGCACTCAGCCACTCATCGCCTCCCGAGCTGCAATGCTTCCTCAACGCCATGGACAGTGACGGAAGCAGGGATGCCTCTTCCCCGAATGCTGATTGTCCCCTAGCCGCCTTGCTGGCCTGCTAAATGCCTCTACGACCGGAAGCACAGGCACATCGCTCGACTCTACGCCAACGCGACTGCGGCGGCAGAGCTAGTAAAATGGAACCTCGGACATGTTCGTCATCAACGCAACATGTTTGCCTGCACCAGGCAGTTGTGGGCAGGTACCACCGCGTCCTGACTGGATGCTGCCTCGCCGCCCTCCTTCGTTTCTCTACAAACCTCCTGCCACTGTCGCCCTTCATTGGCCATGTCGTAAAGCTTCCTTCTTCTCCTCCTCCGCCTTCGCATCCACATCGAATCACTTCACTGCCCCGTCCCCATCCAACGGCTTCTTCGGACGCGAGCCCCCCAGCGCCACCCTCTTGCCTGTACTCTACTTGTCCATTATATACCCGCCTTGACCTGGCCCTTCCATCTCTTCGATCCCGTCCTCTGCAACTCACCCTCCCTCCTTCCCCCGCCGCGCCTCGACACATCTAGTCACATCTAGTCACATCTCGCACACGACACCATGGACCGACCTCAAGTGTCCATTCCTCCCGTACGTCCCCGTGTACCACTGACATGTCGCGTGCTCCATATACTAACACGGCAACGCTAGGCTGCGAATGTACTCGGGGTAGGTCATCTGCTCCACCACACTTGACTCATGATGCTAACCTGTCTTGTCTGCGAATAGACAATCGGAACTGGTGAGTGAACTGCTGTTGGCCATCCTGTGACTATGCTGACTTGATGCTAGTGTATGCACACCATGCAATCCAATTCTTGACAAACTTTTGCTAACCTGGCTTTCTACACTGTAGCTGTTGGTGTGTACAGGTATGTGACCAATCGAGCTTGCGGCAATGGCAGCAACTAACAGCACACAGATTATCCCACAGTAAGCATCTCGATGCCACCGACTCAGCACCAACTAACATGGCCCAGAATATGGCACAACTGGCGCCGAAAGAGCACAGAGGGTCTGCCAGGATCCATGCTCATCCTCTGGTCGATATGTGAGCTTACTGGCTGCCGATATGCAGGCTAGATGCTAACCATTGCAGGTGGCGTCCCATTTGGTGTATACGCTATTGTTCAGGTACGGCTGCAGCCACCAACGCTTGGCGTCTGCTGACATGACTTGCTAGAACTTCAACTTTGCGCTCAAATTCCAACCTCAAGCATTCGCCAGTCTCACGCTCATTTCTTGGGGTCAGACACTCTACTATCACAAGTCAGTCTATTCCCCGCGACAACCAACAACGACTAACACATGATAGCAAATGGCGAGTGTGGACAGCCACCCTTGCGACCATTGCCCTAGCCGCCAGCTTCGGGCTTATGGAGCTGATTCTTATCCTCACTCTGCGTGTAAGCAACCGCGAGCTGCTTCTTGCTGTTCCCCAACTGACCAAGTCTTTTCAGGGTCCCTATAGCCGAGGCGTCGAATGGCCCATGATGCTCATGGCCATCTTAGCAACCATCATCCAAGTCGCCGGCTTGATCCCCCCTTTCTTCGAACTGGCAAAGCGCAATGGAAGAGTCATTGGAATCGGTACGGAAGCGGCTGACCTACCCCGAGTGAGACATTGTGGCTGATATTCCTAGACTTTTGGTTTCTCACTATTGATTACGCTGGTGCCTTCTTCTCGCTCATGGCTCTTGGTATGCTCACCCCACTTGCTCCAAAGCAACATGGCTAACAAGGGAAACAGTTGCACAGCAATGGTTCGATGCCCTTGGTGGTAGTCTCTACATTTCTTGGTATGTCTTCCTTGTCTCTTGTATCCCAATTATCCATTTCATTCACTTACATCACTTAGCATGCTACTTGAAACCGGTATCTTTGCTTCGCAAGCCATCTGGCTCTGGCGCGTTCGCCATATACGCGCCGAAGCCAAGAAGGCTGGAAAGACGTATGACGAATACATCGCCGAGAACCCGAGCAAGAAACTATTCGCCAGCGAATCCTCGGAAACTTTTGTCGACGTCGAAGCTGGTAACGAGAAGCGATCAGCGAGCACATGCACCGAGAAGACGGCCATAAGTCAACATGAGCATATGCTAGCTACACCCAGCGACGCTACACCGAAGGACGCAACGGCAACATCGCCGGAAGCACTTCAACAGCCACCAGCTGCTGTCTTAAAGCCCAGCGGGTCTGGTCCATCATAATCATTCAAGCTTTGTATTACTTGAACAAACTTTCGGCGGCTACACCTTGGTAATCTTTTTTAAAACCTTTTTCCTCGGCCAGGAAATAAAACACATAGGCCCAGCGAGTCCGAGAATAGCTTGGGCTATCTTGTTTTCATTTAACTTTCATTTTATTCCGGGTATTTGCAAAGCAAAAAGGATGCACACGACACATGTACGAACAATACATAATTTCTGGGACTTGGGTGGAGGTATTTTGGCGTTATGACATGGATATTTAGGGTATCATTACAGCGTGGCAGGGCCAAAAAAGTTCATATTGCCTGGGAAAAGCTGGAACAGGGGTAATTGATCCATCAATCAAGCACAAGGCAATGAAATAAAAGTTTAATTGCTCGTCGGCTTGGCTAGACCTTGGGTTGTTGTTGTTGTGGAGGTTACGACATGCTTTTGTGCTGACTACACGTGTACCAGATAAGTATGTTGAGAGTTTTTTGATTAGAGGATGTGTTATTGTTATTGACATGATATAGTGCTATGAAATATACGACAGGGGGTTATCAGCACGCGTAATGAGCACAGAGCAAAACGGAATTTTCCAACATGGCAGCTTTGGAAGCTTTGTCCCAAACATTTTCCCTTGTTTCTTAATTTAGCAACTAATCGTTCGAGCATCTCGGTAGGGAAACTCAACAATAATTTTTCTAGTTTCCCATAGTTATCCATTTTTTTTCTTTCATTGACCAAACCCACACACACACACACACACACACACACACATGCACATGTGCATTGCGTGCATTGCATGATTACATGTTACTCCACTCGCCACCCCCTCCATTTTCACCAAAAACAGACAAAATGCAGGCAGAAAAAAAAGAATCAAAGCAGGGAATAGAATGAAAATCCTGGAAACTTAGTCTGACGTCAATTCATGTCCCAAATACGAGCCATGTTGAATCCTTTTTCTATTTGCCTTTTCTTGGAAGGGCGGGGGAGGGGGAGGGGGGGGGTGTGATGTTTGTATGCAAGTCATGCGGTGCACAGCTTGGCTTCATGACGCACAATACGAAGATGAAAATTTATTCTGGTTCCTTGATGGGGGAGGGTATGGTGGAGTGGAGTTGAGTCGAGTCGTCGAGTCGGAGGAACAAGGGGGACGCGGGACATGGGTGTAGGGCCGATTGAGGGTGTACGCAATCACCCTTTTTTTTCCCCTTGCCTGTGGGGAGTGGGTTGGGTAAATACGGTGGTTTCGTCAGGAAAGGGAAAGGCAGGGACGTGTTGGGGGTGGCGCACCTGTGAGCGTGGGGTGATTTTTTGCTTTGTCGGTGCGTTTGAGTGAGGGTATGTGTATGCAGGGTACTGTGGGGGTTGGGGGTTGAAAGGGGTAGGGGGTATGAATTATACTGCAAATATGTAGCCCTATGACAGAGATTTGGTAAAAGGGCTTATTTGGGGCAGCTTCTGCAGAAGTTGGAAGATGAGGTCTTGCCTATCGAGGTTTTGGTGGTTGGTGTGCTTATGACCTTTCTCAGTATCTACACAAAACTGTGTATGTAGGACGTAACGTCTTCTAGGATTCACCTTCCCAAGACAAGACATCCAGTGACGACACCGATTCGCGCTAATGTCTCCCTGCTATCACCATCATGACATTGTTGGGTGTGTGTGGGGAAGCTGGAAAAGGATCGCTGCACAATGTAGAAACGAGTAATCAGATGCTCATCCTCGCCCCAGCCCACTTGATCCTCGTGAACCACGTATAGATATTTTCAAGTTTTATCGATGCTCATGTGGGTCTAGATGGTGACCGCATGTAGTAGTAGTAGTAGATGTGCCAAAAGGGTACCGCCTCAGGCTAGGCCAGATCACAGGTTGACGTCATTACCGGTGGTGTGGACATGAGGCATTTTGGTCAGTCGGGAGTTCCAGTCGCGGGGGACAAGTAGGACTAGTCGTAGTTTCCATCCGTTGCCGACATCATACTCAAGACGGCTAGCAGAATTTCCGATTCGGCATGTCTTGCAGGTATACATAGTTCAGCCTTGTAGGGTTGGCTGCATCAACAAGTCCGTGACTTTTTGGGATCGGGTGCACCCATTCAAAGAATGCAACTGGCCTCTTCCGATATATTGCCTTTTTGTTCCCCGAACAGATGCTCATGATACACCACCTGTGGTACTGATACACGCCGTCAGCGGGGCAGTAAGAGATTTGGTAATGGAGCAGCCAAGCCTAAGCGTCAAGTCCCAGGTGATATGGCCTTTGCAGAAGTCTTGGCACCGGGCGACATAGTAGTGTACATAGTAGTAGTCAAGTATGCACACATCACCATGTTACTGTAGACCTGAGGTGGTTTGACGTGCTCGGGCTTGGGGATTTGACAATAGGTGAGGGGTGGAAGAAGATGGAACGTCGAGGCAGATTCGGGAACGGGTGGCACGTGAAGCAGAGCTGCGCGTCTGTGTGACCTCATCAAGGCAGCATAGCCCGCGCTACCGCGTCTCACCCCATCTCTCAAACCTACTGTCTCAACCTACACGTCGACCTTGCGCTTCTGCATCGCAAACCCATCTCGAGTGGCGACAAGTACAATCACCATGGCCGGACCCAAATACCAGAACGTGCCGCAGCGCGACTCGCTCGACGAGACTGCGCCTGCGCCCTCATACTCGCAAGCGCCACCCAGCTACCAGGCCACGGAACCTCAGGAAGCGCTTCTGCGTGGAGTGCCGCGCAGCGAAGATGATAATCTGCCAGATGACTTCAAGTTTGGCGGAGTAGTGGCAGAGGCGACGCTGGATATTCGAATGGCGTTTATCCGAAAGGTGTACGCCATCTTGTAAGCACTCCTCCCTCAGCCACCCCCCCCCCCCGAAACACATGTGTCGCATGCATACTGACGGCATACAGAACTGTCCAGCTCCTCGCCACGGCTGCCGTAAGCTTCGTGTCCATGACATCGACGACATATAGAAACTGGATTCAAACACACTCGTGGCCGTTGTGGGTGTTGATGTTTGGCTCCTTTGCCTTCCTCGGACTTACCTATTGGAAACGCAAATCATACCCCATGAACCTCATGTTCCTCACTGGTTTCACAGCCATGGAGGCATACATGATCTCGGTCATTGTGTCGTTCACGGAGTCCAAGATTGTGCTGCAGGCGGTATTCTTTACGCTGGGCATCTTTATCGCACTAAGCCTGTTTGCGTGCCAGTCCAAGTACGACTTTACAAGCTGGGTGCCGTATCTGTTTGGAGCACTGTGGGTGGTGGTGCTCTTTGGCTTCATGTCGGCCTTTTTCCCGTACAACTCGACTGTAGACCTGGGCTATGGCATCATCTGCGCGCTAATCTTTTCGGGCTACATCCTGGTCGACACGCAGTTGATAATGCGCCACTACCATGTCGAGGAGGAGATCGCTGCGGCTATTTCGCTCTACCTGGACATTATCAACCTCTTCCTGGCGATTCTGCGGATTCTCAACTCGCAGAACCAGAACTAGATTGGGCGTGGCATGGTGAGGGGTACATGATGGACGGGGACATGGCACTGGAACGGGCGCTTAGGGCGTGGTAGAAATTGTCTAGGATGTTCAGATTGCGGGGTTGTTTGCATGTTCTAGGCACCGTGTACACACGTAGCTGGTGTAATATTGATACAATGTAATATTGATACAATGGCTAGGCAAAGTGAAGTGGTTCGAGTGGGTATGTGCAAGCATGTCGACATTTGTGGTGAAGGGCTATGTACCGGCGGCACTCTTGTGCATGGCGTGCCGTGGGTCAATGGCAATGACTCGATTGGCCTGGCCGTGGACATGACGCTCGGCGCGGCCAGTCGTGGACCATTGCGCACGACATGGCTCGATGTGAGGATACATCAGACCATGGCGGGGTAGCCGTCTACGCATACAGGGCCGTTTGGATGCGTGGGCGTGTGATTGGCCGGCAGAGGCGCAACGGGCACCCAGGCCTTTTGTTCCGCCGACGAAGCTTTTGCAGGCCGAGGACTTGGCACGTCCGCATTCGCTGGCACTCCGTCTGCGTCTGCGTCTGCCTCGCCCACCATGGACGCCCATGATTTCCCATTGCCGCTGGGGCCTCCGCTCCCGCGCCACGGCCAGGACGAGATGGTGCGCCGGGCCACTCGCCTCGCCTGCGCCCAGCGACAGAGAGCGCGCGGCGAGTTGAGCTCTGGTGGCCCTTGGCTCGATACATGCTCTGTACATAGATGCATACATACACGCCCCGATAGATTCGCATGGCTGCAACGACTTAGCCGCATGCCCATGTATTACCTCCTCGCGTCCCGGTACCAAAGTTAGGCGAGGCCCAATGTTACGCGAAAGTCACGAGTAGCGGGCTCCAGAACGCAGCTAGCAGAGCACTGTTAGCTCCCGCGACACCTGTCCACAGCCCACAGTCCAATCCTCCAGGGGCAATTCGTCGCTGGCTGCATATCTCTACAACTCAAGTGGACCGCCCGTCTCGGACTCCTTGGCCGCCCGCGCGCACACTGGACAGCTTGTCGGGGAGATTGACTGTTGATTGGCGCTTGCCCGCTTTCACGTCTAAACCCTGAATATCTTTGCTTGGGCGCACCACACCGCTCCCCCCCGTCAATTGTTTCTAGTCTGCGACTCTGCCCCCCCCCGCAGACACTCCTCCCTGCCTCTGCCGTCCGTCCCTCTGCCATTGCGCTTCCCAATGGCTGCTGATTGCTGAGATACACCGCGCACTGCCCTCGCCACGCTCTCTACCCACAGCAGTCAATTGCTCAGACCGGTTCTCACGCCCGTTGCTTCTGGTACAGCACATTCGCTGTCGAGCAACAAGGGAACTGGGACGGCCCCCCAACCGCTTCCGCCAGCTCATCCACTTCTGCACCCATCGCACGCCGTTAATCCGCCCTCCACTATAATACATTCTTACCACACACTTTTCCTCATCGCCCCAACTCTTTTCCACGTTTAGAGACAGCCGCCTGCCCAAAAGGGAGCCCAGCATGGCGGCCAAAGCCACCATGACGCCTGCCAGCGGTGCGCCACAAAAGTCACGCACAGCAAATATCCAAGCCGAGAAAGCACCCATGGCACCCAAGAAGCGGAAGACGCAGCCAAAAAAGGCCGACGATGAGGGGCTCCTGGCCTCGCTATGCACACTCATCTCCGACCATCAGATTGGTATGTCTCTTCCCCAGCATCTCAACACTCCGGCGGCCCCTTTCAGAGCTGACCTGGACCAGGCATATCCGTCAACCTCCTCACGCTCCTCACCTTGACACATGTTTTCTTTCCCCGCGCCCGAAGCCGGACCAACCAGTTTTTCCACATGTCCTACTATAACTCCGAAACTGGCATGTATGGCTGTGGAACCGATGACATCCCCTTTGTCTTCCTGTGGACCGTTATTTTCACCGGGCTAAGAGTTGCCGTTATGGAGTACCTGTTGGATCCACTGGCCAGGCTTGGGGGCATTAGGACCAAAAAGGGACTCAATCGATTCAAGGAACAGGCTTGGTTGATTGTCTACTATATCTGCTCCTGGTCTCTCGGAATGGTATGTTTTATTCTATTGCAGAGGCTTGGCAGATCAGGGATGCTAACGAGACAACAGTACATCATGTATCATTCCGACTTCTGGCTCAACCTCCACGGCATCTGGGAAGGTTGGCCCTTCCGAGAAGCTGACGGCCTCTTCAAATGGTACTACCTCGTCCAATGGGGTTTCTGGATCCAGCAGATTCTTGTCGTCAACATTGAGGAAAAGCGCAAGGACTATGCCCAGATGTTGTCTCACCATTTGTTCACAACCGCCCTCATGGCTCTGTCGTACGGATACTTCCACATGCGTGTCGGCATTGTAATTCTCACCATCATGGACTTTGTCGACATTGTATTGCCGGTAAGTCGACCCTCCTCGAGCAAGCGATTTTGTGACTAATCATTGCAGACTGCCAAGCTTCTCAAGTACATGGGCTACACAAATGCATGTGATTATGTTTTCGGGCTCTTTGTTATCTCCTGGATAGTCACCCGCCATGTCCTTTACATGATGGTCTGCTGGTCCATCTACGCTTATGCACCCCTCGACATGGAACCAGGCTGCTACCTCGCTGACTCCACGTCAAAACAAACCTCGTTTGTTCCCATCTCGAATACCTCGCAATTTGAAGCTCTTGGAGGCAACAACCACTGGGGAAACCTCCTCAAGGCCTACAATGACCGCAACGGACCCATTTGCTGGAACCCACAGATTCGATACTATTTCCTCGCCCTCCTCCTTACCCTGCAAGTATTCTGCTGCATCTGGTTTGCCACCATTTCCAGAGTTGTGTACACTGTAGTCAGGGGAAATGCTGCTGAAGATTTGCGTTCAGATGACGAGGGTGAAGACGAGGAGATTGAGGAGGACCAGACCAACACCATTTTCAACATGGCAACCACATGCGCCGAGTCGGGCATGAGTTCCCTACAACCAAAGGAGGAGGAAGTCGGCGTTGATGCCCTGACGTTTGCTCGCATGAATGGTGCCAGTCAGCGACGACAGGCCAGGAGAGAGAGCGCACGAGCAAGTGGCATCAGTATTCCGGGACATGGTGATCGCAAGGAGCTGTTGGGTCGCATTGGCTGTGATAAGCCTTCCTAAGCTCTAGTTGTTATTCTTTTGACAAATCTTATGGCGTTTTGGCGTGCAGTGTAGTGAGAAGAGTCCGTGTTTTTATTATTGTCGGATTGCATGGTTTTGCAGATGTTGCTGGATATGTATACCCTACTTAGAAGACAAGTGTTGAAGATTCCCTCTACCATCGCCTTTTTTTTTCTTCTTCTCTTCTTTCTGAGCAATGACCAGCCTTGCTCATACTCTTGTACAAAAGAATTTTGATTTGTATTTGTGACGGATTTGCGTTGGTTATGCTGAACATGAAGTGAAGTTGTTGTCATCCTCGGCTTGTTCTGACATGATAGTGGGGCTATCAAACCGACCTCGGACAAGAACGACGGACGCTAGACACGCACTATGTTTGGGACTACAAAGTGCTATCAGTTGATGTAGTTCTGTGACGCACTGATACCCATCACTTGTTACCGAGAGAGACGTTTTTCACTCTCGACTAAGAACCATTACTCGGTTGGATACTGGATTAAAATACCACCTTGACACCTACCCTACCTACACCTAGGACTATACCCACACACACACACACACATACACGTGACAACCCTTTACAACACCACCACGGCCATGTCACCAACCATGTCCACGGAACCCACTCAACCTCTTCCAAACCCGCCCTTCTACACCATCCCCAACATCAACAACCTCCGCGACGCATCCATCTCCCTCACAACCACCTCTGGCTCCAGCATCCGGCCACGCATCCTCTTCCGCAGCGCCGAAGTCTCCAAACTCGATTTTGCGGGTTGGCAAGCCGTGCACTCGCTCGGCGTCTCGCACGTCTTTGATCTCCGCTCCAAACCCGAAGTCGACAAGGGCTGGGCGGGCATCGTCGGCAAAGATGCCTCGGGCGACGGCGACGACGACGTGCGCCCGGGCTGGCTGCAGGCAATGGAGCAAGCGGGCGTAGCGCGCTCGTGGGTCCCCGTCTTTGAAGAGAGTGATTATTCGCCTGAGCGCCTGGCCGAGCGCTACTCAAAGTACATGGATGAGGCCGTCACGGGCTTCGTCGACGCGTATCGCGATATTTTGGCAAACGGCGGAAGCGCGTTTGGTAACGTGCTGAAATATCTTGCGGCTATTACCGTGTCATCATCATTACCATCTTCTTCTTCTTCTGTAGAGGATGACGGGGAAAAGGCTGTTGGGGCGTTGGTGCATTGTACGGCGGGCAAAGATCGCACGGGCATGTTTTTCGGGTTGCTATTTGACTTTCTGGGTGTTCCGCGTGAGCAGATTGCTGATGAGTACCAACTTACTGAGTTGGGGCTTGCGCATGTTCGCGACGAGGTTGTGGCGAGGTTGATGCAGAGCCCGGGGTTTAACAAGTATATGCTGGCGAGTATGGAAGGGACGAAGCTTTCGGTTGAGGATATTGCGACGAGTCTAAAGGGTGAGGAGCGACAGGTTCAGGTTCAGGTGCCGCCTGAGGTGCTGGAGAAGGGAAGGCAAGCGGCGCTGCGGATGATTGGGGCAAGAAAGGAGAGTATGTTGAGGAGTTTGGAGATGCTGGATGAGGTGTTTGGGGGTGCAGAGAGGTATTTGAAGGAGAAGTGTGGACTAAGTGATCACGAGTTGGATGCATTGAGGAGGAATCTTTTGGTAGAGGGACAAGCGGTGTAGGGGCATATGAAGAATGGTTCTCTTTGAGCGATAGATTAGAGGCTTAACCTAGAAAGATAGAAATCACAAGTCAAGTCTTGCAACTCCTGGAAGGAATATCAAGTATTTGCAATAACGCTAGATACGCCAAAAATCGTCCAATGTTGTAGCCCTTTTGCATTTGTCCTATGCACAATCCCATTACCTCAGAGTATCAACACACACATCTTACTTGGCTTCAACTGCGCATGCATCGCCACACGGCTGCTTCGCTTCCTCACTGTGATCCAGGGCCTTAGCCTCGACCCCAATCAGGCGCGCCAACTCCGAGATATTAGTATGGTCTACAGTATTTTGCATGCGGTACATGTACTCGCATTTACCATCTGTACATCCCATGCATAAGTTTCTTTAGGCTTTCATTGTTTCCGAGGACGCTTGACTCACCTGCGGAAATAATTACTTCTCCACCATTCAAAGCTTTGGGTCCGACCTGGTTCACATGTTGAATACTAGCTACTGCGCCCTTGATGCCGCCCCAGATCCTGGACGCAGCGCTTCCTGCATCGCGCATGTAGTCTTTCTGCTCATCACCGGCTTTGGCTTCAGCTAGGTTGTACTTGAAGCCAAAGATTTTGTGCAGACGGAGCGAAGGATCCGTGTAGATGGGGTAGGCAGATGCTGATTTTGCTGCATATATGTCGATGGGTTGGTAGGAACCGCAGCCAATAGCCAGGACTTGTTGCGTCTTTTTAGTTTGGTTCTACGTTAGGGATATAAGACGTACTTTGAGTAGAAGGAGGAAGGTTAACCGGGGGTATTGATTCGCTGATGCATCGGAGATAGGCCTGGCAGTTCAGACACCCTTTCAGAACTTGTGTCAGTGTTTATGTACCTTGCAAAATCATAATTATTCGCGCATTGTTGTCAACAATAGCGCGAAGCCATAAGCGTAGGGAACGGGCCCAGTGGGGCTGTGGCGCGATCCAAATGTTGCTTTTAGAACATTACGCATATGCATGTAGACTTACAGAAATGTCTAGTAAATATCAAAACACTTCGTTTTCCTTTGACCAGGTCCCCCAGGACGTGGGTTTTCCCTTCACGATCATACACCTCGATCTTGAGTGCGTTTGACAGTTCGGCAGCGGTCGGCAAGCTCGTCGGACTGGAGGCGTCTGAGGTATCATTAGAAGAAGCCATTTTTCACGTTAATATCACGAGCTTTGATAAGAGAAGTTCGTCGAGGTGGCTGCACTTCTCTCGCGAAGTACAATAATTCAGGATTGGTGATGACGTGTGGCAAGTCACCTGTTGGAGGTAGCTACAGATGGCAGGTAGTGCCAAGGCACTATACCCGTTTGAGTGCACGATGTTAACGTAGGGTGACTTTGGTGTTGGAAACCTATAAGTCTCTATCTCTATCATAGATGGAAAATTGAGATTGTGAAAAGAGCTGTTTCCATTGCTTGTCGCGATTGTTCTATGCCTCGTATTGTGTTTGTCTTCTTCAAGCCCTTGGATTGGCACAAGTCTCAACTTCATCTTCAGGTTAGAAACCTCAAATTCATTTAATATATCAATCACCCTATTATCACCCTATTACTAATAGACTAAACTTATCTCACTAACTACGGCGCTGTACAACTTAAAACTAGTATAAAACAACTTATATAGCCTACCTCTAGCTTCTCTTATTATCTATATTAAAATATTAGCTCTACAGCGTGCGTAAGACGCTTATAAAGTTAGCTTTTTTCGTCTATATACTAGATCTCCTCTATAGATAATACTCTTAGCGTAGCTGTAGCTGTCACGTAGCTGCGCCTAACACCTTAAATAAGGCAGCCTAGGCTATAATAGTACGCTACATAGTACTCGATAATTAGATTCCATTAATTTTATTTTTCTAGCACATACGTCCATAGATTTCTGGCCCAGGGAAACCCGTTTGATCTTCCGTACTTAAGCAGTTAATCGGCGGATTAGTAGTCAGGTGGGTGACCACTGGCGAATACCCGCTGTCGTATGTTTTTTTGTGTTTGCATAGCTACAATATTTTTTGGACTGGGAACATGTCACGTGTCGACTTCTTAGCGTATCTAGTAATCTTGGGATGGTTCTGCCAAGTTTTTAGACATTATATGCAACATTGCTGTTAGCAAAGGACTGCAGATAGCGTCCCAGTCTTTGTCATCTGTAAACTATGCTTGAAGTCAAATCACCAGCATGTATTTATCAAGATATATCTTGACCAGGCCAAGTTCTGACAACCCCTACGGCATGTCGACAATTAGGCCACCACCTCGTGGTAGTACGGCTGCCGATAAGCGACAACCATTCCGCTGCTAACATGCAGTCTGACACCTGTCTTCCAAAAAGCAAGAGCACGAACAGCAAAATACCTCTCTGAACAACAATCATTATTGCGGTGCTTTACCATCCACGCATCATCAAAATCTAGGTTCTTATCCTGCAACATCCAATCATGGCGCCAACCCTCCACCTCTACCATACCCCAGGCTCCTGTTCCTTGGCGTCGCACATCGCTCTAAATAGCGCTTCGCTTTCCTTCAAAGCAACGGATCTCCATGCAGCGCGGGGCTTCCCAGCATCGCAGCTACATCTCAACCCCAAAGGCCGGGTCCCGATCCTAGAAATCAATGGTGAGCTCATCACCGAAACACCGGCTATCCTTACCACCATCTCTTCTTTGGCCCCAGAGAAGAATTTGCTTGGAAAGGGGGTGATGGAGCAGGCAAGGGCGTATGAGTGGATGGCGTGGTTGTCGGGGACAATGCATGGGCAGGCTTTTGGGTGCTTGTTTCGACCTGCGCGCTTTCTCAAAGATGAAGCGACGCATGAAGCTCTGCGCGAATCAGGTAGAAACCAGGTCAAGGAGTGCTTTGAATACGTTGAGAAGAAGCTGGAAGCCAAGAACTGGGCTGTCGGAGATGCATTTACCGTGGTCGATGCGTATCTTCTGGTATTTTACAGGTGGGGTAACATGTTGAAGATGGAGATGCGGGACAAGTATCCAAACTATACCAGGCTCGCGGATGCTGTTGTAGAAATGGAAGACGTGAAGAAGACCATTATGAGCGAAGGCATAAGCGCGCTGAACGAGTGAACAGGTCAAGTGAGCGTGCTAAGATGGCATGGAGGTGGTGCCAAGAATGCGATGATGTGCACACAAAGTTCATTTCTCAGAGGGAGATGTGACATGCTTTGTTTGAACTATCCTCTATCTAATTGAAAAAGTACATGAAGAACAACCACTACATGAAACGAATGCTCCCTGAGATATGTGTTTAATTAGAACTGCAATGCAGTATGGTAGTTGGTACAAGTCGGGTGAAAAGTCATTCCATTATCAAGGGCACGATGCGTGGACCAAATGCTCACAGTTCTTCATCATCGTCATGATCACAAAGACCGAATTTGCAGCCATCACTGGCATCAGAGTCTGCCTCGGACTCCGATGGAACATCTGTACCCAGAGGAGTGATGACATTCATCGAGATCAGATTGTGCATCTCGCTCAAGTCGTACATGTTGTGCATAAAACGGTTGATTGCACTGCGATTTGAAGCCTTTAAATTATTGACAGGCTCGACCTCGAACTTTGCGTGTTCCGGCAATATGATGTCTTCAGCCTGGGAGCACGTTCAGTGGGCTAGACATGCAGTCCTTTACGATCATACATACCTGATCCAAGACTTCGTATAAATCCCATTTCCATTCTGGGTCGTCCAATAACGGGTCATTGGGTGCTTCCAAGGCGCTTGTAATGTCACAAGAAACAAGTTGATAACAAGGGGGGCCCATTAGATTATCCCAGTGCCCACGATAAGTCCAGCTCATTGTGAGAGAGGAGCCATCCTGTACAAGGCTTTTCAACATTGGCTGGAGTACTTCGATGGCTTCCTCCAGAACATTCAATCGAATGTAGCGTTGGTACATGATAATGTGAAGGTTGAATCCCTTCTTTTTCTTGATTTCAAGTAAACTGCAGAAGTCTTTTATTAATAAGTCACTGCGAACTAGTGCTGTTTCGTTCAAGGAGTGTCTGCATTTGGAAGAAAGAGAGTGGTTCGGCGGCGGAGTACGGTAGCGATCGACATTGCAGTGAACTGTCAGACTTCGGATCAGCTCCATCGTAGGGAGGCCGAGATGAAAACTGTCGTTTTGCAGGACTGAACCAATGCGACTAGATTGGCATTGTAAGAGATTTTCTTCGTTGAGAGACTGGTAGAATGACACTCCGATCTCGTGTGCAGTAAGGACGCCGACGTAGTCTGGGGACAGATAGTGTGGGAGAGTAGACTGGTCAAACATCTGCTTGAGATCACCATCTTCCGCACGGTACATGGATTGGGCAATGTCTAGAAGGCGTGGGAACATTGCAATCGTGTCTGGTGGACAGTAGGGGCATGTGAAGGTGTAGTGTTGCTTGACATGCTGTCGCGCCATAAGATGGGGGGATGTTCTGTCGGGATCATAGTGCCATAGGTGCTTGTATATCATGTCTCGGACCTCTCGTGGCAAACGGTCTTGTAGTTGGGCTGCAAGGTTTTGATTCCAGGTCTTGCAGTACGGGATGATAGTGCGACTGACGATGGTACCGTTCAGCCAATCGCTGTACTGTCCATGCAGCATCAAGCGCTTCGTGGCGAGCCATCGCTGTTGCTCTTTGAGTCGTTCTTCTTCACGTTTGATGTCTTTCTCGCTATTCGAGATTAGCTAGATCGTTCTCGTGCATCATGCATTTAAGGGCTGTTAGATACGCTTGTGAGAACCGGGCGTTCCTGTGCTTTGCCCTATATGCGAATCAGTATTGACGTATAGTGATGTATCAGTGATCTTACCGAAGTAACTTCTCTTGTACTTTATGCAGCTCATTCTCTTCGAGAGCTTCGGATGAGTTCGTCATGTCTGTAGTCACAGATTACGGTGGTGTATGCCAGAATGGACGAAGAAAAGCCTAAATTATTAGAGAGAAAGTCAGAAAGTTTGCTCTGTGTTTGCAATCCCGGCAGAGGGTTAGGAGGGGCACCTGCCTTCAATACCAGAGCTAAACCAGATCCGGCTTGGGGGTTTCCTCACGGCGCCTGAGTGTCGCGTAGTCATGTGATCAGAGTGTATTAGGGAGCTAGATTCAACCCATCGATATGATTGAGTAGCCAAAATATCCTGACCTTACGTCTATCTATTTTGCGCAAGTGGGTGGAAATCAGTGGTATCACAGTCGATTATACTTCATCATTTTATACCTTTTTAGCACCACAAGCTAATTTGGAGCAGAAGTGTGGCAAAATGTAAGCATCAAATCCTTTTTAGAAGTAATCATAGTGAAGAACCACAATGTTAGTTTCTTAGTAAAATGAAACACACGGAAGGGTCACATAAACTGATGGAAAAGACAGCTGTAAGGGTAGTAGCTTTTGGATTATGATTAACGTCTATCATGATGTATTTGATTTCGTGTCTGAGACTGGATGACAGAATCAAAATCAGTCCTTCATACGTAGCTATTATCCATAGCTATCACAGCCAATTCAGCGCTTAAGAAGGAGGTGAGGTAGGCTCAGGGACGCCAGGAGGGCAGTGCCTAATTACTCAATTAGCTCGATACCAGTGGACGGGTAGCGGAGAAGTGACTTACCAGTGGTCGTTGTGGGGCTCACAGGACTCGGCAGGCACAGCAGCAACATTACTAGTAGTAGCAGACGCCGCAGTAGATGTCACCGCAGAAGTAGCAGATGGAGTGGCAGAAGGGATGACGGCTGGAGACTCCTCAGGCGGAGCGTAGCGACCAGGGCAGCCCACACCAGGAACAGCAATGTCGTAAGCATAGGCCTCAAGAGCAAAGTACTGAATGGTATCGCTGTCCCTAGCGGAGTATGTGGCATTGTTCTTAGCAAGGTTCATGACACTGGGGTACTTCTCCTCTTCCTCATTAGTGTAGTGCTCTACGACACCCTCACCAACGGGAGGAAGATGAAGAAGGCGATGGATGAGATCCGAAGCCCAAAAGTAGTTGGTAGCACCGTTGGCGACATTGTAGCCGTACATGCACATGGACTCAAGAGGCTTGCGGAGCTCGTAGGAGAGGTCGCAAATGACAGTCTCTGAAGATGCGTTAGATCCCCGCCAGTGGCCTGCCCATCCTGTTCCCTGTTAGTCAGAGATATATCATCAAGTTTGGAAAGTGTGTTTATGTACCATCCTGGTGACAGTTTCCGTCAATGTCATCGCATCGGAAGAGAATACCGGCTTTGTCGCCGTCGGCGATCTTAGTGTACCAGCCAATAGGTTCGCCAGTAGGAGAGTCACCAAAGTACTTGGTGTAAATATGGGACTCGTTGCCCCAACGGAGGATGTGGTCGCGAGCATGACGGGCGAGGACCACTGCCTCGTTGAGCCCTTTCCGGAGCATCGTGCGTTGAGTAGCATTGCAGGATGCATGGATAGGGAAACTGTCGACGGCACCAGCATTCCATGTCAAATCACCGACAGAAATTTGAGCGTTTTCGCTGGCAGTGATTGTGAAGGTATTACGTGGGGCAATGGGTCCGGCCACGACAGCGGAGGCTCCAAGGAGTAAGAGGGCAGAGATGCGCGCAGCCATTGTGAAGTTAGTCTGAGGAACAGTAGCCAAGTCTGGGATTAGATATGAAATTGGTATTGAAGTCCCGAGACGCTGGATGCCGGATACTGAACGAGGGTAGTTGGAGACAAGCTGCATGCTCTTTATATATCCCACGAGGTTGGCCTGTTGTCAGTCGGCACTGTTCGTCTCGGTACTCAAATCCCAAGCTCACATTGAACAGAGCCGCCGAGGCTTGAAGAAAAAACGCCTCCACCTGACAGCTGCAGATACACCCTGGTCTAATGCCCGTTCAGAGAGGCCGATACTACACAACACGGGCCTGAGGAAGCATCCAGTGCTTGGTCTGACGTACAGTCTGCGCGATAGAGCTTGGCTTTCAGCCGCGTGGGGTCTGGAATACATGTTTCTCCGCTCAAGCGTGATTTTGGGGTTGGTTAAGTACCATGATGGGCGCCCAATGAAGAGAAATTCTCGCTCCCAAGATACAAACTGTCGGGATTCATTGCCATGTTGAGGAAAGCCGAACGTGGTACATTGTGACATGCTTGTATTACTATAGAGGCCGTTCAGACAGCATGTACTGCCGAGTGACATACTTGCCTAGGGCTGAAGATGTTGAGATAGTCACATGGATTTCCGATAGGGGCTAATCAGTGGTGCCAAGCTAGAATTTTTATCATATTTTGACCTGGTTCAGAAGTGAATTACTGAAATCGACAAGATTCGAGAGATGAAGATGCATTCTGAGTATGTCAGCAACAGAACTGTTGTCCAGATGTGCGTGTAGACTATCACTACTTCTCCGGTAGTAAAAGCCGTACTTCCACCCACGCATCCCAATATCCATGCACCCGGCATACATCGCCAAGCTGTCCGCCACCCTCCTTGTGGCGCTACTCCCGCCCACGTACAGAAGACGCTTGTCGGATTTGGGTCATACAGAGTACAAGCGCAGGCCATGATTCGATGTGTTTCCGGACGTAAACAAATGCCAAGGGCAATTAATCCAACACGGTGCTCAATGCCAAGCGCATCCATGGCGCCTCCCGTCCAAATAGATGGGACCCGGGAAGTTCTTCGTAGGGTTCCGGAGGCCCTGCACCTTCGAACCGTGGTACTTTTCTTCCGCTCCGCTGATTCCACCGAGGCTTGATCGTACGGTATATCAAGACGGATGCGCTGACCACTCTTGTCTTACACACCTCGAAACCAGCCGGCTCGGTTACCTGGCATATTCACTACCCCTTGACTGTGCCTTTGACGATGCGCTCTGTCCTCTCGACAGCGGTCCTGCTTCTTGCAGGATCTGCTGCCGCCCAAACCCTGACCCCAGCCCCAACCAGCACAAGCTCTGTGCCCCGCCGGACTACCTCTGCGCCCACCACGACGTCGTCTCCAACATTTACTGCTGTATCAGATTGCCATCCACACAAAACCGTGCTGTAGGTACCCCATTTTAGAGTTTGGGTGGGATGCTTTGAACTGATATAAGACAGATGGTGCATGGTTGGTGAAGAAGAGTACCAGGTATCTGGACCTACAGCTACTGAAGAATTTCAATCGCAGTACACAGACTGTCATTCACATTCCTCTGGAGTGTATGTATGGTTTCCACTCTGCAGAGCCAACGCTAATTTGTCCAGATACTGTGTCGATAATAGGGGCGAAGATGTAAAGATCCTTGTAAATGGCACAGGAGAAGAGTCGCACAGCACAGGAGACTCCCATGGCCATGAAGAAGAGTCTGCAGCTGAATCAGCTAATGAGTCCGGAAACAGCGGTCAACACTGTCACGAGCACGCTGGTATCCCCCATTGCGTTGGTGGAAGCTCTGGACCAATGTGCGAAGCCCCTGATCGTGACTACAACATTGGTCTTCGAGTCGGTCTTCTTTTCGTCATCCTTGTCACCAGCGGCATCGGAGTTTTTACTCCAGTCCTAACCAGGAAGTTCAACCTCGTCGGTGCTGACAACATCATCTTCGTTGTCTTGAAGCAGTTCGGTACCGGCATCGTCATTTCGACTGCCTTTATCCATCTCTTCACCCATGCTGAACTCATGTTCTCGAATGAATGTCTTGGAAGATTAGAATATGAGGGTACTACGGCTGCTATCTTCATGGCTGGTTTGTTCCTCTCCTTTTTGGTGGACTATCTCGGTGCTCGTTTTGTACAGTGGCGTCAAGGCAGGCATTCAAGCAGTGGCACAGAGGTTCCAGCGGTTGCAGGCGACAGTAAGTCTGGCGAGGTTGCCTCTGCTCCTAGCTCAGATCAAGGGTCTGATCATGGCCATGCCGGACACGCTCATGGACCCATGCGTATTGCTACTCCAATGGAACAGAAAATTAACGTGATGAACCTTGAGGCTGGTATCATCTTCCACTCTATCCGTAAGTCTATGCTAATACGCATAATGCCATCCAACTAACGCGCTTCTTAGTCATTGGTATCACACTCGTTGTGGCTAGTGATGGCTTCTTCATCACCCTCTTCGTTGTCATTCTCTTCCACCAGATGTTCGAGGGCATCGCTCTCGGAACTTGCATTGCTGATCTCCCAAAGGCTGCAGCGGGAACGCTGCAGAAGCTCATCATGGCCGGTACCTTTGCACTCATCACACCCATTGGCATGGCCATTGGTATTGGCGTGCTCGACCACTTCAACGGAAGTGACCCTAGCACCCTCATTGCTATCGGAACCCTCGATGCTCTTTCGGCTGGTATCCTTGCTTGGGTTGGTATTGTAGAGATGTTGGCGCGAGACTGGATGAGCGGAAAATTGATGAACGCGGGCCTAATAAGAACTCTGTCCGCAATGTCTGCCCTGGTTGCCGGACTCATTCTCATGAGTGTTCTCGGCAAGTGGGCGTGAGGATAGCACTGAGGGTGCTGCATTGTACGATGCTCAAGTCATGACTTTACATAACTGCATTGGAAAACGCATTTAGGATCTTCTTGATATAGATCAAGATATGGTTACACTGACCTTTTGTTTATTCTTTCTCTGCTTCAGAGCGGATGGATAGTGAATCTACTCCAATATTGTCCCCTTCATACTTTGCTTTCCAAAACTATCCCAGACCTCGGCACTCCATTCTCCTTGGCCTGCTGTACTGTGGTGCTCGGTCGAGCTATTCTTCAACAGTATGCGATATGGCTCCTCAACATACAATGGGCTCATAGCACGGTATGCTATAGCTTTTGGTACTATTTCCATGTCACCATTCTTGCTGGCATCCCTCCAAAAGTCTAGCATGTTGATTAAGTTTAGTGGTCCATGCACAACAGAGTCGCGGTGTCCCTCAACCTCCCTGCACCATTGAGGCAAATAATGTATCTTATGTCCGTTGAAAGTCAAGGCCGAAAATCGGAACAATGATGTCCGCGTCTGACAGAAGTCCCGTTGATACTGGCCCCTTGGCAATGGCACTTCTTCCGGCTTTGGTGGTGCTTTTATCGGATTCTCAGGTGTGAGTTCACGTTGAAATACCCAATTGCGACGATCCGTTAATGCAATGCCGTGGTCGTTTGAAAACGTCTTTTCTACTCCCACAACCAGCATTTCTCCGCCATTCTTCAATTTCTTGGGCTCGGCGTTAAGAAGCTTCGTAGTCTCCTCAACTTCCTGTCCTACTCTCAGCAGTGCGTTGAGGTCTTTTGCCCATTGCAACTCGCCTCCTGCCCACATTCGTCTTGTGAATGGGTGGAGTGGATTGACAGTGCGATCTGTGCCGTCTAAGCCCAATTCGGACTCGATAATGGAAGGCGTGAAGTAGACGAGATGATAACCGGGTGGGATGGGTGTCCCGGCTGGGGGCGGACTAAAAGATGAGGGTGTGCGCTTCAGTGTTACATTGAGAAGATGGAGTTGGTTTGCATCGAAGAGCTGTTTTCGGACGGAGACCGGGCCATTCTGGAAGCGGGTGAGCAGTTCGTCGCATGCTTCGAACGCGGAGGCCTGATTACGAGATGTCGTGGCGAAGAATCGACGGACAAGATGCGACATGGTGGAATCCTTCCTTTTAGACGACTTACTTTCCTGGTTGACCTGTTTTACTGACTCAGATTGTGGTTGCGTGCAGGAGCGGGTGATGATGTACTGTATTTAATGCCGATGCATAGCCGATATCGATAACAGTCTCCTTCACCACCCGCGTGCGCCAGCATGGAAGCAAATGCAGTATTAAAAGAGTCTCGTAAACCTTTTACACCAATCAATTTTCTTTGACGCGATTCAAGAATACTGGAAATTGCGATGTCTTTTATCCTTGAAGAGACTATTGGACGAATCAGATTACCACAATCTTGCCAAGCCGCCAGATGCCGCCTTGCCGAGACCTGATAACCGACTTCGGCTTCTTTCAAAATCCACAATGCAAGCCGGCAACATGTCTGAACGGCCGCGCAAACGCGCCAGATTAGCATGTGTGACATGCAACGCACGGAGAGTGAAGTGCGATGTAACTGATCGACAGCCTTGCAGCAACTGTACAACCGCCGATCTGCAATGCGAAACTCGAGAATCGAAGCGCGGAAAGCATGTTAGAAAACCGCGCGTTGAGGCTGAGGCACGAAGTAAAACGTATACAAATATCCCTCAAGGACATTTTAGTGAAATATAAAGGCTGACATAAGTGTAGTCCACCAAGTGTGCCCGTGTTCAGCCCGCAACGGCATGAGGACGAGGTTGCGGCATCACACGTCTTGGCTTCTCTGTCGTCCAACTTCAACAGTCCTGTCAACACTCAGGCGCCTGTCACTGGTAATCAGAATCAGTTCTCTGCGCCATCAACAGCCCCAGAAACACGCAACAGTCAAGTAAGAACGGAGAATTTCCAGCAAGAAGATGCCGTTTTTCTGGGCGAATCCAGTTCATTGCGTTACGTAGCAGGAGCGCCAACCCCTGCCGCAGTAGAGCGCCGCGAGCATTGCTTCCGCCATGCTCTTCCTAGAGGAGTTAGAGAAGAGGCGTATGTTCCAGAATGGGAGGCTGAAAGGCGTGTTGCAAGGAAGAAGGCTCTGCAGGCAGAAGGCGCGTTTTCATTCCCCCCGGCCGAGGTCCGAAAAGAATTACTAGAGGCCTACTTCAAATGGTTTCATCCGCACTTTGCGATCCTTGACGAAGACGATTACTGGATCTCTTACAACAGATTCGAACCGTCTGCCCTGCTATTACAGGCGATGTTGTTCATTGGTGTGATTCACTGTGACGAATCTACTCTGAAGAAACTAGGGTGGGGCAATCGTCACCGAGCAAAATGGTTCTTCTACATTCGTGCAAAAGACATTTACGACGCGACTTACGAGACTGACAAACTTGTTGTAATCCAAGCCTTACTTCTGATGAGCTTTTGGAGGGCAGGGGCTTTATTGGAAAAAGATGCCCGTCATTGGCTTGGAACAGCCATTAGTTTATCAGAAACACGAGCGCTACATCGCTGTGGGGGGAATTCAGAGGAAAAGCTTACGAGGGTGAAGAGAAGACTGTGGTGGGCCATTTACATTCGTGAGAGACAATGCGCAGCTGCTCTGGGTCTGCCATGCCGGATACGCGACAAAGATTGCGACGTGGAGCCATTGTCATATTCCGACTTTGCATATGCCTTTCGATCCTCGTCTCCAGCAGATTTCCGCCATCGCTCGACTGCTTATGCAATAAGCATGGTGCAGTTGGCAGTTTTTCTTGGCCGCGTAGTCGATGCTGGCTATCTGCCCGGACGTACACTGACGTCCGAAGACACGACGAGGCTTCGCGATGAATTGTACCAGTGGAAAAATGACCTCCCCAGCATCATGCGACTTGACACCGATGGTAGCGGCATGCCCACCTTCCAAGCTAGCATGCTCCACCTCGCATACAATAATCTCCTCATTCTCCTCTATCGAACCAGTTTTATCATGGATGAGAGCCGCAGTGTACCAGCGGAAGGTAACGTCGCGCTACAGGCCGCTGCACGCAACTCACGCATAGTCGAAGACTTACTACCAGATGGCACCATCTGCCACGCTCAGATGCACGTCATCACAAATCTATTCAACACGCTCTGCATCCACGTTGTCCACTTCCGCCACTCGACAGGCATTAACCGCACGCTAGCTGAGCACCGTGCAAAGCTTTGCCTGCTGGGTCTCCGAGAGCTCCAAAAGACATGGGAAGTAACAAATTGGGTTCTGGAGCTATTCTTCCACTACCTCGACGGAGATACTGCGTCCAGGTTGACCATGGAACCGGACGAAGCAGGGAGCCATCCTGACGCTGCTCCTCAACCATTGAACCCGCCAGCGATGCCTTCTAGTACTTTGAATCAACACCTGGGGCAACATCAAGGGATCGCCACACCTTCTACTCCTAGTCCGAAGCCTTGGCCTTGGACGCTGAGCGAGGTAGATCAGTACCTGTTTATGCAGATTGAGAATGATTTTGCATTTGGCGAGGGTGGATTGCAGCACTTGGGCCCGGAAGACTTGGTCATCACGGATGCGCCGGCTGATTTTGTCTGCAATCAGGGGCAGGGGTAAGTGGGTAGTACTGCTGAGGACGTCGGAGAAGGTTCAAAGGTGGGTCGAATGGAGACTACTAGAGGAATAGTAGGGATCGCGACGTCGTAGAAGGATCGTAGGGAACGTCTCGAATCTACCTATGCCCCATTTTTCGTTCGTAGAGTATTCATGATTTTATAGACTTCTATGCAACAGCTATCTCGTTGAAATTTCCCGACTTGAACTAAGTTGTGGATCTGTCGTCAGGCTCGTAATCCTCTCTCGTCTCAGCATGAGGACCTTCACTATCCCCAATAACATGATATAACTTTTCTCCTTCCCACGCACTCGGCTTCTTTATTCATCATGAATTTCTGGTATTAGAAAGCATGCTATGCAGTGTGCTGCGCAGTGTCTGATTGGGAGACCTCTGTCAATCACCCCTTCAAGCAATACTTGGACAAGCAGGAGACCGTACCTCTCCGATCTACACATGCCATTTCCCAGCTAAACACAAACTAAGCACACCTTCACGCCACCTCCTCAAGCTCCACATCTTAGAGTAAGAGTCAGACGAACTTGCTTTATTGTATCCAAGCGTCGCTTGACTAAGTGATCACTGAGTATCTCACTAAGGCGGCCTTGACCCATGCATGGTGTTCATAATACTCACCTTCTTATATATTCAAACTCTGAATAGCACAATAATCTTACTTGGGCTACAGAAAAACCAATTCCTTGTACGCAGCGCTATGTTGCAATAACACAACATCTCCAAAACTTTTGTGGTCGCCGCCTCCATCTACGTGGGTCGTTGATACGCGCATAGATGAATTGCTGCTTAAAGGGTGATAGGAGTACTGATAATGGGTGTTCCCATTTCCCTCCTAGACTGGCCGAGCTCTCTCCGCGCTCAATCGCTCAATGGTGGCTCGTGTACATCATAACGCCACAAAAAAACTATAATGTCATCTTAAGCGCTATAAAAAGAGGCATTCTCTAGTCATCTCGTCTCAGTGGCGCTTAACCTAATATTTGCTCCGGGAAACTTTACTCCCAGAAAAAAAACGGCTGAATGATTTCTCTTATTGACCTAGTAAAGCAGTACATATTACAAGGAGTAAGCGAACGTAGTATTTGATTCCTTAGCCATCCAAGATCCCTTTGTTCATCCCACATCCCATCACCATCATTCAAACGACCCGGATTGTAAACATGACTCGCTTCCTCACCTCTACCCTCCTCTCCCTTTCCCTCTTCCTAGCAACCATTCATGTAGCCACCGCACGCCCCCCACTTGGCTTATTGTACCCAGACTCACCCACAGCTGAATGCTGCGACACATCGAGCACCTGGTCTTCCTTCGAGGACAACTCACTAGGCCTAGGCACAACCTACTGGGCATTCTCATCATGCGCACGTATTCCATTTCGCTGTTACCCACGCACACATTACCTCACTTCCTATCTCCCCTCACGGTATACGTAATTGTTTCGCTTACATATCAAGGATAGTGTAAACAAGGCTCGGATCCAAACCACCACCATGGGTGCGATCAGAAACACACACAGTTTCCTATAGGTAGATTAGGTCTGAGTCATTGGATAGGGCCTTCATGTGGGCAGGGAGGGAGAATACGGTGGACTGTTCCGCCTGCGTATGAAATAAGTGCGTTTTTCTCCCCATACTTGCACGCACACGCATACCTACATGACTTTTCTTTCTTTCTTGAAGAGCTGGTCGGCTAACAAACAGGATGGAATGTTAGAAGTTTGCTGTGGTCAAGGCACGGAAGGTCCTAGTATTAGTGAAGGTGATAACAGACATATCCCGTATCCTGGGAATTGGTGCGAGGCTTCGCTAGGATATGTCCTTTGCGTACGTACCATATTACCCCCAAACCAAAACCCCCCTTCACACTCCATGCTTCATTTGTACTGACCTCGGGATTTTACCGGAAACAGTGTGTGCCCGCCGTAGGAAATGGCGAATGCCGACTCAACGGCGCGCAAGCGCATTACTTGCAGGTCAACAGCATGGATATACCTCATACTGTTGTCAATCAGTGTTTGCAGCCGGGCGTAGCCGGGTGGAAGTATTGTGTCAAGCCAGGTACAAGCTGGTAAAAGCCACCAACAACGTAAGGGCCATAAACTTTGTTCAAAAAAACTGTAAGCGCCAAACTCCAGGGAAAAGAAGGTGATCTCTTGGGGCATAAGAAGGGTGGGAAGCTACAGTCATGTGCATGGGTGTGTACGTATATATGTAGCTTCCCACTCGAGAGAGACCCTGGAGGAACTCCTCAAATCCTCGTAATCACTTCAAAAAACCCGTAGACGTACAGATTATTCCTGTCCCCATACACATACCTACCAAACACATCATAATACTCTATCAACCCTACCACCGCAAGAGAGAAAAGATTTCGAACAAATACCCTCTCAACCCTCGAATAATTACCATATACGTCACTCACTCTTCCTCCCCCCCCTTCCGCCCTCCCTCTTCATACATGTCTTTCCTTTTCTTTTTCCCCTCTCCCCACTAGCTCAACCTACCATCACACCGCACAAACCCCCCCTTCCCTGCATAACCCAACCCTCTTGCACCCACTTACAATCCTACATACGCCCTGCATGCGCACCCAACCCAAACCCAACCCAAACTGCCCTATGGCATCGCTGCAACCAAAGCCTCCCCCTGCATGACGCTGCACCAGAAGAAAGCAAAATCTTAGCTCGGGGAAGAAGCAAGAAAAAAAACAAGGAGCTGACGCAGCGAACTGGGGTGATCTGGTCTGATCTGATCTACATGCGGTGCTCATGTGTGCAGTGAAATGATGATGATGATGATGATGATGATGATGGCTGGCAGAGAGGTAGGTAGGGCGGGCAATCCACGTGCCCTGTCTTACCGTCATTTGTGATGATGGATGGGGTGATGACGGTAGTGGTGGGTGAGCGTCATCATCGAGATTGCAATCCAACTACTGTTAATCGGTATGACCCATTTACCTAAACAGTACCAAAGTATGTAAAAATGGTCCAAAAGACAAAAGATGCATGTCGAAGAGGGAAAGAAAGTTAGGGACCAAGTATACACACACACACTTGAGGTAAGGAACCAAAAATTTGCATGGGAATAAATATTTTTCATTCCAACCCCCTTAAAAAGGTAAATGCGGAACGAAAGGGTAGAAAGGAAGAGAAAAAGCATAAAGGATAGAAAGCCATGTACATACAAAAAGGCAAGGATTGTTCGCCACCCTAGCTCCTATTGCATGATCTATCCACCCACCTCCCTTTCCCACGCGCCATGCTTGATGCCATAGAAAAAGAAAATAACAGTTAAACCAAACACATTTCTCCAAAAAGAAACACAGCGATGAAAGCTTGTAATCCAAAAAAAAAGAATAACACAGCGATGCGAAATCGAGGGCTTCATCGAGACGAATGCAACTTTATAAACACCAAAGCACCATAGCTATGCGACTCTTTCCAGGGTAACGCCGTGACTGCCGATTTGCACCAGGGAATAATGAAATTTACAACTTCGTAGCCTGGTGCGCCACTACTAGGGCGAGCTTAACTCAAGAAACGGTCCAAGGACAACATTTCAGTGCCTTTGTTTGCCATCTGCTGTCTGCCGTCTGCTGTCAGACATTGAAACGTGCCATCCTATGCTTTGTCCCGTTTCTGATTGCTGTCCGACGCTTAAGCTGCGATGCTTTTCTCATCATCTTTTTCTTCGACGAAATCTCTTTGTGGGTTTTTGTAATTAGGCGTTTTCTTCCTCTACTCAACACAACGTAAGCGAATGCTCCAGACCAGGGAAATGCCTTGTAGCAATGCGTGAAGCTTGTTCAATGTCATCACCTTCCATCATCGCTATCGTGCTTCTTTGATCGATCACGGCCTTCGTAGTCGCTCTCATCATCATAGCGACGACGTCGCTCACGTTCGTGATGATAGCGGTCATCATCGCGGTCCTCGTCATCTCGGTCGTCTTTGGAGCGGCGGCTGCGTCTGTCACGGTCCTCTCTCTCACGTCGTTCATGATCGTACTCGTCATCCTCTATGCATCTGTTAGTAATGCTTGCTTAACCAACTCATCGACGAACTCACCTCTGCTCTCGCGGATCTTCCTTGTTCGATCAGCGAGCTTCTGAATCTCTTCCTTGGTCAAGACCCGGAGTACAATCACGCAGTCCATACGCTCTTCGAAACGTTCCTTGGCCTGTTCCAAGGCCTCTGGGTTGACCAGACGTCGGTCGATCCTTGTCCATCGAGCTCCAACAGGAATGTCCTTGCCCTTGAGAGCATCCTTGTGAGGTGCTACGCCCTCGCGGATAGGCTCAGGGTCCTCTGGAAACTTGGCAGTAGGCTTGCGGAGAATCCCCTTGACAGGTGCCACGGGTTCCTTGGGTGGTTCAACAATCTGCACGCTCTTGCTAGCAGGTTCTGACTCCTTGTCGAGTGTCTCAGGCTCCTGTACCATGCCTCCATTGTGGGTAGCCAAAGAGCGTTCATCCCGAGAGCTGGGTGCGTCTCGAGGAGGTGATGCACGTGACGGTTCCTCTCGGCCTCGAGACCTGGACCTCTCACGCTCCTCCTTTCGCCTTCGTCGATCCTTTTCACGGTCAGAGTCGCTCTCTCGGTCACGGTTGCTGCGACCGGCACGTTCGGCTTCTTGTTGGATGCGTCGTCTGTACTCCTCGTCGGGGTCTACAGCAGCTGGTTGTGGTGCAGGCTCCTTTCGCCTCTCAGCATCTCGGTCAACGTAATGACGTGGTCGTTCATCTCCACTGCCTTCAGGCGACGGGGCCTTTCTGGACGAAACAGGGACCTTGTCCTTGTCATCATCCTGTCGGCGGTCACGGTACTTGCGATCTGGATCAGGATAGGCTGGATAGTCGGGGGCAGCAATCTGTGCGGGAGGAGCAGGAGGAGGGGCGGTAGCAGTAGCGGCAGCGGCGGCAGCAGCAACAGGGGCAGCCACGGCTGGAGCTGGAGCTGGAGCTAGAGAGTTACGGCGGCCTTCAGACTTCCTCTCGCGTCGCTCATCAGGACGGTCCCGCCTGTCACGTTCATCGTATTCCTTTCGACGCTCTCGTTCTCTTTCTCCAGAAGAGTCACGGTCACTGCCTCGTTCCTTTTCCCGGGCCTTCATGTAGCTAGCAGCGCCCAAAGTGGCAGCAACGCCGGCAACAGCTCCAGCAGCAGTGGGGACAAAGCCATTGCCTTCGTATTTATCATGTTTGCCATGATCCCGTTCCCGGGGACGTCGGTCATAGTCTGGAGGGGGCACATCGCGGTCACGGGAACTACGAACCTCAGGCATGCGGGCCTCAGGCATGCGGGCCTCGGCACGCTCGGGCTGGTAGTACGAGGTGGCAGGCTCCTGCACCCTGGGCCGAGGAGGCTCTTGAGGAGGGTAGAGAGGCTGTCGATCAAGGGCATGATGATCATGTGCAAGGGGGGGAGGGCCAGTGGGGGCGATGCCAAATCCTCGGGATGTGACGTCACGGTCCTCGAAAGTGGTGTTGTGGCGTTTGTTCTCGACATCCCTGCGGTCGTAGTCGTCACGGTAGGTATCGCGACGGTGTTCGCGGGATTCCTGATGAACGGCAGCTGGGGCTCGGGAGCGCGTCGAAGATGATCGGCCAAGGTGTGCATCGGGATAGGGGTCATACTTGGGGACTGGAGTTCTGTCAATCGAAGATGACCGGCCATGGACGCGTGGAGCGCTGTGAATTTTGTCAAAGCCTCGAGTGGATGGTGGAGGACCAAGTTCACGGGTAGAGGTGCGTGGAGGGCGGTCGGCAATCATGCTCGTAGGACGAGAAGTGCGCTCAATGCTACCGGCACGTGGGCGTCTCCAGGCTGGCTCGGTGTCACGGTACATGCTTGCGGGGTCCGTGTAGGAGTAACCATCGTTGCTCATGTCGGACAGGCGCGGTGAAGGCTTGGAGTCATGGTAAGTACGGCCACCACTGGTGACATTGTAGCCCCTATCTGCGTGATCCCTGTGGCGCGAGGCATCGACCTCTGCCACAAGCTTGGTCAAGTGGCTGGTATCATCGACACTGTAGACCTTCTTGTGGGATCGCGAGGGAGCAGAGGTGATGTATGTGTCGGCGCGTTTGTCGTAGGAAGAGGTGAGGGGGCTTCTGGGGCGGTCGGCATGGGTGGTGGTGTGGGGCGAGTAGGGAGTGCGGAGGGGAAGGGACGTCTGAGGGAGGGCACTGGTGCTCACGTTGGGGCGGCTCAGGTCGTTTGTGTTGCGGCGGGGGCGTGTGGTGGTGTACGAGTCGTACTTGAGGTTGCTGGTGCGGGCAGCGGCGAGAGAGGCAGTGGGCTGGTTCCAGTAGGGTGAATGAATTGACGAGGCAGCAGCCAGACGATCGACGCTGGCGCGTGGGGAGCTGGGGCGGGCATAGTACGACGAGTCGTAGTATGGGTCAGAGAAGCCGCCGGTGGATGCTCTGGCCGGATTGCCATATGCCCTGCGGGGGGACGAGGGGCGCGTGTAGCGCGAGTCCATGGCGCCCGACAACTTGACCGTCTTGATGTGCAGCGGAGCGGTTTTGGCGGCGGTTTTGGCAGCAGGCTGGGTGGACAGGGAGTTTCTGCGGGGAGGAAGGGGCGGCGCTGCAGTGGGGGAATAAGTAGTGCCCCTTGGGCCCGGGGGGCTGGTGGGGAGGAGAAGGCTGCCCAACATGATGTTAGTGGGAGTAGGTGAAACGGTCAGACTGGGAGAGGCAATGGCAGCAAAGAGGAGGCAGAGAAGCGCATGGCACACGAAGAAGGCGAAGACGAAACGAGGCCTGGCGGCGAGGGAGAGGTCGCAGGTGGACGTACATAAAAGCGTGTCGATGCCGGGCGGGTGCCAGAGGGCGGACGCAGGTGTATGTTGGCTCGACGACTAGGAGGCGCGAACCGGTTGCCGGTTTGGACAGACGACAGTGGTGACGCCGGGCGCGGCAGGGGGCGGGGGGGAAGTGCGCTGCAAGGAGGACGTGGTGGAGGTTGCTGGGCGGACCTCTAGGATGTGCCTGGCAGCGATGGGCGCGGTGGTGGGGACTGGCGAGGCAGCGAATGAGGCGGGCGACGCACGAGGGGACGAGGGCGTGTATGTGTATGTGTGTGTGTGGTGTGTGGTGTGCGGCGCGGTGTGGTGTGCGGGCTAGCAGCTAGCTGGCAAGGAGCAAGTGTCGCGCATGCACATGTGTATGTAGTCGTTGGTATGGCATGTAGCCTGTCTGGCACGAGGTTTTCGGGCGCGGGCTGTGAGAGGGCGAGGGTGCGCCCGCCTGGTTGCGAGGTTACGTCGGGCCAAGTGCTGAGTGCACTATGTCATCGCTCGCTTGGGCCCGCCGCAGCCCTAGGAACCCTGGCGTATTCCTCGTCCCGGGCCCTGTCACTGTGCGCGCCCCGCCACTCACAGGGTCCGCCGGTGGTGGTAGCGGGTTTTTTTCTTTTTGCCTCTGCTATGTATGGAGAGCGAGCAGCCCGTTGCAGGCCATGGCCACGCCTAACCACCGCTACCACTGCACGGCTCCACCCCCCTCCAAGGCCGTCCGCTGCTCCTCTGCGTCTGCTGCGCACGGCACGCTTCATTTTGGCGCTGCTCCTGCTCCAGTCTGCCCACCGCCTGTCTGCACCGCTGTCCTGGCCCTCGCCTCGTTTGCATCGCGGACGTTACCCCGTCTGCGTTTGTCATCCGTGGTCCGCCCACGCACACGCCCACGCCCAACCGCCCCTCCTCGGGCTCTCTTAGGGCATCCATGGCCCTTGTGCCGCCCAGCCTCGCCCCCAAGGACTATCCTGCCTCGTGACCGGCTCCTCGTTTGCCGCCTGCCCGTCTGCTCGTCGTTGCCAGATGCGGCCCGACTCAACGCCTGTTCGGTTCACGATCTTCACTGTACGGACACGTTGTCCCCATCCCTGCCTGCCATCCATCGCCCTACGCTGCTCGTTGCAACGGGCCAAGATGTGCAATGGTGCCACTATAACCTCATCACTTGGCCGTTTCATTGTACCTACTGGTAGCCTATCTTACACATGTCTACAGTCTAGTCCGCCACACGCGCTGCGACGTAAGCACTCGACGCCGCCCCTCGTGTGCTTTTTTGCCATCTGCATCGCCTCTCCCCGGCTACCCTGCCCTAAGCGTCTTCGATCTGCTCCACGCGCCCTGCCTTGCCTGCCTTGCCGCTCCTGATCGAATCTCGCTCGTCCGCCGTCGCATGATGGTCCCTCAGCTGCGTCGCCCGTGCTTTGCTGGGAATCGTGTCCTGGATACACCCTCTGATGATGTTGCCCTCAAACAGCTCGCCAATTGACTCGAGCCGCACGCCCTTGGTCTCGGGAACACACAGCACCGTCCACACCCCCATGGTAATGCACAGCGAGCCAAACAAAAGGAACGTTCCGTACGTAATGTTGTCCAGCATCAATGGCGTAATCTTTGCAATCACAAAGTTGAACAGCCACTGAGTCATGAGCGAGGCCGCCATGAGCAGCGACCGTACCTGGTTCGGACTGCACTCAGACGCCAGCACAAAAGGAATGGGTCCCCAGCCAAACGAGTAGAAGACAACAAACAGGTATACGCACACAATGGCAAAGATCGCGTTGCCGTCCAGGTCGCCCGATGGCGGGTGCACCGCTTGGTTGACCCCGATGTAGAACATAGCAAACGCTTGCCCGAGGGACCCGATGATCAGAGACCACTTGCGTCCGAGCTGCTCGGTAAACGCCATTAGCCCAATGGCCGTTACCACAATTTTGACAATGCCGTAGATACCGGTTGCCTATATAGCCACACCGTTAGCACCGTTTCAACTCCCCGTCAATACATACATATATCTATGTATGTACATGTACATGCAACAAGCCACCATTCGCACTTACAAATAAGCCCGATGATTTACCGGTAAGACCAATCTGCTGGAAGATCTGCGGGGCGTAATAGTTGATCCTAACCAAGGTCAGCCGCATTCCTGCATCTAATCGAAAAGATATCAGAGCCATACGAGTTTGTGCCAGTCCACTGCTGCCAGAACATGAGAATGACAACAAATGACGACCGGTAAAACATCTTTTTACCGGAGCAGGACGCCTTAATCTGGGCGACCAAGGGCATCTTCTCGTGTCCATTGAAGTCTGCGATAATCTCATCCAGTTCCTCGATGACCTCGGGGTCGTCGACCCTCTTGCTGCGCACTGTAGCCAGCGCCTGAGCGGCCTCATGAATCCGGTTCTTTTCCACCAGCCAGCGGGGTGACTCGTTCATGAAAATAATGCCCGCAAGCAGAATAGCTCCAGGCAGCATTTGCAGCGCAAAAGGTACCCGCCATTTGGTGGGATCAGTGGGGCTGGTGATGTGCAGAGCGATGCCGTAGTTGACGAAAAAGGACAGACAGATGCCCGTGACGTTGAAAAGTTGCTATTGTTTTTTTTTTGGTCAGTCCACCACATCTAAGCACCAAGTTTGATGCAAGCAAACATACCATGCAACCAATGCAACGGCCTCGAATAGCTCGAGGGGCATTTTCTCCAATGTAGGTAGGTACGACGGCAGAGATCAAACCAACTCCAAATCCACCAATCACACGTCCGACGTATAGCTGAGCAAGATTCGACGTGCCAAGACCGCATAGCGTCTGGATCAAGGATCCGACAATGAAGATGATGTCGGCGATGATAAGCGCCCATTTCCTGCCAAACGTGTCCGAGATGTAGAAACTCGCTAATGCGCCGAAAAAGCAACCTGCTTGCAGTACAGACACAATGTTGCCCTGTAGATTGGCAAAGTCGGGGCTGCCCTTGTGCAGGTTGAAGGAATTCTGGAACGAGTCCATGGTCAAGACACCTGTGCGCATCGCCTGAGGTTAGCATACTAAACAGCACCAACGTCCATTGTTACACAAGCCGCCTACCTCCGATCAAGCCAGTGTCCCAGCCAAACAGCATTCCGCCGAATGAGGCCACAGCAGTAAGCAAGTAGGCTCGGCGATACAACTTGATGTCCGCCCAGACCTCACCCATATTAAGCATCGCCATGATTCCTTTTCCCGTCGGCCGTCCAATATATTGCCGATAGCGATACACACATACACACGGCAGTATAAAAGAAGAGGAAAGAAGAAACGCGCAAAGCGTTTGCAATGATAAAGACCAGAGTAGGCGATCTCTCTCCATTTAAATAACAGTCGCCCCCAACCCCATCCAATTCCCAACGTCTCCACTAGGCCTGCCCTCCCCCCTCCCCCCCAAGAAAGAAGTACGAGCAAAACCCGTCGCAAAAGGTTCAATTGGCGCCGTGTGCCTGTCGGCACAAAAGACGGCACATGTGACGTCTTTTGACGCGCGAGCGGGGGGAGACCAGCCATGCGACATTCGTGGGGACTCCACCTTCAAAAGTCTATGTGTTGCCTTGACACCTAAGCGGGGCCCCAAATTCCTTCTGGCCTGAGCTGTCCCCCAGTGGGGTCGGCAACGTCGGGGAAGGGCACATTCATCCACTTTGTTCAAATGCCGCTGGCTTGCTACACACGCGCTTATCCGACAGAGAACAGTTATTATCGGATATGTATAGGAATGCTAATCCGGGTACCTGCGGTGTTGCGCAAAAGGAACAGACGTCATAACAAGCTTGTGGCAAGGAGCCAAAGCGGCGTGAGCGGTGTAGAGGCGGCCTCTGTACGGCGATGCATCTGCAGGTTACATCCTACCTCTGGCTCGGTACCGGCAAGTGGAGGGGGCCCTGTTCGCACACCCGTCTGACAGATTTCAGCCTCTTTTTTTCCCTCGATTATTCACACGTGAATTTGCAGCATCGAAGTTGAAGAACAGAAAGAGTTGCACCCATTGTGCGATGCTTAACCGCCATGCTTTCTTGATCAAACACCGATGCCAACAAGCCACAGCTGAGAAACGTGCTCGCCTCGCCAAGTCGCTCGCCATGCCCGCTCAAAGACCGACCCCGGATCCCACGTTTTGACTCCACATTCTTGACTCTCCGCATCAACATATGAATCATGGTGTTGATTGCCGACGTGCTCAATCTTGCATCTGGCTCATACCACTTGCACCACTCTTGCATGTATGGCACCTAGACAAAAAGAGATTACGGTATTGGGGTTTGTCATGATTCATCAATTAGTCTATGCAGTGCGTCTACGCTACCAGGCCTAGACCCATGCATCTATTCTATCGTCTAGATGTTCGCCTTCTCCGTCTTCTGCTCTGGTACCTGCGTCAATAGCTTATCGCTCGTAATGGCCGACTTGAGATTGTCCAGCACCAAGATCTCCATTTCGCGCTGCAACCATGTTAGCTTCTTCCTTGTTTTCTTTCTTTTCCCACACAACATACCTGAGTTTCAAACGTCGCCGTGCCAACATGAGGTAGCAGTACGGCATTCTCGCACTCCAACAGTCCAGGATGGATCTTTGGCTCCTCCTCGAACACATCTAGTCCCACAGTCCACACCTTGCCGCTCTTGAGCGCATCCACCAGGGCCGCTTCGTCAATCAACGCACCTCGCGCTGTGTTTACAATGACCACGCCATCCTTCATCTGATTGAATTGCTCTTTGCCGATAATGTGCGTAGTAGAAGGGTTGAGGGCCAGGTTCAAGCTCAGCACGTCCGATGTCTTGAGCAGCTCCTCAAAGCTGACGTACTTGGCGCCGTTTTCCTCGTTAGCAGGCAGCTGGCGGCGGTTGTGGTATTGTATCTTCATGCCAAAGGCCTTTGCACGGTGTGCGACAGCCGAACCAATGCCACCCATGCCCAAGATACCTAGCGTCTTGTTCTTGGGGTCGTGTCCGAGGGAAAAGTTGCCACGCCACTTTCCTATTTGAAAATGTCAGCACCTTATTTGCCGTTGTTGCAGATCCTGCTACCCACCGCTGTTGACTGCCATGTATGATTGCTTAATGTTTCGTAGGGCGCCGAGCATGAGCCAGATGGCGACGTCGGCAGTTGCGTCGTTGACTGCAATTGGCGTACTCGATACGGAAATGCCCCTCTTTGTGCATGCCGCAACGTCGATGTTGTTATATCCTGCACCATTGTGGCACACGTACTTCAGGCTCTTTGGTAGCGCGTCAAGCAGCTCAGCATTGAAGTCTCCAGTGATCGGGTTCGAGTCGTTACTCCTGTAGAGAGCGTAAATCCCGTCGAACTCGCCGCTCTTGCACTTGGAAATGAAGTCTTCGCGGTTACCATCGGGGTACTCGTATAGCTTGGACGCGACCTCGGCGCACTGCTGCCACTCTTTCTGCGCGTGTGACAGCTTGCCGATTAGTAGCGCGGCTCTTTGAGACATGATGTTTGTATGTGTGGGTGGGTATAAGGCAATGAGACCAAGGCTATCTGGACAAAGCAGAATGAAGGAGAGAAAGAGGCGGGAAAATGGCAAATGTCAACTCTAGAAAAGCGGCATTTGCATCCTCTTTATTGCACCGCCCTGCTCCGCCAACGGAGCTCTTCTTACCGGCCCATCTCGGACCGAGATTTCCACCATACAGATATGGCATGCAGTAATTCACTCATCTTGACAATAACATTTTATTTTATTATCGCGTTGTCATTGTTTGCTGTCAAGAGTATTTTGCGACAAACATTGAGTTTCTGATGCTGATACCCCGCCATGCTTCTCTCGGCAGCCCCGCCATCGTCATGGTGATTGCATACTCCTTACAACACACGCGCAGGTCAAAGGCCATGTAAGTTTCCATCTTGGACGATTTTACCAAGCTTAATATCAATTCTAATATGCCATTTCCAAAGACGTCACGCGACAACTCGCCAAATGTCCAGGCACAAGATCCAAGGGTTGGCCAACGTCATCGGCGTTTGACCTTCAACATTCAAATGCCGAAACACGACACGTGAACACACTGTCCAGCCAGCCAATGCGCGACACCCGATCAGAACAAGCGTGTCGTATATTACCTCATTAGGCGTCTGGTCTAACCTCGCCATCGGAGCCGAGGCGAATCGCCTATTTCCAATGTCAATCCTCCCGCTTTCTTGCATGGCGGCTCTGAGGCTAGGCAACAAGGCAGCCATGGACGTGAGCTGCCTGGTGCAGCCTGGCTTTGACATTGACTACAGAAGGAAATACAAATGACACTATAAGTATGCGGTTTATGAGAGATGTTTTGTAGTTGTTCATCTGGATTTACAGGAGAATACAGAATTGTACATATTGGCTACATCGTATAATTCCCCCCTGAGGTCTTCAAACCCATCCAAACTTGACCAAGTACACTTCCAACCACCACCCCCTAATAATCCCAACTACTACTACAACCTAACTACTCAAAAAAATGGAACTCAAAACCATCGCAATCCTCGGCGTACGCCAATCCTTCCCCCTCCCATTCCACCTTCCTCCCATCTAATCCATCCACCACACAGCCCGGAGGCCCCCTCGGCACCGCCATCCTCCATGAACTCCTCCAACAACCCTCCCCCACCTCCCTCCTCGCCGCCTTCTCCAACCAAGACGCAATCGTAAACTGCATCACCGGCAGCGCAACCCAGTATGCCGCCTACCGCCTCATTATTGACGCTGCCCTGGCCGCGGGTGTCAAATTGTTCTTCGCAAACGAGTTTGTGAGTGATGTGCGGAGTCCGCGGTATACGCGGTTGCCCGAGGGGTTTGTAGGGGCGAAGGCCAGGATAAGGAGGGAGTTGGAGGACATGGGGAGGCAAGGAAAGATGGCCTGGGTTGGGTTGAATGGCGGGGCTTTTATGGATATGTGTATGTTATCCCCCTTCTTCTTCTTCTTCTTCTTCTTCTTCTTCTTTTGAAGGAGAAAAAAACGCAATACTGATGTGTAAAATAGGGCTTACAAAAGGTCCTGCGGGCTTCTCCCTGCCTACATCTCACGCTCGCATTTATGGGACAGGTAACGTCCCGCTGTACTGGACCCCACTGCCCGTTCTTGCCCGTGCAGCCGCATGCATGCTTCGCAACCCAGAGCCAGTAATGAATCGCGCCATTCATATTTGTCCGTTTGTAGCGCGACCGGGTGAGCCCTCGTGTCTTACGCAGCGTGGGTTGCTGCGTGTGCTGGAAGAGGAGTTGGGCACGAAGTTTGAGGTCGAGGAGGTGGATGTGGAGCGGATTTTTCGAAATGCAATGACGGTTTTGACGAGGTATGAGAGGGGGGAGCCTGGGGGAGAGAGGATTGCGCAGGCGGTTAAGGGGTTGGCGGTTTGCAATCAGTTTTATGAAGAGGAAGTGGGTGGACGGGGGTCGTTTAGCGACTTAGTGGAGAATGAGATTGTGGGGGTTGAGATGATAGATGTGAGGGATGCCGTTAGGGATGCTATCAGTCGGTATGGAAGGGATTGTGCTGTTGTTGAGGGTATGTTCAGAGTGCAAGCTTGTGAAGTTGAAGAAATTTGAAAAACGTCCTTGGAAGGGCATCATATCTCCTTATATTCTGTCAATCAAATGAAGAAGTCACAAGATGCAGAGGGGCATGAATTTATCCATTGTAAAAAAGATTTTTGGCTGGTAATAATCTTTTGTTCTATGCTCAAAGTCTCTTCCCAACACATCCCTGTGTAAATACCAGCAACCTCCAAAAAATGCCCATAACAATCAAGAGCGATTCCCCTACCCCCATACCCTAGAATCACTGAGACGGTCTACCACCAAAATTCTGACCTTGGTACTGGTGCATGCCCGGTCCGTGTCCGTGACCTGTATCCTCACCCGCCGTCGAGTCCCAGTCCCACTGATCCATCGTAGCCGTAAAAGGATTCGCATAGAACAAACTCATCTGCGGCTGGCCAAACTCGTGCATGCCCGTATTCGAATTATGCAGAAATTCAGAGCTGGGCGCGTTATTCTGGTAGAATCTCCTGGCGTCGGGCTGCGGAAAGTAGGGCATACTATTCAACTCATCAGGCCCCGGCCATGCATACTCCATTTCCTGTAGCGGATACGGGTGACTTGCTATTTGGTATGACTGCTGCGAGTCAGGCTGTTGCTGTAATGGCCCATATTCCTGGCGGCCAAGTGCTTGATGGTGCTCTGGATGGGGCATTTGTTTCTTGGTAGCGTCTTCTGGTCGTTGTCTGCTGAGCACCTTGGTGGCGACATTGTATGCGCTCTCGCTAACCGCATCAACAGTCTTCATCGAGTGAAGCCACGCTATAAGCTTTTCGACACAAGATGTCACGTGAGACTTGTCGATAGTCAAGTGGACACAGTCCAATGAAAGCTCGATCAAAAGCGGGGTGAGGGCCTGCATGACTGCATCGCACGGGTTAGCCTAACAGTTCATGTGGTATACTAAGGATGCATACTCATATGTGTAGCGCACCACCAAGGACCGTTTGCATAGAACCAAGAACGCTTCGGGACATCTGGCAGTAACGCTGCAATGTCGAGAGCTGCTCCAATACAGGCTTCAGCTGTCTTTTGGTTGAAGCGCGAAGATTCGGCGCTCTGTCCTTTTATCCGCTCATCCATTCTACAAACGCATGGTCGAGTGATGCAAATCTTGGCGTTGTAGTAGTAGAGATAGAGTAGCAAGCGCTCGCGATCTAAACTGTGATCAACAGTGGCAGCAGCAGCAGCAGACGCGCCCTGTGGCAACCATTGTAAAGCCCAGGTTTCAAGTTCTTCAGAAAGCGAAGTAATCATGCTCTGTGCGCCCTTCCACGACCTGGCAGACCTTCGTGGCGAATACAGCCCAGCGAGGATCTTGTCCATGAGAATGTCGAGCCTGACATAGGCTGGAGCGAAGTTGTCTGAATTTTGTGCAGCGCTCTTCTCCCCTGTAGAAGAGCCAGAGCCACGGCTGTATACCGAAGTAGTGGTAGAAACATTGCCTGTTGTGGCTCCGCGTGACTTCAATTCCGTCTCGGTCCTGACTGTACCAGGTGGGGGTACTGTGCAGTCGTTGGCAGATATTACCCGGGGGCGTCCCAATATTGCAGTAAGAACACATTCGATAGAGTTGAGCGCCCACCACAGCTCAGCTAATGAGTTTCTCCGGTCGTTGGGTATTGAAGGATTCTCATATCTAAGGTGCAGACCTGCAGCCTGCGCATGTCGGATAGCCATACCGATCATGAGCCAGGCTCTGAGCACCGTCTCAGCAAGTGTTTGTGTCTCCGAATCTGTTATATTTCGCCGTAGTTTCGAACGTACCTGCTAACGTGGCCGATTGTGAGGTAGTATAATGCAAGAAGTCCAATCGCCTGTACGTCATCAGAAGGGTGTATTTAGTAATTTATGGTGCTCACCTGTATCAGTCGCTGCTCCGGGTGGGAAACGAGAGCCCTTATGTTTTGTAGCTGTAAGAGATGGATCGCTCTCCACATGTAGACCAGATGGTCGCGATCGTCCGCTCGCCACTCAGCGTCGACTAGATACGAGTACCGCGCACCAATGGCGAATACAAGATTCATGACAGCTTTCCACTTGGAGCACACGTTTTCCGTAACTCTTCCATCCTTCTCGTTGAGATAGACTTGTAGTTGTTGCTCGAATTCATCGTCGACAAGCTTGAACGGACTATGCACTGCATGCTTGTAGTAGCCGAACAAACTTTGAGCTGTGCTAGGAGAGGGCAAAACGTCGGGATCATCGATCTCGATATCAATATTTGTCTTATCGAGGTAGAAATAGTAGTTGGTTGCAGAGTTCGCGTTGGCCTGCGTATGGCCACTCTTCTGTTGACGCCCATGGAGTGCTTCAGCACGCTGGTTGAAGGCTTCTGCACTGGCTCCAGGCGGCCCATAGTCCGAAAAAGAAGACTCATCTTCAGGTTGTTCCACCTGGGACTCGAGTGCACGCAACCATTGGGCTTGCGAGTTACGGCCCATGAAGCCTGCACTTTCCGCCTCATTCACACGCAAAAGATCCTCCTGGACAAAGTCCAAGTCATCGTTTGACCCGACCGAGGCCGAAACAAGCGCCTCTCCGACATCTGCTGAGGTGGAGCTCATGCCATCGTCATCGAAATAAGAGCGTTGTCTCTGGCGCTTGGAATGTGACACAGAGGGTACCGAGGGGGTCAGAGGCGGAGGTGTGTCGTCTTCAAAAGACGCCAGTACTTCTTGGATTTTATGTTTGCCTTTCTCGTCCAGTTGGCTACTAACATCGTTCAAAAGGTCTGTCAGAATCTGCACCTTGCGTAACGCGCTTTCTCCTGTGTCAGCAGAAACCGCGGAGCCAGCGGCACAAAGTCTACGCACCCTCGGAGGCGGTCTTTGCGCTCCTGTTCATAGTGGCACGCATGGTCCTTTCCCTGGCGCTGGCAGTTGGTACAGCGCGGCCGGTCACCGGAACATTTGATTTCTGTTTGTGGTCAGCAAGCTCTACCTTCCAAGACAATATCAGCCACTCAGTCAGAGCAAAAAAGCAGCTGAAAAGCAAAGGTTTAGCTGGAAGAGAGGCCCACTTCGCTTACGGCACTGTGTACACTACTGGCTGTCAGCTCCGGCCCAATAATTATCGGAATGCCAGGACTCACGGCTTTGCTCACTACGTCGGTACGGGGACGCTGAGGTCGCGCTGTAGCAGGCAAGTGGTAGTTGATGTTTTGTAATCGTGGAATGGCCACCTTTGCATCTGGTCTTGACCAGGAGCTCAAGTGCTCAGGTGGATAGTGCTGCTGCGTGTTGTCCATAGGTTTAGGGGCCTGGACGGAGCGCTACTGGGGGAGAGATGGCAGCATATCGCTAGACAGGCTGAGTTGATGCCGGGGCTGAGGAAGTAGGAAGCTAGGGCAGAGTGCGTGTCTATAGCAACGGCCAGGTCCAGCCGTGAAATCATTAAGCATACATGTATTTGGTCCAGATTATACTGGGTAGGAAGGAGAGGATTGGGGGATACAAAGCGCTGTGATTGGTTAGGACACTCGTACCGTAGCCAATCACGAGCAAACCGGCAATGTCACGTGTCAGCAGCAAGTGGAGCCACATCAAGGTACGCGGGGCACATCGATGTGATACAACCGATTGTGGTATGCTGTTCGTGAATCTAGATTTACTCGAAGGTTAATAGTCTTGCCTGTGTTACTGTTCTGGGGTTGCTTTTGATGCGAATCACACATGTACGTCGTTCAAAACTCAACAAGGCTTTGGGCACTGACACACCCCACATGGCTACCCCCACCATCTAGGATTGCAACATGGCCAAATATAATATAAGACCTAATGTTCTTGCTTCCGCCTGCTAGAGCACCCGCTTGCTCAACTCCCGCCAATGCTTCATCTTAGCATCCCGTGAACGTGCAGCAGACTACAAGGGATCCGACGGAGCAGCTCTTGTGTCGTCTCTTTTAGTCCGTGGACGATTTTTTAACCTTCCAAGGAACACAACGAGCCAAGTTCCCAGGAAGGAGGTATCCAGAACGTGGACAAGTCCCGTGCTCCCACCGGGAAAAGGAATGGGACGCCGTGGAGGACACTAGACTTTAACCAGAAACGAAGCAAGATAGCGTGTCGCCCAGCAGTTTTCAAGAAAACTCTGCATTCTTTAGCTAACTATCTCCGAAAATTCGATTCGAGATACCAAAAATGGCTTGATTTATCAGCCTGTGCTGACATTCGCGGAACCTTGTACCGAGTGAGGTTTCTCTGGAGAGGCTAGACGCGCGAAGCCATAGTATGTACATTTTGGCCGGATCCACAGAGATGTAATGGTGGTGAGAATTTGTATCGCTAGGGCACATCTGTCCGTGTAAAATCAACACCAAGATCTTACTTGTAGGGTGAGGGTCGATTGGCACATAGCTTTAAGTTGATCTTTTTACGTAGCTTCCTATGCACGGACGCACACTAAACCGACGCATCCGAGGTCCTCTGAAAGTGCAAGCAGTCGACCAGTGCCCAACGCTGTGTTCCATGCAACAAACAGCCATATCGCCGGTTGTGTCGCATCCAGCCACAAACCATGGCTTATGATATGAAGAGATCGCGTTGGCCGTTCAGATGATTCTTACCGACTACCATAGTATGACACAGATCAAAAAAATATTCTAGAAATTCTTATGCAGTTGTGAGCTAAGTCAAGCCTGGAATAAAATAGTATATACAGAAGAAGATTCTAAGAATAAACAGCACTTTTTTAAGCACGGCACATGCGGCCATCTGTGCTGACTTTCCATGCCTCGCTACCAACACCCTTTAGGATGTAGAAAACACCCCTGGGGTCATACTTGGCCTTGATGGCCTTCAGCTTGGGGTAGTTGGCACCAAAGAATGTATCTTGCCAGTTCGGCTGCTGGAAATCAGCCTCGTTCAGGTATGCGCCACTGCCTGGAGTAACGGCTTCGAGCTTGGGCATGAGCTTGGTGGTCATCTTCTGCTGGTCGGCCTCCATGGTGGCCCAGGGAGCGGTGGAGTTCCAGTTTGTGATGAGTTGTTGCTGGATCAAAGCATTTCTCCATGCTGGGAATACACTGTTTGGGGGGTTTCCAGTGGGCTTCTTGTAGTTCGCTGTGCTACCAGCAAGCAAGACACCCTCTGCGATGAGCTCTTGATAGACTTTGACAAGGTCCGCAGTGTTGTTCTCCACAACATCACGGGGAATGAGACGACCGCCAAACTGGTACCTGTTGACCTCATATGCTCCCTGTGGGAGAGGACCCATGTAGCGGTCGTAGTGGTCACGGTAAGAGAGCTCACTGTAGACAATTGGTGGGGTAATGCCAAGGTCTGTGAGAGCCTTTGCAAAAGGCGCAAGCACAGTGTCCTTGACATAGGCGGATGTAGAATCCCAAACAGTGACGGGCTTGAGGACAATGTACTGGGTGGAGACCAAGAAGACCACCATAGCACCAGCATCGACCATTCCTGGAAGGAGCTCGATAAGCTTGGAAGTGGCTGCGGCAAACTTCTCGGGGGTGGTAGATGATGCCAGGAGTTGCATAGCAGCACCACCAACCTTTTTGGATGGGTATGCCTTGACAGTCATTGAAAGGACAACAGCATATGTGCCGCCGCCTCCTCCACTGAGAGCCCAGTAAAGATCAGAGTTCTCGGTTGCTGAAGCAGTGAGAATCTTGCCTTGAGCAGTAACGACCTAGAAATAAATTATTAGCCATGGTTCTTTTCGCTAGTAACACAGAGTTTCTCACGTTGAAAGACAAGGTCTGATCAGCACCAAGACCAAAGGCAGTGCTGAGAACACTATGACCACCACCTTGGGTGAATCCTCCGGCCAGACCAACAGTGGCGCATTCACCAGACACAACACTCATGTTTTGCTTGTGTGCCGCCTCTAGCAACTCATTGCCCATGACTCCTGCACCGACAGTGACAGACGGGCCAGTGTAGTAATTATCCGACCAGTCACCAAAGGTAATGCTCTTTAGACTTTGCGTCCAGATAGCAAGAGCGCCGGCTCCAGTGGAGCGACCAAGGAAGTCATGTCCAGTGTTGCGAACGACAACACGAATGTTCTTATCCTTGGCAAATTTGAGGGCAGAGACGACATCTTTTGCCTCCGTGACTTTGACAGAATATGAAACATAGTTGCCCAGGGTGCAAGGGATGCTCCTATCGGAGAATGGATCGCAGCTCTGATTGGCAAAATAGGACTGCATAACCGAATGCGAGGACGGGGTACTGCCAAGACGTATCAAAACCATATCCAGGAGAGTAAGAACGTACATAACTCTTGTACTTACTGGGTAAGAGGGTTGAGCCATTGTGACTTCAATGCGCTGCAAGCGTCGGCATCGTACGTTGGGTCGTGACATGGCGAACCGATGGGGACAGTCGCTACAAGCTTTCCGTTGACAGTTGAGTTAAGGATCGACCATGCTTCAGTAGTTGGCCAATCGGCATCTCCTGGCAGACGGTAGCAGTCTGCTGCAGCAGCGTCTGCAAGGCGAGCTAATTGTAACGCTCCAAGGAGCAGTGCATTCTCGGCGAACCTCATCCTGCAGTGAAGAAGAAAAGTATTAGATAGTAGTAGTGGTGGATTCAAAAGAACATGTTGCAAGCCCTTCATATATACTCGTTGCTTGCCTGAACGTTCATTTCGCACTGCCTCGAACCCTTCGTCCTTACTTCGGAGACCAGCTCGAAGAAGGCAGTCAAGCGACCATCCGTCGCCTCGTGTAGGAATGCAGCGCCGGTAGTATCGACCCAGCGCAGCGTATCCACACGTTGATGCCGTGGCAAACCACCAGCCTTGCACTGGGCTGGATGCCGGCGAAAACCTCAAGGCGGCAACTGATAGCCGTAGGTACGGGTCGTTGACCTTCTGCAGGGCATGGTGGGTCGACAGATCAATGGAGGGATTTAACCGGGTGGGTTTACGCTGGGGTGTGGATCCTTTACCGAGGGCCGTCCTGCTACGTAGGATTGGGAGTGGTCAAACTATGGAGACACGTTATGTATCTGAGGGGATGTGATAGATAAGAAGAACGATGGTGGTGACACTGGTCGACCCCACATTTTCGTTCACCATGTGTTTTTCTGCACCGCAACTACACTTACCATGCCCCCTTTGATCGCGTCCCTTCACTCCCAACGTTCTTCGTTGTTGAACCCCTAGCAAGTGGAGGCAAATCGGTTGGGGCTTTACAATTGGCTTTCGGTTAGCGTGTGTGGCGTTCGCCTGACACGCCGGATTGTTCCCCACGTGTCGCTAAGGCCGCTGGCACATGAAAGGACCTCTTTATGAACATGGATTCTATACTACTCTTAGTCCAAGAGGCTATGCGACAGCGGCTTCTCACAAGGTTTGCGCTATCGAAAGTGCCATGGTCGGCTCTGCTCCTCTGCCCGGCAGTTCATACCGACGACGGGCGACGCCACGACTCGTGGGTTTCAATCATGAACTGTTGGTAGAATGGAACCCCTGTGCACATCATACCCCAAGAACACCTTCCGTTTAGAGTCGTGGGTTAAATAGCATTACCTTTGCCCCCGCTGATTCACTCGTGACCTTTTTGCGGTTTCTCGCATACCAGCTACACAACAGAGTTCAACCTCCATGTACTTGTCCTCTGACCAGTCAGGTCTAGTAGCAGCATCAACATGAAGGCTTTTCTACGAAATTACTTTCTGTTGTGCCTTGCTGCCATCTCAATGGTAACTGCGGCACAGCAGACTGCCAAATCGGATCTCCCCACATGCGCTGTAAGCCACGTTCGCTTCTCGTATCTCGACTTTTGCTGACTGCTGCAGCTACTCTGTCTCGGGAGCGCATTTAAGACCAATACTTGCACTCCCACTGACCAAGCTTGCATTTGCACAAACAAAGTTTTCCAGCAGAACGTAACTCTGTGCGTAAGCACTACCTGCACCGTTCCTGAAGCCTTAGGTATTTTTGGATCCCCAGTCCCGTTGGGAAAAAGCAAAAAAAAGCTAATTCGTATAAAGTTACACAAAACATCAGCCTTACCAACTGCGGGGCTCCAGTACGCGATCGCGGCAACAAATATGTCGTCTTGTCAAACACTATGCTGTGCATAGCATCCGCCTTCGTTATCATCCGATTCGCCTTCAAGGCCACCATGTCGAGACTGGACTTTGGATGGGACGACTGGTGCGTCCTTGCGACACTGATAGCCGCCATACCCAGTGCCTTCATCACGGTATACGGCACTGTCAAGAACGGACTTGGTCAGGATCTCTGGACCTTGACTCCAACACAAATCACCAACATGCTGCGGTACTTTTACATCATGGCATGGCTATACTTCACCCAACTCACGCTACTGAAGCTCACCCTGTTGTTCTTCTACATCCGCGTGTTTCCCAGCAAAGACGTTCAGCGCCTGCTCTGGGGCACCGTCATTTTCGTCGTACTCTGGGGTGTCGCTTTCATCATTGTGGCGATCTTCCAATGCCAACCAATCTACTACTTCTGGACGAAATGGGACGGCATGCACGAAGGCAAATGTCTAAAGATCAACGCAATTACCGCATCAAACGCCGCCATCTCGATTGCCCTAGACTTCTGGATCCTGGGTGTACCTCTCTGGCAGCTTTGGGGCCTGAAGCTGCATTGGAAGAAGAAGGTCGGTGTAGCACTAATGTTTTGCGTTGGCACCTTCGTCACAGTCGTTAGCATTCTGCGCCTGCAGGCCTTAGTGCACTTCGCCGCGTCATCAAACGTTAGCTGGGAGTTCTACGACGTCTCAGTATGGAGCACGGTCGAGATATGTGTTGGAATTATGTGGTAAGTTAACTTTGTCCGAGCCATATCTTTTTGATTGCTTTTTTTGCTAAAATTTGATCGCAGCGCATGCCTTCCGACACTTCGCCTTCTCCTAGTCAAACTCTTCCCGATCCTCGGTGGCTCCTCAGCACGCAGCCGCCAATACTACAACTACGGAAGCGGCAATGAGCTGCGGAGCGTCGGCCAACAGAAAAGCAAATCATACAACGTCAACACTTCTGTATCGAGCCCGCGGACTGTATCCTTTGACGACAAAGTTGAGGAGGGCATCAGGGTTCAGACATCATATAATGTGAAGCATAGCAGTAGCCGAGACGATACAGACGAAGCGAGCCTGGTAAGCCACGAAGCGCCACAAAGGCTATAATGCCGAGATACGCCGTGCGTATCCATTTTATGTCACAATAATAGTTTGAATTAAAGATGGGATTCCCTACCATTCCGATCCAATTCGCACCAATTCGCACCAACTCGCATGACCGAATGTGCTCCGTATCGCCGTGCATCGATGATTGCAACTTCAAGTTGCCCAAACCTTATCGCGATCAATCTCTGCATTCAAAGCAGCTCTTTTGCTAAATGCAAATTATCATCTGAGTGCTGACTGCGATGATCGACGTACACTGAAACGCACATGACGGTTCTGTGGTTCGGCCGTTCAAAGGGTAGTGCAGATCATTCAGAAGAGTAGCCCCGAGATCTTCATAGGAGATCAGCGCTAGTATGACAGATCCACGTGTCGCCGATCTCTCTGCACGTAATCTCGTATACTTGGAAGCTTCGTTGAAGAAAAAAATTGGCGTCTTTTGCCCAGAATGCCAACCTAGCATGCCAATTAATTCGGGTCGTGTCCTTGGGACGGCAGTTGTTAACGAGGCTGCACACCTACTCGCCACACGGCTCAGGAGGCATTGGCAGGAATAGGAGATGCGGCAAGGCAGCGGGAAGTGGTTCCGGTGGAGTGAAGGCTACGTATGAATCGTAAGTCTGCTTTGGAGTAGTGATGTGGCTTGTCAAGCTGCCGCTGCCATAATGTGGGGTCGATACCTCATAGCCGGAACTCGGCGTATCACCCAGCCTTCTACGGACCGAGCTTTCAGCCACCGCGCCACAATCACGATCGCCCACGTTGACCACGACAAGTTCAACGGTGGTAATTCCTGTTACTGTTTTGCATGCATATATTGGTTACATAGCTATTCGGCAACCTGCAGCATCTGAAAGTATATACACCCAGAGCGATAATGGCAACGGACAAAAGGCCGCGCTCGGCCGAGAATTAGATATGTATGTACGTAGGTTAGCCTACTACTAGCGGCCGCGAAACTTTGAATTCAGTGACATTGCCTGCAGGGGCAGGTGACGAAGAGGCCGCCAATTATTGGCCTTTTTGCCTCTTTTGCTGCTCTTGCTGCTGTAGTCTTCTTTTGCGCTTGTCTGCGATTCGATGAAATATGCTGCCATCGTATACAGCGCGGATATCCTCCTTTAAACAGTTAGTCAACACAGAATACCGACTGTGGGTTCCCCTAGGAGGGCTACAAACTTTCTTCATCCGGCCATCTTCTGGCCAAAGCATCAGATACGTCGCGGTCCCTAGCGTTGACATTTGTTAGCGTGTCTTGTTGTCTCCCTATCAGCCCAGGACTATCAAATACTCACACTCGAAAATGAAACCACACCAGCCAATCGGATCGTTGATGTTTCTTTGACCCATCAAAGTATTCCTCAAATCCTGGATTGTCAGGTAATCCCTGCCATCCGCATACTTGGTAAAGATTTCCTCAAACTTGGCGGGGATGAATCGTCCCTCCGGATCGAAGGTTCCGGTGTCACTTCCATGTCTTGCTCTATGCACGTTCTTTAGGAATAGGCGGAAATATGGGTCTGGCAGCCATCCCGGAGATGTCGGATAGGAGAAGTTGATATGAATGACTAGAACCGCGAAAGCAGAGAAGAGGACTCCGAGGCCCAAGCGATAGAAACCGATATATGTGTCTTGTGGCCACAGAATGCCATCGCCGTCACGGTCAAAGAAGTCGCAGTGCTGTTGAAGTACGGTTTGATGAGAGTGTCTTTCAGCCCAGTTGTCTTGTGTGCTTCCTTGGGGCGTATCCAGTGAAGGTGCAAGGTTTGCGCGTGCCACCGCTGTGTGTATTTGGCGATGAGCAAAGTGACACAAGAAGTTGAGTAGCTTCAGAAAAGCTTACCTGGATGCGGGAGTTTGGGGTCGTTAACGTCAAACCATGGTTTTCTCTCCGCAGTAATGGGTACCTCGCGTATGGCGTACACGGGCACGCCATCTTCTTGAACCCCAGACTCCCCAGTATTATCATTTAGCTTTGCGATCATGGCGAAGGACTTTCTGTTACAACTAACAATCAGAGAGAATAGCTTTAGAGAAAGATCAAACAAAAGAATTTCAAGTTATTCCAGCCAAGCCACTTCGTCTTGTAAACATCATGTAGAATGCGAGCTGGATGCTCCTATTGGATCGAGTGGTAAACATGACGTCAATGACTGGGGGCTTGGTATGGCTGTTCACAATCCTAAAGGCGAGGGTTCCAAGACTTGGTTCTTAAGCATGATTGTGCCAGAATGATTGCAGTGCATAGATGGGGTTGTAAGGTGACACTGGTGTTGCGACGTCTGCGTGCTGCAGCTGCCGCTGTCTAGGGTCGCAGCCTCACAGCCAATCAGGGAACTATATATGCGGAATCAACCAAGCCGCGGTTGGATCGCCAGGAACGTGGCAGCCCTGGCAGATTAGGATAGAAGTGGTGCCAATTATGGATTCTTCTCGTAAACTTCCCATGTTCATAGCCCTGGGCCAAGCCCGTCCCATTTTTCGTCATACGTACAAAACTTCTCGGCTTCTTTCGATTTGCTCGCTTCAAGTGTATTCGACTGATCATGCAGAATGTCCTCCGGCGTGCTCGTTGTCTTGTGATGAGCGCTCATTCTACTACGTTGCAGCTATACAACCTGGGAATTTCCTCTGGCGAGAAGAAGAATTTGTAAAGGTTTCATACAGAGGGTATAACATATTTCCATATGTCCCAATCTTCAGATAAGTGAGTTTGAAGGCTCTTGGGTGCTGCACTCCGCTACAACTCTGTACCAAGGGCAGGGTCTGTGAATTTCGCAATATGAGACACTGATGGAGCACGAAATTGGCCATGGAATACCACCGATATTAATACCAAACATATTGCATACTGAGCGATAATTTTTCTGAAACGACTTTGAGCTAATTGTGTAGACATGACCCTGGTGAGCTATACCGACTGGATTTGGTTAGCGCAGTCTCGTGAATGAATGACGCGCATGCACGGGACTACGGGAATACGCGCCTTGCAAGGTCGCGTAACAACACACGGCCCTCTTGACGATGCAGCGACAGTGGACGCTTTTGGAAGACGGTACACGCTTCTAGTGCAGCACTAAAATGTTCTGAGATGACTGTGTAACTGCAATGTCGTCGCCGCTGCCGGATTTCTGTTCGTCCCAATTTTCCATTACCTCGCCACGCCGCATCCCCAAATCCAAGTTTACGTATAAACAACTACACCAACTCAAGTCCTACAGCCCACAGACACCTCTTCGCGTAATCGCACATGTCGACCTCGACGCCTTTTACGCCCAGTGCGAAACCGTTCGTCTGGGTATCGATCCCTCCAAGCCCCTCGCTGTGCAACAATGGCAGGGGCTCATAGCAATCAACTACCCCGCGCGCGAATTCGGGCTAAGTCGACATGTCACATCCACCGAAGCACTGAAGCAATGTCCCGATCTCATACTACAACACGTCGCGACATGGAAAGAAGGCGACGAGAACTGGGCGTACCATGAAAACAGTTTCCGAGACATGGCAACGCACAAAGTCAGCCTGGACCCATATCGCAAGGAGAGCCGCAAGATTCTCAAATGCATCAAGGACATGTTGCCAGAGAAGGAACAGCGTGTGGAGAAAGCGAGCATTGACGAAGTCTTTATGGACTTGAGCGCGCAGGTACATACTATACTTTTGGAGAGATACCCCGAGTTGCGAGGGCCGGCGCCGTACGACGATCCGACAGAGCCACTGCCAAAGGTGCCAACAACGGTGCTAGACTGGGCCGCTGATGCGCTTGTGGAGACGGGTGAGGAAGATGGAGAGGACAGAGACCCGGATTGGGATGATGTGTGCATGGCAATTGCATCCGAAATCGTTCGGGACGTAAGGAAGCACATCAAAGATGCACTTGGATATACGTGTTCTGGCGGTGTGGCTAGAAATAAGATGCTTGCAAAGTTGGGCTCAGGATACAAGAAGCCAAACCAACAGACCGTCATACGGAACCGCGCGGTCAAACATTTCCTATCGGACATGAAGTTTACCAAGATTCGAATGCTCGGAGGAAAGCTAGGAGATGAGGTTGTTTCCATTTTTGGCACGGACAAGGTTAAAGACCTCATTGAGCAACCCTTGGATCAATTGAAAAAGCTGGGTGACGACACAGGCAGCTGGTTGTACTCTATCATCCGAGGCGAGGACAATAGCGAGGTCAATCCACGTACACAGATCAAAAGTATGCTTTCGGCAAAGTCGTTTCGGCCATCAATCAATTCCTTTGAGCAAGGTGTCCGATGGCTGCGCATCTTTGTTGCAGACATTTTCTCAAGATGTGTGGAGGAAGGCGTGCTAGAGAACAAGCGACGACCCAAGAGTATCAACCTCCACCATCGACAAGGCACCCAAACGCGAAGTCGCCAAGCACCGATTCCTCAGGGCAAGCCTCTGTCTGAAGCAATCTTGTTTGACCTGGCAAAGAATCTGTTGGCACAAACGGTTGTTGATGGGCGCGCCTGGCCTTGCTCGAACCTTTCACTAAGTGTCGGTGGTTTCGAAGACGGCATCACAAACAACAAAGGCATTGGCGGCTTCTTGGTGCGGGGCGAGGAAGCAAAAGCCATGATGTCAACGGGTAGAGTGACGAGCAGTAGCAGCGAGCCACCCGCAAAGCGAAGACGAACAAAAGGCAACATTGCGAATTTCTTTGGTCCGCGGGACGACAAGAAGAAGGATTTTGACGCGGCGAGAGCAGTGCTTTTGAAAACACATGCCGAGTCCACAAAAGACGAGTCAGAAGAGGACATGGATGTACAAGAGGATGACGATGTGCTATTTGCTGGAGACGGCGATGGATTCGAAAGACCGTCCATACCTCGTCTGAACAGGCATAGCTCGCATGGTGATGATATCCATCACCCAAACACTCCTCCGTCAGCCCAACCGCAATCCATCTCGAATTCTCCGCCTCCACACCAACGCAATGAAGCACAAACACCAGCTCCACGGCCAAATCTTCCTGCTCAGCAAAAAACTATAGACACGTTTTTCTGTCCCAGGTGCAACATCTACCTGCCGGCCAGCGAGAGGCCCGAGCATGAAGATTACCACTTTGCACTGGACTTGTCACGAGAGATGCGGCAAGAAGACCGGACGGCAGTGTTGCCGCCTTCTGGTGCCGCGGGTGGGAAAAGAGGCGCGAGTGCTTCGAAACCGTCGCGAGGACGTGGAAGGCCACCCGGTGGTAGTAGTGTGGAAAAAGGACAAGCCAAGTTAGCTTTTGGCAAGAGTACATGATGAAACGTTTTTGAAGGAGGATATAGTTTTTACTATTTCAACCATTACGATAATTATTTATTTATTTTTCCCCCGCCCAAGATTAACTATATTCATATCGCCTTGTCATCATCATGATGCCCCCTTCCATGTGCAGCACGTTTGTGATATTTTCTTCATAATAATACCAACCCATTTACCATGTTTTTTACTTGAACTATGTCAACCCCGTCGTCCTAGACGACTTCAAACTCGAGCCTAATCCTCGGCACCTCCTTGCTGCCCTCAGGCATGGTATACGTAAAGTTCCAAAACTCAAAGTCACTAAAATTGAATTGGTTAGTTACTCCCTTGTTTCCAAATCCAACAAAGAAGAAGAAGAAGAAGAAGAAAAACGGAGAGCAGAAAAAACTTACTTGATCGTCGTTCCAGCCCCGCCAAACATGCCATTAAAGGTAACGTTATAGTGCAAATCCACGGTGCCAGTTACATTCTTAACACGCAGGCCCTGGACATCCTCCCACGACTCGACATTCCTCTTACCCGCCCAGCCATTGGGGGCAACGAGAAACGAAAACCCAGTCTCACTACCGGCACCGTCGGGATAGGTGAGTTCCAACGTGCGCGGAGCAACGACGGCGTGCAGGGCCTTTGTCTGGGCGTACAGGGTCATCCAACCGACGCCATCTTTGTCCTGATCGGGGCGCGCCCACTGGACGACGGCGGGGTTGAAGGAATTCTGGTTGATGCTGGGACCGCCGACGACGGATTCGGAAAACGAGGTTGCGCCGATGGTGAGCGAGGGGGAGAGCCAGGCCGAGATGTTGCGCGGGTACGTGTCGTATGGGGGCGAAAAGGCAGAGGTGGAAACCGAGTGCGTAGCTGGGAAAGTGGTGAGGGCAGAAAAGGTGGTATTGGGGACGAGGGCGTTGTGGAAGGGTGCGAGGATGGCGACGAGGGGACCAATGGCAAAGTCGTCTTTGTGGCCCATTGCCCACGGCTTCTTGTTGATGGGCGCTTTTTCCTTGCCTACCAGCGTCCACATGTGCAGGCCGAGGATGCTCAAGTACCGGTTCATGTCGAAGCCGTACGCGCGATCCCACGGCCCGGCAACATTTTTCAAGTTGGCATTGTACAGTTGGCCGAGGATACTCCATGTATCGCGGATCATGCGGGGCCCGTATTCGCCCATGATGCTCTCGGCGGGGTCGAGGTACTTGGCCCATAGGGTAAGCGCGTACAGCGAGACGCCCACATAGGTGCCAGAGTTGAATTCAGAGAGCGTGTTGTCGCGGGTGAAGAGGTCGATGATGTCCTTGGCGTAAGCTTCGCCTGCGCTCGTCATGTTTGCGTCGTTGAGGCGTCGGCCAACGTATCCAGAGACAAAGGCGCGCATGATGGACGGATTGCTGTATGCAGGGTAGAGATTGTCGTCGTCGACACCACCGACGCGATAGCTATCGCCAATGGTCGTGTTGTACAGACTCTCGAGAATATACGCCGTCGTGTCTTGCGGGAGGAGATGTGGGAATTCCTCGAGCATAATGACAAACGTGGTGCCAATGAAGCCGCGCCAGTTGGGGTCCCACGAGTTGTAGATTGAGGCTGGGTATTCTGGCGTACCGACATAGGGCTCCTCGGGATACTTTTGGTAATCGCCGTACCACTGCTCGCTCTCGTTCTTGAATTGGCCCTGGATAATGTTGGTCACGATCCTGACGGCCTGCTCTACGTCGTCGTTCTCGTTGCGTGCCAGCAGACCCGCGGCATACCAAGCGCTCGACCTCGTATCGTGCACCATGGCAGCCGAGTCCAAATCAAACAGATATCCCCTGTTATTGTCATAGTACATGTCCATCCAGTCCATTGACTCTTGCAGCAAACTAGTTGCGAAATCTTGCGTCTGGTTGCGCGCGATCAAGTTGCGCCCAGCGACGACATGTTGTGCTACAAGTGCCGAAGCAACAGACAACCGGGAAAAGGCGACCATGGCGAGCGGTGTAAGGAAGTCGAACAAGGAACATTCACGTCACAAAAAGAGAGCAGGCCCATCATGTACTTGAGTACGGCGCAGACGCAGGCGGCCAAGCACCAGACTCCGAGGCCATATCCGAAGCGGTACTTGGAGAGAGGGGTTTCGGTATCTGATATGGCGAGATAACGATGATACCGGCATGGCGGTCTATCGTGCTGGTATGGGGCCCGGATAATTGTTGGCTAGTTTGTTCACAGCTGTGGGTTCATAGTCAAAAGAGGAATGTCAAACCATGACTCGTGCCGACAAAACGTGACGGAACGAAATGACCAACCACAAGCATCGGACCATTTGCCCTTTGGATGGGTAGTTTTGCTTGCCAGACTACAGCATTTTTGCACCTGCACCGCTATAAAAAATCGTCGATCGAGGGCCGACCCGTTCAACGTGGTAAAAGGAGCCAATTGTTCGTTCCACCAAAGCTGAACGGTCGCCACGCCGTTGACTTCCACGTGTGTGTTGCAGAGTGTAGTCGATGGCCGTCTGGTCACGTGTCCTTTTTTGCGAGCCCCTGTTCACGTGCCAGCACTAGCATGCCAGCATGCATGTCAGCCATGCATATGTCGGCCGTTGTTACCCTTGTAATGTATGTGTACTTTATCTGCAATGATCAATGTGAGAAAGAGTGGAAGCTGCCCGGATGTCGGCAGCCTCGTGGAGACTGAGCAGAAGCTGCAAGGCGGTGGCAACCTGTGGCCGATCAAACGGGGCGGAAATAAAATCTGAGATTCACCACACCCCCTCGTTGCGAGTCGTTATAGCGTGTGATGAGCATGTGGCGAAGGGCTTGTGGCGAAAAGCTTAAGGCAACCCAGACTGTCAGTGAAGCAAGTAAATAGAGCGAGCATTCAACAGAGGGAAAAAAAGGGGGCATTGGCATTCAGGTTTTGGCATGCTCGTTGTGCATGTATAAAATAACCGTCCATTCGTTAACATCAACATCGCAACGTCCAGGTCGCAGGTATATACATTGCAAGAAAAGCAGGATCCGGAAATAGATGCAACTACCAGGATAGCGATAGCCATCATTGCAATGAATGTCCTGCTGGAAAGGGTGGAAAGATTCCGTGGCAATAAAAATGGTTGCGCACCCCGCAAGGCAAAAAAAAAATCCGAAGAGGAATGAGAGACGACGCCCAATTTCCCAGATAACGTACACATAAATGTCAAACATACAAAGGAAATAAAGAAAAACCTGATGGACAAGTTTCCATGGGTAGTTTCCAACCGGGTGGCAGATGAATGGCTCATGACTTCAGATCCTAGGAAAATGGCTCTCTATCCGGGTAGTTTTTGGGGTTTTGGTGGCGAGGGGAAATGGATTAAACTCCCTAAGGGGGGGGGGGGGCTTCCAGAAGATAGAAGATGGTCCATTAAAATATTAGGTGGGAAGGGGGTGGCCAGACTCCAGAGCACCATCCAGCAGCGTGGGGGGGGGAAAAGGGTATCTCCGGGCTCGACAGATGGATGCGGCAACAACAACAAGGCCGAAAGATTTTTGGAAGCTATGTCTATCTGGTACTGTACCTAGAGGTGCCAGACTGTGGGTTGCGTGACGCCTGCGGTTGTTGTGACAGAGGGTATTCTAGCCAAAACATGTTAGTTGCGTGGAGGGCAATCATGAATAGTACTTACGCCGACCATCCGAGGCGATGTAGTAGCCTGGAGCGGCTGCCGTGGCACTACGGGGGGAAAGCTTAGCGATAGACCAAAAAGGGCTCGTCATAGTAACCAAAATACCTTGAGGCAGTGTACGGGGCGGACTGGGAAGGCGCCTGGCGGCCGTACGGATCAGGAGTGGTGGCTGGATATGACGAGTAGGGCGATTGCGCCGGGTAGTCACGTCCTCCTGGCTGCGGGTATGCCGAGTAAGGGTCCGCGGGCGATGTCCTGGGCGCAGAAGCAGCGGGCGATGGTTGGTAACCCGGATGTGAGCTTCCATAGGTGGATGTGGGAGTCGTCGTGTAGTGCGGGTCACTGCCGGAGTAGCTGCCAGAGCCGTAGGCAGGAGTCCTCGAAGCCGTCGACTGGCGAGGCTGGTCGTAGGGATCGGCAGAGGCATGCGATGAGCCGTGGTCGTACGGTTTTGTCGGACCCCAATGCTGGCGAGCAGCATGTGTGCGAGAGTCCTGATAAGCCACTAATGAAGCGTTAGGGCCGGCTGATACCTTTGTAGTGCGCACTTGTGGACTGTGGCTACCTCCGCGGCCCGTCTCGCCAGGCTGTCTTTCCTGCTGCCAGCGTTGGGAATCCATTTTCAAGTCTTGTATCATTTGCTGTAGCGAAGCCAGTCAGTCTTGTGTTCGGGGGAGGGGGAAGGAAAGAAGGTCATGGGTGAAGCGGAGCGCCAGTCAAGTCAGACATACCGATGTGAGGGTTCGATAGGCCGTTATCCAGTAGCCGGGCTGGCCCTGTATAGTCTGTCAGTAGTGCTCCGCAGTGTGGACATGATGGCAAAAGTTGCGGACCTGGTATTCTCCGGTACCTGTGCCAGGCCTGACGAGCGCATCTGGGCCGAGGTAGCGTTGGATGTCGGCCGTGATTACTTCTCGTGCGATGCCTTCGCCAGGCACAAACCACTGATTTGCGCGCGACATGGTTGACAGCGAGATGTGGGTATGAGTGTGTGTGTGGAGAGGGGATGAAAAGAAAGATGACGCTGTTGTCAATGCCAACTGTTGGGCGGCCAAGCTAAGGGAGCTAGTACAGACCAGGAGGGACCTTTGTTTCTCTCTAGGGGACCAAGAAGGAGCTCCAGAAGGGTGGTTGGACAGAAGACTAGTCACGTCGGGATGACGATGCAGGCTGGTGTGAGAGTCCGGGGAGGGAAGGAGCTATCAAGACCAAGGGATGTCCAGGAGAGGTGGTGGAAGAAGATGCAGCACGCAGGAGCGGGGGTTTGGACCAATATACCGGCACTGGGAGGCGTGCAGCCTGTGACAGAGTGGACCTTTTGACGGCGTGGCTGCCGGGGACCGTTTTGGGATACCGACGGTGATGGGATCCAGGTTCCTGGCCAGGAGAGGGTGGAGTAAGGTTTTGCTGCCGGTGGGGGGGATCACGACAGGAGAGTGCCTAGAGGGATACTAGAGACTATGCGAGAGGCGATATTGCGCACTTTCGCAGGCTACGTTGCTGAGGGGAAAGAGGGAGGGAGAGAGCGTGTTTGCGCGAGGAAGGATGAGCTTGAGCAGAGCCGCAGGTGAGGGTTGGGCGCAGCGAGTGCGGGGTGATTGGCCGACGTAGATGGGCTCAGCTTGGGAGCTGGCGCAGATATGCACGTCAGTGTGCTGGGAAGAGGGGCACAGGCTCTTCGGGCAGCAAGCAGGCGAAGGGAAGGATTTCTTGGTAGGGGAGGGGTGGTGTAGGTAGACGTGGGAGAGGGGGGGAGGGCAGACTGGTGCAGCAGTAGTGGTTGCAAGCAGCGGCAGTAGCAGCAGCAGCAGCAGCAGCAACAGTCAAGCAGCTCGAAGCGGGCGGGCAGGCAGAAAGAGAAGGAAAAGACTAAAAGAAGAGGGGCGCACCGACGGCAGGCGAAGTAGTTATTCGCGTGGGCCAGAAGACGGCGGCCATGGGAGGCGAGGGCGCGGGCGAGGGTGCAGCGAGTGGTGTGGAGACGGGCAACAGGGCCTGCCATGGCGCCGCTTGGGCATCAACTGCCACGGGCCAGCGCCTGACGGTCAGCAAGCTAGCAGAGCACATGTACCACAGACCCGCTGTCGCCGGCGCGCCTGGCCTGCCTGCACATTGGCCGACACCACACACGACTCGACCGCTCCAGCAGCGTGGGGACGGCGGTTTGGCTCGGGCACAGCCGACGGCGGCAGATTTTACGGTGGGTTTGCAAATGCAATCGACATTGGCTGCGAGTGCCTGTGCCCGTGTCAGGCAGGCCGGTGCCAGCCGCTGGTGTGGGCTGGCCGGTGGTGACGTTGGCATGCCTGCTGGTGCTGCTGTGCTGCTCCCACTATGCTCTGCCCTCGCCAGTCGCCTCACCGACACAAGGCACACACACCCACACGCTCTCACGCTCGCCCGGCTCTGCCAGTAGGAACGCCTCCCCCGTACCGCGAGCCTTGGGCCCATTCCCTCCGCTCCTCCCTCGTGGCCGCTTGCTATTAGTCGTCGACAAGACTCGCCCACCCACGGGCGTGCACTTGCACTCATCCAGTCGCGCACCAGACGAGTGCGAGCTGCGACAAAGCCAGGCCGGCGAGCACGTGTTCCTGTGCCACGGCAACTGCCCTGCTCATGCTGCCCGCTGCCCGCTGCCCTGCTGCCCTGCTGCCCAAGCCCGCATACCGCATAACCACCCACGTCACCCCTCGTCCCGCCGCCCGTCGTCAGCCCGCACAGTCCGCCCCCGTGAACCTCTCCAGGGTTCTTCGCTGCTGGTCCTGCATCCCATCTTGGCTTGTACATGATACTACGCCCGCTACGACACACACGCTACTTCCATACTTCCATACTTACCAAGTGCATACATAGCATCTGCATACACACACGTTCTCACCAGCCCCCCGGCCGAGCCTCCCGGCTATGCACTGTCGGTGCTCCCTCACGCCAAAAAAGACAAGACCCAAGCAAACCGACGACGCTGCGAATCGACCCGCCCGCCTGCCCAACCGCGCTATCTCCAACCCGGCTGGCACCACGACCACGACCACGACCACTGCACTACGCTTGGCAGCCACTTGCCCCAGCCACTCCCGCAACCATAAACTCCCTCTGCTCCTGTACCTCGACCGCCCTCGACCCGCCTCTCACGTGGCCGGACCACTGAGCTCCTGCTACCATGCCCGCACTCACCTTCGACATGCACTTGGGCTCTGATGCTATCAGCCCGTCGCCCCCGGCCCGAATCCACCCGGAGCCTTTGCTTTCCACGCATGCGGGGCTTCCACGGCAACTGTCTGCACATAGATTGCTTGATAACTGCCATACGCCCAACCCACAAGCCAACATGCGCCTGCCTCTGCTGCACATGTCCAACCGCCCGACGTTGATAAGTAGACGTACTCAGTCTGTACCCTTCGCCTACCCTACCCATCGCCCTACCTTCTCCCAATCGGCGCCATGCACACACATACACACACACACACACACACACACACATTTACCGCATGTGTCCATGCTTTTACCGGCGCAATGGGAAACAAAACGTAGCCCAAGCATGCACATACTCGCATCTACCGTAGCCCGGCACACTGGAGCCCAAAAGGCCGATCGCATACCCGCCCTCGTGCCCCAGACTGCCCTGGCTGGCCCTCTTCCATGAACCCAGACGTGCCCGCCCCAGCCGTACAGTGACGTTTGCCAGCGGGATCTTCGTTATTCTGCTGACCGGCTGACGTACTCTACTCCCTATCTTTGCCCCAGACCAATGGCCCGAAACATGTCTGTTGCCGGTAATGAGCGACTTCCCGTGATACTTGTGTGGCCCCCATGTCCATACTATTCTACCTTCGTATGGACTTGCCTTCCCCGTGATTAACTACTGCACACACGCCCCCTCCTTTGATCAATCTCCCTATCCAACTCTGTGCATGTGTGTGACGCCCAAGGTCTTGGAAGGGGAAAACTTGGCTCCAAACCCAACCAATCTCTCTCTGTCTTTTTTTTTCTTTCTTTTCAAAACTCAAAAAAATGAAAAAAAAAACATCAAGTAAGGTTACATGAGGGTTGTTAGTTGCCCGAGTCTAGATCTCCACAGACACACTTGCAGCCCGAATCATCAACCCTTTTTTCCCCGTGACCTGTTCCTTTTTTTTTTGCCAATCAAGCACCCTTGATCGTCCCTTCTTTGTCCTGCGCTCAGAACAACTCAGGTGGCGGGAAAAGGAAAATACGAACAATTCCCGTCTCTTTTCCACTGACTAGTTGATGGGGGGAAACAAGGATATACGGAGAGATGAGACCCAAAAGATAAAGACAAGCCAATATTACAAAGTCAGCAGTTTATAACTTCTCTCCCCTCTCAATCAAAATAATTATTGTATTTTTTATTTTTTTTGCTTTCCAACCTCAAAATCTCTCTACATCAACTCGTAAATTCCATCTTTATGACAAAAAAACTAAACTATTTCCATGACTCGTATATACATTTGTCCCATTCTCATATCCCATTGCCATTTCCATTCACTCTTTCCCTCATACAATCTGTCTCTCTCTCTCTCTCTCTCTCTTTTCCCTCGATATTACCACTACTGCTAACTACTACTACTACTACTACTACTACTACTACTACTACTACTACTACTACTACTATTCCCCATCCTTCATTACTAACCATCTCTCCATTCACATGCCCATGTGTATTTTGTAATCTTGCCAATTTCATCGTGAAAACAAGGAAAGTTAAAAAAAAAACCTAAAATAAAAGGGGGGTATCAAAGGGGGAGGCGTGGATGATGGAGTGTATCTTTTACTTTGTGCGTGATCTGTGATGTGGAAGAACGTGCAAGTACAAAAAAAAACTCCCTGGGCTAAAAGGAAGCCTTTGTTGGAGAAACAAAAAAAAATACCCCCTCGCAATGTCGCTTCGTTAAAAAAAAGTGTGGTTCGTGAAAATTGGTGTATCCCGCTGCGTGAAAAAAAAAACCAATAAAAGGGGAGGAGGGGCAAACGAGGACGAGAGCATATCCGCAAGAACAAGAGCGAAATCTGGACTTGACAACGTAATCTCAAGGAACAAGAAGTGAGCTCAGTAAAGCGGTTCATACGCGAGTCCGGCCCAGTCCTCGAACCGCGACACAGCAGACGACGTGTGACGCGCAATCTTCTCGCTCCACCACGACTCGCCCTCGTTCATGCCCACGGGGAAGATGCCAAAGAGGCGTCGTCCATTGCCGTATGCGCCGCTGCGGGTAGCGCTGTTGCCGCGCCCGCCGCCCACTCCCACGCCATTGGCCCGTTGCCAGGCGTTGAGCCGCATGTAGAGGTAGAGGCAGAAGACTACCAGGGCGAGGTTGAGCACAGTGGGCACCCAGTCCATAACAGCTTCAAGCGTCGTCTTGGGTACCGTTGCAGGAAGAGGCTGTGGAGCACGCCGCTCTACTTCTTCCCTGTCATCGACAACACTCGCTGTCTCGGCAATCGTCTGTACCCCCATGCTAAGCATGAGAACTTTGGGCTTGACTCGCACAACAATGTTTTCAGGCTGAACCTCATGCGTCGTCACGACAGAGACACACTCGTTGGGCGTGCCTGCCGTCGGGCTCTCGGGAACGGTCTGGGTCCCTTTGGTGACGGAGGAGGCGAATTTGCGCTCGACCACCGTAGGTGCAACAGGAGCGATGTCCAGAACAGGATGAGGGCCAGAAAGCGTCGATGCGACTGGCTCAGCAGCGACGGCTTCAACGGCTGCAATCGGAATTGTGCTGACAGTTGCGTAATCGACGAGCTCGTTTCGAAGCACTGGCGAATCCGTTTGAGCAGGAGATTCAGCCGTTGCGACCCGGACAGGTGTGCTCGGAGTCGTGCTAACAGACGCGTAGCCAGCGAATTCGGTCGTGAGTCGGGCGACGTCGGTCTGGGCCGAGCAGTTCGTGGTGGAGATGCGGCGCACTGTCGGGATCGTGCTGCCAGCTTCCCTCACACTCACCGTTAATGTCGCGACTCCAGGTTTTTGTGGTGCAATACTGACAATTTCGTGCTGGTTCAAGCTGCTCGGCGCAACGCGGGCAGGCCCTCGGGGTGCAAAGCTGGCAACTTCGCTCGTATACATGCTCGACAGAGGGGCGCGAGCGGGCTCAATCGGCCCAGTGCTTGCCGTCTCACGCATAATCAACGTGTGTTTAGATACTGTCGCAGCAACAGGCTCTGTGCTGGTACCCTCAATAATGCTGACAGTAAAATGTGAATCCAGAGCGGGTTCGCGAGGCTCCAGGCGACCGGCTTCACGCACGTCGAGTGTAAGTCGGGGTACATGAGCAGCAACTGGCGAGATGCTAACAGACTCCTGGCTATGAATAGTTGAAGGCGGTGGGACCGAAGGCGCAATTGGTTCGTAGGTGAGGGGCGTCTCTTGGATGTGTGAGTAGTCGTTCCATTCAATTTCGTAAAACTCGGCATCGTCGATGGCCGAAAGCTCAGAAGCCAACGAGTCGCCGATAGCGCCAATGTGCTGGTCCTCGTCGACGGGAGAGGCAGCGTTTTCTCTGGCAATCGCGTCGGCAGTGTGATAGATGCGCTGTCTCTCCTTCTGCACCTGCATTTCAAGGTGGCTGATTCGCTCATCCTTGATGATGATGGTGCGCTCCTGTTCGCCAATCTGCTCGCGCAGTGACGTTATGTCGTGCTCTATGTCTTGGGCATGATAGACGGCCTTTTGTGCCTCTTCTAGATCAGCCTCCAAGGCCGCAATCCTCTCCTCCGACTCTTGCCATTGTTCCTTCAGATCCTCGAGTTGGAGCTTCAAGTCTCGGTGGTCGGCGAGCGCCTCATCGCGGTCGATGAGGGCAGAGCGGTGGGCGAAGCGCGACTGGTTGAGATCCGAGTAGAGTTCTTCTACGCGTTCCTCGGCGTCTTTGGTGGCGGCTTTCTCGTGATCAATGTCCTTTTCGAGCTTCTTGATGAGGGTATGGAGGCCTTTGGATTTGTTCTTTTCAATGTCCAACGCATCTGTACTTCTCTTGAGCTCGTCGTTTGCGGCGCGCAGCGAGCTCTCTGCCTTTGTCAACTCATCCTTGAGCACAGCATAATGCCTCTCCAGAGCCTCCTTCTGTCCCGTCAGCTCTACTATACGATCATAATCCGATTCCTCGTTCATCGCGCAAGTTGGGTTACTCACCGCAACCTGGCCGTTGAAGTCTTTATGCGGTGGCTAGCTTCTTTGTTGGCATTGTCGCATGCGCCAAGGCACCGGGTCCGGCGCTAGCACGGGCGCTAGTCTCCACACTAGCGGGAACACTCCCCTGCTCAATGTGCTGGCAAGTCTAACAAGTCGAGGAAACCAGGAACAATTGGTGAGATAATGCCGTACCATCCGCTTCATTGTTTCAGCATATTTCTGCATAGTACGGCACAAATGCTGATTTATAATATCAGCCG